GGACCTAATGGTCAGGAGTCCCTTTACCTTTACCTTTTTATGCCACACTTAATTCAATGGAAACAACTTCTAAGCATGGCGAGGATTGCAGCCTAATTATATAACCACCTGCACTGCACTTTCGAGGTTGGATCAATGAGAATGGCTCTGTATCTACATCCAAAGCACTTTCTCTCCCTCAGAGAATGCTTGACACTGTAGTTTACCCCTTGCCAAGCTACAATTCCCAGCAACCCTTAATAAACTACAAGGCCCAGAATTCTTTGAGGGTGGAGTGTAACTGGGCTTCCCATGTCCCTTAAAGGTGCAGCGTGCACGCTTGATCAGATTGGGCTTTATGAGCGGTGCGTTACATCGCGTGGCCCCCAATCCCAGGAGGGGTTTTCTTCGGTGCAAAGCAGAGGAGAAGAAGGAAGACCCTGCTGTTTGGGAGCTAGATTCAGGGAACAGCTTAGCGTCTCCAATAACGGGGGGTATTTTTGGAGGGGGTTAGTTTTAAAAATGCACGAGACGCCCCACCTGCAACACAGCAAACGAAAAGGCGGCGGCGAGCGCATCCAGGGAAGCGCCCCCCTCTCCAAGAGAGCTCGCCCGCCGCGCGCTTTTACGCGCCTCCCGCTGCTTACCGCCCCGATCGGCCCGGCCAGTCTCTCCTCCGCCGGCTGCTGGTGGTGCCGCCTCCTCGCCGCGAGGGGCCGGACGGAGGAGCAGACAGGCAACGCTCCGCCCGCCGAGCCACGTCTTTCCTCTGAGCCCGGAGGTGGGCGCGGGGAGGCCCCGGCCGAGCGCGCTGGATGCGCCGCGGACCGACTCAGGCAGCCGGGGAAACGGGGAGGCCGAGGCGCGGGCCTGGAGGAGCAGCCCGAGGGGCAATCTAAGGGAGGAATGGAGGGCCGTAAAACGGGGGTGGGGAACCTAAGGCTCGCCAGGTGCCTTTGGACTACAATTCCCATCATGCCTGATCCTTGGCCATTGCTGAGTGGGGCTGATGGGAGTTGCAGTCCAGCGAAGCATCTGGGCTGGACACAGCTCCCTCCTCAATAATATCCCACCCTGCCCTGCAGGGCAGCGGAGGTAAAGGTGACCAAGCCTGCTTGGGAGAGTTAAAGTCCCACGGAGTTCAATAAGACTGACAGTTCGGCCCCGAAGCGTTTTCCCCGCCGGAGTTAAACCCCCCCTGGGTTCAATGCAGCAGGCGAGTTTGGTCATTTTACCATCCACGGGAGGACGAGGGGACTCTGGCTGAATTCCGCGGGAGTTACTTCTGAGTTTTGAGGTTAAGAAATAAAGAGTTGTTCTCGGTGACATAGAAAAAAGTAGTTTTTAAGCTTGCAAACTGTGACATTTTGCGTGCGCTACTGCCCAGAACAACACTTTATTCCTTAACTTCCGTATTCAGACAATCAAAACTGTGTTTTCAAAGTAGAACACCGTGCCAGCCAAAGATGTCTGGCACATATCTGTCAACTTTTTCCTTTTTTAAAGGGAAATTTCCTTATTCCAAATAGGATTCCTCGCAAGAAAGGGGGAAAGTTGACAGCTGTGGTCTGGCAGGTTCATTTTTATTATGGGAAAGAAATTCGGAGCACATCAGCAGTTGGGAGACTTGTGGCCCAAACTTGGCAAGGTTACTGAGGGGTCAGTCTGGGGCCTAGATTGTAATTCTGTACATGAGAAATTGTTGATTGACAAGGATTGTGCTCTTACAGCTCAGTCCTCCTATTCGTGCTTAGTTGGACATAAATCCCACTGTGTCCTATGGGCTTACACTCAAGTAAGTGTGCGTAGAAATTACATTGTCCTACCAAATAATGGGCATAAGATTGCAGCCTAAGTAAAGTATAGGTGGTGTACCTGCTTGGATCTGGCACATAGTTTTCCATTTAATATGTGCACTCCTTATTCCATTGGACAAATTCGGGCTTTAATTTTCCAGTGCTTTCAAGCAAAGTTACAATCCTTACTCAGTTTGAAAGGCACCCAAACATTGGCATCATAATCATCAAAACAAGCTTCCTCACTCACTCGTGAATTATTTACAATCCGCTCTTCATTGTTCACACAATCCCAGAGCAAGGAACAACATTAAAATACAATAAAGCAATTTTTAAATGCAACAATATGAAGTCAACCTATATAGCAACATAACTACATCGGCCATGTGAGGGGCACCACTTTAAATAAGTGCATGGGTGATTAACCACAGTTTTTACCTAGCTTCAGAGGTCCATTAGCACTGGCATGTGTGTGCCTTATTTAATATACTTTCATTCAAATGTTGCATTTGTTCAGATTCCAGTCATAATCTAGAGGCCATTTAAACATTGATCATTTTCACAGACTTTTTGCTCAGATTGTTAAAGCACCTTATAGTGTGCCTTGATTTCTTGGAGTATAACATTTTAATGTAGCTCAGACCAAATATTGGTTGAGTATTAATATTTTTTAGAGTTACTAACTGAATTAAATGTTTGGTAGAGTATATTTTAATTTCCATGTTTCTAAAGTTGTTAATATAGTCACTTTTGCATGGTAAAAAGAGACAAGTACTTTTCCTAAAAGATATTTTTTTCATTGTCCTGCAGAGTTTTACCACTGTGTGGCACCAAAGTGCTAAGAAATGTACTCTTAAATTTCTCACCTACCAACAATGCCATTTTAAAAATTTAAAATAGTTTGCAAAAGATGTCATTTATACATTGCCTTTCTGCCAGAGATCCAAAATACCACAAAGACGAAATCCTCTTAAAGTTAGTAGTGACAAATCCAAAAGTGACTTGTTTTCCCCCATCATCCACTCCGCCCCTTGGCATCTCTGGCAATCATCATCATCATCATTTTATAATTTGTACCCCGCCCATCTGACTGGGTTGCCCCAGCCACGCTGGGCAGCTTAGACTGGGCAAGACATTTTCCATGGGAGCGGATGTAGAAGTCCCAGTTTGGACTGAAGGGCTTTTTAAAAAAGTCATGCCCAAGATGTATGATGTACTCAATGAATAGGTCCTCATGCACAAATTTAAAGGTTTAACAGAGAGATAAAATACCCATGGGTTCTTGGTTTCAGGAATTATACACAGAACTACATCAGTGGTGACCCAGGCAGATTCTAATGCACAATAAACTGTGGTATGCACAAGTTTAGGGAGAGATAGTGGTAGTTTGTGTGATCAGATTTCCATTTATTTACAAATATGAATCATAGAATCGGAAGGGACTCATGAGAGTGTAAGAGTTAAAAAAAAATCCACATGGCTGCTCTTGCTAGAAATATACACAACCACCACAAAATGCATGATAGAGAAAACAGTAGGAGTTTGGTTTCCTTAAAATCTGTTGGTGAGCAACCGTATTCTGAAATGTGGGAAAGGCATTTTCCTTTCACAGCAACAAATTCTGAGTTCAGAATTTACTACTGCCTCTAACTTCAGCCATACCACTGGAATGCTTGATGCATGAGCAGCAATGGAAGGCTGCTTTGACTTCTGTACAGTTCAATTCCTTAGATCTAAAAATGCATTTAGTACAACAACAAAAATGATACTCGGAGCACATTGGATCTCTTACTGCCTTTTCGAAAGGCACATTTGAGGTGTAAGTGTTGGTGCTGTACACAGCACAGGTTTGGTGGATTCATATGGTCTAGTCTTGCTTGGCGGTGGCCCAATTCTGATCAGTAGAATTCTGATCCAGTACTTTTACTTAGTACTGGAGAGTATTCTGTGGGTTTTGTATGTAAATATCTTGTTAAATTATATCCTCGTACTATAGGATTTGACAGAAAGGCAGTGTAAGTGCATTAATAGCAGCAAAAAGGCTGCTCCAATACTGGAAGGAGCATTCTCCATATCCAGTGTGAAGATACATCTATGCTGGCAGTGTACCCAAAAGCAACCTTTCATAGACAGCAGAAGGGAAAATTATCATATATGTGGGCTCCATACACAGACTTTTGTGTAGAAAGATGTTGTTGTTGTTGTTTAGTCATTTAGTCGTGTCCGACTCTCGTGACGCCATGGACCAGAGCACGCCAGGCACTCCTGTTTTCCACTGCCTCCCGCAGTTTGGTCAAACTCATGTTGGTAGCTTCGAGAACACTGTCCAACCATCTCGTCCTCTGTCATCCCCTTCTCCTTGTGCCCTCAATCTTTCCCAACATCAGGGTCTTTTCCAGGGAGTCTTCTCTTCTCATGAGGTGGCCAAAACTATTAATGATAACCAGGGGTTTTTCTGTCTTATCTTTGTGGTTATATAAAGCAATGGAAAGTAGAAACAGCATGAGTAAAGAAATAGACTGCCCATAAAAAGTCTTAAAAGGCCAAATGCTGGAGGTAAATGTCTTTAAGCTTGAGGCAGAGAAGCGGGAACTTTGTTTTCTACCGCAGAACATCTCACTATCTACTTGAGTATTTGAAGGACAAATGAATCCCCTATAGAGTGTGTGTGTGTGTGTGTGTGCGCGCGCGCATGTGCTATCAGGTGTACAACATATCTCCAAGTCCTGGCTATTTGACCCTTAGTCAAATCTGTGGCAGGCACGATATTGTGCCTGCAAACCACTACTGCAACGACAATGCCTAAAAAGCTGACCCTTGAGCACATTATTATTATTATTATTATTACAGTGGTACCTCAGGTTACATATGCTTCAGGTTACAGACTCCGCTAACCCAGAAATATTACCTTGGGTTAAGAACTTTGCTTCAGGATGAGAACAGAAATAGTGCAGCGGCCGCACAGCGGCAGCAGGAGGCCCCATTAGCTAAAGTGGTGCTTCAGGTTAAGAACAGTTTCAGGTTAAGAACAGACCTCTGGAACGAATTAAGTACATAACCAGAGGTACCACTGTAGTCCTATTGTAGCTGTGATTTGGCACAGAGAGTAGCACAATGCTTGCATTGGGAGAATATAGTGCTGGGCACAGACCAGAGTGAAACCAGAAAGGATCCTAGGAAAAAAGAACAGGGAAATGCACTCAGAAACACATCACATAAAAATGTCCCTAAATGAGAAACAACTTTATTGAGAAGTTCCTTTCTCAACTGTTTGATTGATAAATCTCTTTATGCCCTTGGCCTCAAGTCTTCAACGCTCCCTGGAACTGGCAAGCAAAAAAGAAAACAGCACACTTCAGTCTGTAGAATTTATTATGAGCAAGATAAAAATGGCAGTGTTGCATGAAAAGGAAAGAATGCCTGCACACAAATGGGGAAAATTTTGGCTGTAGTTACACCACCCATGATTCTTTATTTCCATTTCCATTATCGGGGAGTTTCACACGGTAGTTTAGAGTGAACTGAGTGCTGCTGCTCTTGTGTGAAAAGTTTTGTGCAGTGTCCACACAATTTCGACCTCACCAAAATGCTGTTGCATATCTGGATTTACTGTTTCAACCAAAAAAATAAAAATAAACCAGTAAGCAAACCCCACCCCCACTGCAGAAATGATAAATTGTGATTTAATGGGGGGGGGGTGTTCAAACTATGGAATGGCATTTTGTTGAAGACAATGTCATGTGGACAACAAACTACCATTCGTTATTTGTAGTTTCTGTAATTCTGTACGGAGTATTACATGGCACCCAATCTCTGAGTGGTATGAGATCCCAGGGGTTTCAGACACTTACCCAGGATTCATGTTTCCTTTGGGAATGAGGCGCAATGGAGACTCTGGTGCTTTTGTGATATATGGTTTATAACCTGGGCTTACAATGGAGGGGTTCATAGCAAAAAGGTCTCGTTTCTCCCATAACCACAGCCTTGGGTTCAAACAGAAGACAAACGTTGTTCTGTCTATTTCCCTGGCCTGCTGCTTTTTTGCTTCACTGCCACTCAACTCTGCCTTTTCCTTCTAATTAACCGTTGCAGAGTGAGTGGGTGGTACCCATTTCTATCTTACACAGAACCCCTTTCCTTAGTTCTCTTAATAATGGCCCATCACCCAGGCAATTGTCTCATCAAGAAGATAGGCTGGCTTTTATTTTAACACTTGCTAGATTCAGGGACTAGAAGGGTCTAGGTGTACAGCCTACTTCCCCAAACTCATAACACTAGGAAGAGTCATATATCAGGCATGTCCAACCAGTCAATTGCGATCTACTGGTCACTCACGGTCCACCCCGGTTGATCCTGGTCGATTGTGTGATTCTGATTGATGTCCCCCCCCAAAAAAAGAATGGGTAGATCCAATGGGTAGATCACCGCCAGGTTTTTTTTATAGTGGGAGTAGATCGCAGTCTCTTGGGAGTTGGACATGCTGTTATATATTATTATTTTTTAAAAAAACTTGTATATCCAAAACCTTATGATTTTCATCCGAGTCCCTCCTTTGAATCATATAACTCAGTTGGTAGAGCATGACTCTTGATCTCAGGGTCATGGGTTTGAGGTTCATGTTGGATGCATTGCAGTGGGTTGGACTTAGATGACCCTCATGGTCGCTTCCAAATCTACAATTCTATGATACTACCATCTGTGAGGAAGCAGGTGCTGACCAGAGAAGAGGCTTTTTTTGGTGGTGGAACCATTCCTCTGTATTGGGAATGCTTAGATTACCTTCAACAACTTTCCAGTTACAGAGGAAGACTCTGTTGTTGTTGTTGTTTCAAAATGCCCTTTTCTCATCCGCTGGAGCTGGTTTTAATTACCGGTAGCTCTTATTGATTTGATGTCGCCAGTTCCCTGTTGCACGATCAGCGACAACAAAAACTTCACCGCCTTTTGATTTGCCTCGGATTTATCCTTTCAGCTTATGCTGAAAGCGGGCAACAAAATTTGCTGGGCAACCTACCCCTCCAAACTGACGTGGGAGCTTGGTGTGGGCTTGAGACTCTGAAAACCTCAGGGTCGTGAGTTTGAGCCCCAGGTGGGGCAAAAGATACCCGCATTTGCAGCGGGTTGGACTTGATGACCCTCTGGGTCCCTTCTCGAGATTATTTTTTTTCTGGTAAAGAAATGATACACGACGATAGCCAGGTTCGGCAGCCTAAATTCATTTTTACGCGGGGGGGAGGGCTATATAAGGAAGGGCCTAATTTCTCCTCAGGTTCGGGCTGCGCGCGTGGCGCAGAGCTGCGCGTCGGAAAGCCCTTTCGCGTAAGTAAAGCGGGGGAGGCAGGCAGGCCCACTGAGGTGTCCCGCCCTCGGCCTCTCGTGAGCGAGTCCCTCAGATACACGGCGTTCTTCCCTCAGCCCCGCTCCGTTTGCTTCCTCCCCCCCCCCCCACGTCGTGGTGGTTCCTGCCCAGCTCCTTGCCCCCTCGGCCCCAAGAAACCGCCACGGCCACCCCGGGCTGCTGCGGAGAGGCCGCCGAGCGCTCCCAAGCCCCGCCTTCCACGCCCGCTGAATGGCCGGCGCGGCTGCCGCTCAGCCCAGGCCCCTTGCCGCCTGCCGGCCCCCCACGGACCGTGGGGATGGTGCTGGTGGGACAGGCGCGGAGGGAGCCTTTGGAAGCGAGGCGGCGGCGGCGGCGCTGCTTGTGAGGGGCGCCTGAGAGACTTCGTTGAGGAGGCGGAGGCCGCCCGTCCTCAGGTTTGGCTTAAGTTGTGGGTTTTTTTGGGGGTGGGGAGCCTCCCTTCTTCCCTCTTCGGGGGAAGTCGAGAGACTTTTAGACGGAGAGGGGGAAGTCATGCCTCTTCCCTCCCTCTTCCCTCAAACTTTCGCCTTCTCTCTGCTCTTCCCTTGGCCCAGCAGGGAAGCTGCGGGAACTCCCAAGCTTTTTATATATAAAAAAATTCCCTCGCTGCTGCTGCTGGATGAACTTTCCTCTCTTTCTCTCTGCCTCAGAATCACTGTCTGGTCTATCCGTGGCGGGGCATCAGGTGGGCACCTCAGAAGTTAATGGCTGGGCGCCCACAGCCGCGCCTCTGAGCGCGCAAAGAGTGCCTTCGCCTCTGGTCGTCAGAACAAGCAGCTCTGCCCCACATCTGGGGGGAGTGGGGAGAGCTGGGGCAGTCAAGTTCTAGCCTCCCATTCCAGACTGCTGATGGGGAGCTGGATGCCTGGGATAAATCGGGCTGCCTGCATGCCCAGCTGCTTCAAAAGTCCCTGCAATCCTGCCAGATGTGCATTAAAGGATGCTGGAGGTCAAGGTGGGAAACACAGTCAGAGGTTCAGGGGCTCTGGTCTGCCCCAAAGGGCGCACAGTCTGCCTCCTGTGATACCCCCCCACATTATGGGAGCGTGAGGACTACTTGTGGTTAGGGGCATAGGAGCCATCTCCTAGGGGCTAAGGTCTTTTTGCACCCACCTAAAATATTTTAAGGGTTCCCCCGCCAGTGGATGGGCATTGCCTTTCAAATGGTGTGTGTGTTGTGCATCATGTGATTGAATATGCAGGGTGGGTCTTACCTGGCCCCTCAATATTTTATTCAAGTTGGCATCCCTGGCCAGGGGAAAGGCACTCTGTACGTGCTCGGTGGTCTGTTTATTTAATTGTTTGTATATCCCAGAACCAAGTCCTGATGGATAAAACAGGTTGCTTCCTGGCCCTGATTTGTGTCCTGTTAAGTATACTGTTTTGCGGGCTTCATAGCTTTGAACCTTGTTTTTTCCACGGTCGCCTGATTTCTGATTTTAACTTTTTTTATATGGTTTTATGTACAATTGTTGCGAATGGCTCTGATTTTCTCTTTAATGAATAGCAGTATGTAAATATTTTTAGGACTAAATCTCCTGTGCGGGAAGAGAGCAGAGACTAAAGTAGCACAGAAAGCCCTTAACATCACCATCTGCAGTGTACAGAGTCTTCACCCTGAAAACCCACCCCCGAGATTCTTCTGCTCCTCATGCTGGCTAAACTCCCAGAACTCTGAACTGTACTTGAGCTGGGAACATGGTCAATGATCTCTTGCTTTATGATAAGGGGAAAGCTGCAATTGCAGGGAAATTTAAAGGAGGCCAGTTCAAGGAATGATATGGCATACCCTTTTCATTGAGTCTCTGTTGGGTAGTATATAAAAGTTTATAAAACATCACAGACTGCTTTACCAAAACCCAGATTTTTTTTGGGAGGGGGAATCTCTCAAGATCACAGGATCGATCAGGGATGCCCCCGACCGACCGATAGATCACGATCAAGTCTAGTATATGAAAACAAAACAGTGCATTTAAGTGCCTGCAGTAGAAGTAGGTAATCACCACTTCTTTATCTTTCCATTATACATTTCCATGTATATGACAAAGTACTCAAGAGTCAGCAATAAGAAAAGTGTTAGCTAATGGTATCTTAAGTTTCTGCATGGACAAATCCTTGCCATGAACTTCAATGCCACAGTGTTACACCACTGAGCAATCATCTACATTTCATATCCCTACCTTATGGTTTCAGCTAGCTTGCAGGGAGCAAATTAAAACTTCTACTTCCAGTTTTCTGTGTGGAATGCTAGAAATGCAACACTTCATTTTAAAGAGGTGTGTTTTAAATCACATTTTAATATCCCCTCATGTTAAAAAGGATGTGTCTCTTGCTAAATGGGGGGAAATGACCTACTATAATGAAAAGTTCTTCTAGTTTCTGTTTGTTTACATTGTGTGTTGGGAGAGTATTTTGGGAAAAACCCTGACCTCACTGAAGTAATTGGATGCTTTTCCTGCAATTTAAATAGGAACAAATTGTCACTCCCTTCTGGCTATAAACTTTCATTTATAGAGTTACTGACAGTTCCATTCCTGTTTCAGGTTGGTGGATCTTCAAGTCTGGATCTGCTTCCTTTCCATTCTGATGCCTTATATGATCAGTTAATGCATGTTTTTGCAAAATATTAGCCCACTGCATAATGCCACATGGTTTAATGTAAAATATGAAAATGAATTCCTGTATCAATATCATGACAACTAAACCATCCCAATATATTCAAGCAGAAATAAAATATTTAATTCTTATATATATATCCTTGCAGTATATATAAAGAACTTAGCTGAAACAGATTTGTCAGAATTATTGTATCATGCCGTAACTTGTAACTTAATGTTTAAGGAACTTAAACATAGAATCCTGTACAAGGGAGTAAGCCCTACATAAAGTAATAAGACTTACCTCTGAGTAAGCATGCATAGGACTACACTGTTGGTTTATAAAAACTATTTAAAAAAGAAAAGGAGGGAAAATGTGTGTAGGTTCACAATGCTGAATCAGAACACTTAGCCCAGCCAAAGTGATGAACTCATTTATTTTCCCTTGAGGAATTGAACAAGAGACGGGAAGTCATTGACTCATAAATAAGATCATTCAGTGCAATTGTAAACAGCATATATTGTGCCAGCAAATATTTCCATAATCCTTTGCTTTTTGGAAAATGCAAAGCAAATAATTTGCTGGAATTATAACTAACAAAACCCTCACAATAATAGGGTCAATTTCAAGCTTTATATGAGTGATATCATATTTGTATCTCAGTTAAATGCTTGAACACTGAAAAATTCTACCCTGTTTGACATTTTCATATATTCACTGGGACATCTGCAGAAAGTTTATTCCAGGCATAGGCAACTCAATCATCTAGATGTTTTGGGACTACAACTCCCATCATCCCTAGCTAACATAACCAGTGGTCAGGGATGATGGGAGTTGTAGTCCAAAATATCTGGGGGGGCCAAGTTTGCTTATGCCTCCTTTATTCCCACAAGCTTCAATTTCCACCTATGTAGAAGCTCTGAAAAGCCAAAAACATTCTTGATACTATTTGTTGGTAAGTGGTACCAATTGTTTTTGGTAATTATCCTTGGGATCTTTAGAACTCAATTTTAAAAAGAAAACAATACAAATGAAATTAACACAAACAAAAACTCAGAAGGGAAAGTTAAAAGAGGAAAGAGGAGATGATCCATCCAAATTGTATTGGCTAAAGTTGAACTGAAGTACTCTTACAGCAGAAGTGTTGTTAGGAGGGGACCCAAATCCCAGGTTCTTTGTACTGGGCCTCAAACCTCCTGCATCCCCATTTGTTTTTAAAAAATAATTAATATTTTACTTTGGTTGCAAGCAGGGGTGCCAACTTGAAAATATGGGGGGAGGGGTGTCAGGTAAGCAGCTCTGCCCCACAGAATCAATCACATGATGCAGCACGTACACCATTTGAATGCCAATGCCCATCAATTTTGTGGGGCCCTGCCCCCCTCAAATATTTTATGGGGGGCTGAAGGGACCTCAGCCCCTAGGAGTTGACATCTATGCTTGCAAGATTTCTGGGTGTGCTGTAAAGTGCAATTCAAGTAAGACCCACAACCATCTTAATTTGATTGAAGACTTAAACTTTCATCTGTACGTATGAATTACTGTACAGTCCTGTTTCAGAAGGTTTTTAAATGTTTAATGTTTTATTATGTTTTTATATGTGCTGGAAGCCGCCCAGAGTGGCTGGGGCAACCCAGCCAGATGAGCAGGATAGAAATAATAAAATTATTGTTATTATGACCAGCATATGCAAATATGTGTCAAGGGTCTGTTGTGTTATTTAGTTCCTAGCAGTGCCCCTGGTTACAGCCATGTGAAAGGTGGAAAGTAGAGCTTATGTTCCAAACTTTTGCTAGGCCTGATGCAGTACAGTGGTACCTCTACTTACGTTCACCTCCCGTTACGTATCCTGCGGGATATGTGCGCGGCAAACCCGGAAGTATTTTTCCAGGTTTCGCCACGTGCACATGTGCAGTATGCGCTCTATGCATTGCGCACATGCGCAGAAGCGGCATCTCGGGATACGCACGGCTCAGGATCCGACTGGAGCTCCGGAATGGATCCTGTGCCCAACCGGAGGTACCACTGTAATGGAATTTTATTTTTATCTACCTGAACAGAAAAGAGCACTGACTAGTTGTTTTACAGTGCAAGGCGTGTTTATCTCCTTAGAAGTAAGACTAGCTAACTAACTTTTTTTTTTACTAAAGAGCCAAAATGCTTAAAATTGATAAATAACTGACAAGTTCTAAATAATCTAGGAGTTAACCCTATAACAGCTTTTGTTGGAAAATATTGAAAACTGTTGTACATGTAAATAATGTGGTAGATAATTAAACATTCTTTCAGCCAATAGTTGTTTATCTTGATTGTCTTTTTCTCGTTGGTTTCATGATAGAAACAAGTGATATCTGGCAAGCGTGATCCCTCAATACCTTTAAAAGAGCCATAAAGCTCTATTTTTCACCTTGGCTTTCAGTGGCTCACCAAGAAAATTGTCATTTACATTGATATTTACTGGAGTGTGTTAATGCAGTTTGTAAACTGTTTTATGAGATTTTTTCTTTTGCTAAAAAGTGGTAAACATCCATTAAATAGGAGTGTGTTTGTAGTTTGGGGGGTTCATTTGCTTTCAGAGGAGACACAGGTACCGCAGCACAGAGTGCCTCCCATCAGCATAGGCTGTTGGCTCAGCTACAACTCTATTTGGATAGTGATAACTTGTCAAAGCTTTTCTATGGCTGTTATGGAGGTTTGTTTTGTGAATTTTGTAATTTCATGCGTTTTTGTGTGAATGTATTGATATTGTAATGCATTTATGCTCATTTTTTAAATATGCTGTAAGTTGCTTGGAGAGCTTTGTGTAACTAGTCTAATAAGTAATAATAGAAACATTAATTAGTTAAACTGGATCTTTTAAAGTTGCAGTTTGGATATGAAATGTCCAGAGTAATAAATGGGTGATATTTCCTAATCCATCTCTTGTCAGTGGAGCTTATCAGTTTGCAAAATGGTTTTATGGGAAAGATTTGTACCTAGCCCCAACTCAATAAGTTGAGATCAAACACTGGAACATTATATGTGTATGATCTCTCTTTGGATATTACTGAAGTTGTTAAATTAAAATTGTAGTCCTAAACACACTGTATTTTTATGTTGTGAACCACCCTGAGATCTACAGATGAAGCGGGGTATACAAAATTAATTAATAATAATAATAATAATAATAATATTGGAGGGCAAACATTGAACTTGGTAGAACTTACCACAGAGTAAACATGTTTACTATGCTGCTGTTTATGATATATAGGAACACCTTCTGTATGTATATAAGAATGAAGAAACAATTATATGGAATATTAAATAGCTTGTTTTCCCCTTTCACAGCATAAATATGGCTGAGTTGCTAGAGTTTGAGGGAACTATAAACTGGAAAGAAAGATGCATAGCTCTAGAATCCCAGCTGATGAAATTTCGTCTCCAAGCAAGCAAAATTAGAGAGCTGTTAGCAGACAAGGTAGGTCTTAAACCATCTTAATATAATAAAAGTTATTGTTTTTAAAGAACCTATAATTAAATCATGATCCAAATAACTTAATAGATGTTTATTGTGTGATCAGGTTTATCTGGCTGTGGTAATCATTAGACTTTTATTCAAGTGTCCTCTTATTTATATATTTATTCCTAAAGAAAATATATGTGTTTTTTAAAGAAGAAATACTGTTCTATATAGGAAGCAGGATTATGGTGGTGTATAGTCTCAATCAAACTAAGAAGATTCAGGTGCGAAATTAGAATCCTACATGCATTTCAGTTGCTGAATGAGGAACTGGTACACTTTCCAATGATCATTAGCATGTGTAGGTATCTGAATGTGAATGCTGTCTTTCCACAAAACATTTCTTTTAAGAATATGTTCATTTGAACACACAATCATATTCTGACACGGCTCATCATGCTTACATTTTTCGTACAAGTAGAGCTGCATCTGACAGTAGACAGTTGAGCATTTTTTCTTGTCATGGACAATAACAGTTCATTGTAAGTGTGTGTGTGTGTGTGTGTGTGTGTGTGTGTTCTGAAGCTAAAATAAGTTTGCAAACCTTTAACTATTAAGGATATTTGATTTGTATAGTATTTCCTGTTTCACAGATAGGTTTTTATATAGCCATTTGGACTGCAAGGGTGGTCTGCTGCTGTTCCCGTTGGCAGGGAATATAGGGGAGAACAGTGAGCAATGCAAAATCAGCAAAGTGCTGAAAATGTAATTAATTTCACATAAAGAACTGAAATAATATTTGAAATAAGAAAGGCCTCTTTATACCAGGGGTGCAGAGAAATCTCATGAGTGCCTTCCATTTCTCATACAGACTAAACATGTTTGTTTAAGAAAGCTATAGGGAGAATATTTCCCATCCTTTTTTGCTGGCAGACCACAATATGATGCAAACAGACAAAGACTTGTGTCTCCAAGGTGTAAAGGATGTGCCTGAATGAATCTCCTGACCTATCAAGCAAGCTGCAGTATCTATTTTAGAATAATGTCTGAAGGCAAAACTTATCACTGAGAGAAATTTAATACAGGGATGCCTAACCTGTGGCCCCCTCCCAGCTACAACCTGCGTGCAGTGGTTAGGGATATTGGGAGTTGTAGTCCAGCAATATCTAGAAGGTTGCAGGTTAGCCACCCGTGATTTAATGTCTTGTCAGCACAAGCACAGATGAGAAATAGTTGGTAAGAATTTCCTCAAAAACTACAACTATTAAACATGAGACAAATGTGGTATCTATACAATGTTGCCTTTTAAAATTATCCTTAAAGAATTTCTCACTCGGCAGGTTCAGTCTTTTGTTTCTTTCTGAAGTCAGCACACATTGGATGATTAACAGCATGACCTTGCAGCATTTATGGGAGAGAATGTGGGAGCAGGAAGCAGACAAGGGAGTACAGACCTTCAGTAGTGGAAACTGGATTTTTTTTGTTCCATTATGCCTAGTCAGGGTGTGCTTTATAAAAAGTTATATGCAAAGAAAGAGAATTTGTTGAAGATCTAAGCAGAAGTTGCTGTTGCTGCAAGTGGGAGAAGTCTTCATAGGAATTCAAAGAATGGTGTAGAAACTACCTCTACTGTAACATACTTATGCTGTCCGTAGAGCTCAAGTGGAATTTATTTTATTACTGTTGAGTTTTCTGAATCTGCAAAGTATTGCAAAATAAATAAAGGGAAAACACCCTTCTCAGGGAAATGTCAGGAGTGTTTTTCTGTAAGCTGAGTGCAGTTGGCATTTTACAATGGAAAATACATTTCCTTTCCCTTTTCTACAACACATGTTTTTGCCCCAAGGTCACCTAATACGCAAAGTACCAAAGTGACAGTGTTGTCACTTATTTCCTCTATCAGGAGCTAGGGCATATATGACCTTGGTGAAATCTGACCCAGCTCATTCACTATAGACTGTTAATCAAGTGCTAAGGGATCAAGGAAAACTAAGGGTTGGGGCATGATGAGGTTAAATACTACTATAGGATTAGGCCAGACTGTAGTCCAGTGGAACAGGCAATGTGCCAAATTCCTTTTTGGAGTTCAACTCCAGAGAGGCCACCCAAGAGAGAACACAGAAAAGAAATGAAGGAGGTGGGTGCAATGTGTGAAACTAAGAACAGGTTACAGAGTATTTTTAAATCAGTCTCTGGAACTTCAGTGTATATGCATTTCACACATAACCCTTAAACACACTCATGAAAGAATGGGAAGCTATTCTATGGGTTGCCAACATGCAGCCTTGGGAATGTGTCTAAGGGTGGATCTAGGAATTTACACTCACTCCACGTTCTCAATTTGAATGTCAAAACACAAGAGTAATTAAAGTGGGGTGCAGAAGGGAAGTTCAGTTGTACACTAAACAATTTGGTACAGTATGTAAAACATAAATCCTGATCCTAACCTTGTTTTATTTTCCAAGCATGAGGTTTGCCTAATTCGTTGATACTGCACACTGGCATTTTCATTGAACTCTCCATCATGACCCGAATATGTTTCCTGAATAGGAATATGAATTTTATATATGTCACTGCCAATTCAGTCTTTTTGAGAAATGAGGATTTATTTATTTTTTTAAAAAGATCTGTTTTCATCAGGTTAAACTCACTTACATTTGCCCCAGGGGAAAGATCCTTTCTGCCTCTTAGTCTTACACACATATAGTTTTCTTGCATACATCCATATCTGCTGAATCACCATTCCCCTTATCCCCTTTTTGGAGTTCAAAGAAGAATGGTAAGGCAGTTTCTATTAAACAACTCAAAGTTAATATTTCATTGCATAAACAGGGTCATGCCATTGTTGCTGACACTTCTGAATCCATAGTTCTTGGATGTTGAAGTACTGGCCCAAAAGTCCTGAGGAAACTGGACCATTCCGTGGGATCAGTTTCCCCTTGTAAGCAATGGATTGAGCAATGAATTGAGCTTCACCACATGCTGGTTTAAATCTGTTCTTTCAGGTTTACTCTTAAAAGCTTATTTTGGACTTTCCAAAGTGGGATAAAAATACTGTTATATAAAATCAGTCAAATTTTGTTTCCTTGAGTTCAAGTACTCAACTTTTGAGATTATCAGCAATATATTTAAATATACAGTACCCAAAAAAGAAAAACAGTTAATTAAATTATTTGATGGTGGTTCTTGGAAGAATCTGGGGGAAGGGGTACATTTTGTTTGACATAATAAGTAAAAAAATCTGCAATATCTTCCTGATTCCCCCAGACCAAGAGCTGAAGACTCCTCTTTCCATTTCCTACCAATCGGAAAAGAAAAAGTATCTTCATAGCACAATAGTACAGAGGAAAGCAGGGAATGTCCTCATAGAACATTTATTTGGACTCTTTTCCTACTAGAAATGAGAATTGGGGACAAAAGTTTGCACCTGCTGTCCTTCCCCATGCACACCTCTGCAGTTTAGTACTGCATAGGTATACTGGGAAGATGGTAACTGTAGCAATGTTTTCAATTTTAAGCAGGAAACATCAGCAGAAAGGGTTAAATCTTTTGAAACCCTCTGCAGCCTGCCCCATGTGTGGTGCTAGTACACACTAAAATTGTGTGACAACAGACCTGTTCTAAGCTGGAGCAATAGTTTCTGTTTGTATAATCTCAGAACAAGGTGATTTTGTAATCTGGTTGTATCAGCAATGAATTGTGTAGATAGACTTTTTTCTTCTGGGGTTCTTGTAAGTGCTAGGATGGTTAAAAGAGAAGACAGCTGGGAAGAAGTACATATGTACTCTAAAGCTGTTCTGGGAATGGCCTTTAGAAACAATTATTTTGAGGACTATAGTCAGAGATAAAGATAATTTTCACACGTGATATTTAAATCGGCTTTGTTTTAAATCCGCTTATAATGTGAACGTACACTGGTTGGGCAGTGTATTTTCTGGGGTTTTTTTCTGAATTCCTTTCTGTATTAACAGTATTTGTTATCTAACTGTTTAATTGTTTTAGATCTTTGCTAGTTTATGAGACAATATTTGTAAGCCAGCTCCAGCTCACTGGAAGCAGCATGCATTATCAACATACAGCTTGTGGACTTGTATATGCCAAAAAAAAGCAAGGGAAAACATATTTAAATAAATAAGCAGAACAGGCAAGCCCCTGCCTTCAAGAAACCTATGGTCTAAATAATGGACATGAGTACTATTATAAAGAGACTGTCTCAACTTTCCTCCCACCTTTAAAAGAACTCTTCATAATTTCTTTTCCAACTTCTCTTACCTAGCATTTCTATGACCTTTCCCCCCATGGGACAGCATGGCATTTGGGAAGAGTGTCTTTGGTATGAAGTATGACAGAAGTGCCATTTATGCATGTTTAAAAATATATATTTAGCTCCTTTTGTGGTTTTAGTATGTGTTCAATAACAGTTGTTTACTGAAGGATGGTTGTAAAAACAGGAAATGGTGAGGGGGCAATTTGGCATTTCTATCCGTATACCTTATAAAAACAAAACAAAACTCAGAACTGGTAAAGGAAAAGTGTTTGGTAAGTGGAGAAGAGAGCGAAGGAGGCTGGAAATATTTGTAATATATTATTGCTAGCTATAGGAGAGTCTTATGACTAAATTTGGAGAAAAATGTTTCCTTAATAATTAGCTTGAAGAGTTGAACTTTGGCATGTTTGCCTCTGCTTTTTGGCAATCCATTTTGCATCGTTAATGCACATTGTTCAGAAACTTAAATAACTTTGAGACTTACGTTGTGTTAGCCATTTCAGTATAAAACCTCTGCTTGCACAACAATAGCTGAAGCAGCATCCTGTGCCTGGCAAGTGGAGCAAAGCAGCTGAATAATTCTACCTCATTTGACTATTTAAAGACTTGAGATAGCCTGATAACTTTTATAACTTGATACAAGAGGCCATGGGGCCTTCATTCACCTTAGATTCCCTGCAAAGTTCCTTGCATGGTTTAGCATGGGCTTCTATACATAGCCATTAATCTGGTTGCTTGTAAAGAGAATTTCCTTTGAGTAACCAGGCAGAGAAGTTTTATAAAAACGGAGTTTTGTAAAATCATAATAATAAAAAATCATAAAATCGTAGAGTTGAAAGGGACCCAAAGGTCATCTAGTCCAACCCACTGCTCGAACCAGCAACCATCTAGTTAACATCCATGGGCACTGACCCATTTGGGAACAGTAGGAACACTGAAGAAGCCATCTACATATTAATGAAAAGATGCTAATTAATAAGAATGACTAAGGGCCAAAATGATTGATGTCATTATAGTTTATTGCTATATTTGTATAATGCAGTAAATGTTAAATATTTGTTTAATTTAATAATATTGGGGTAAGGAGGAGGCTATTGTGTGATAAGGCTCCTACCTTTATCACTCACTAGAAGCATGACAGGAACAAATAATATCACATTTTCATTAATGCAGATGAAGTGTTTAAAAATATTACCATTTGGTAATATTTACTGGCATAAACTATATTAAGGAATAATTCAAATACACAGTAGTGGGGCATATTTGTTGTTTTAGGAACTAGATGGCCTGCAGAATTTTTGTTGATGCAGCTAATGACAGAAGGAGAAATAGCATCTCTTGACTTTCAGGACTGCAGAGTTTTAAGCCCAGCTGTTAGAAAGCACAAATTCTTTTAAAGTAAACTTGATCTGAAAATTATTCTTACAGAATAAACATGGAACCCTGTAGTGACGTGTTTGTAGAATCAATTTTGGAGTGCAATGTTATTTTAAAGGATCTTGGCAAAGAGAAGTAACACTGTATTGTGACATTAACTGGAGTGTCTGGTGTTTTCTGCTGGATCAAAACGGCTGGAATTTGATATATGATGGTAATTAATATGGCTCATTCTGAGAAATAGAATCATTCCAGTGAATTTTCAGTCCTTTTGCTGGGTTAATTGGCAAAAAAGAAAGGAATACATAAATATGTACAGTAGGTACTGGCACAGATCTGAGACTAAGATCCTGACAGAGCAGCTGCATATTGTAGAATGACAGCATTGGCTGTTGGAGGAAATTTGTGCCAATTTCACTCTTAAGCAAAAAGTAAATATTATATTGAACAGCCCCACACAGGACGTCTTCTGGAGATCATGTAATTTAAATACTCTGTTGGAATCTGAGTGGATGAAAAAAGATATCTGTCTTTGGGGAGTAAGGGAATAATGCACAATGGAAAATGGCAGTGCTGTAGGAGACCACAGTGTAGTATAAACCAGAAGTTTTCTCAGTAAGAAAGCTTTTATCTTTTCTCTCTTTTTTGGTTTTTCCGTTTCACTGGTCTATGTATCAAAACTGAAGAACTGTAAAACTGCAGGTCTTCTAATTGCCTAAACTTTTGTATTAATTTGTGATAACCCAATCTATCAGCAAACTTGGTTGACCTTATGAAGACACTGTTTGGGTATGAGTGTGGTCATGATTCGCAGGAGAGAGTAACTACTAATGCTGGTAAAAACACCTGATATATCCCAATGTTCACTTTCTCAATGGCAGAGGTACAGTCGTACCTTGGAAGTTGAACGGAGTCTGTTCCGGAAGTCTGTTCGACTTCCAAAATGTTCGGAAACCAAAGTGCGGCTTCTGGAAGCTCCTGCAGCCAATTCGGAAGCCGTGCCAGACATTCAGCTTCCGAAAATCCTTTGAAAACCAGAACACTCGCGTCTGGGTTTTGATCGTTCGGTAGCCGATTTGTTTAGGAGCCAAGGTGTTCGAGATCCAAGGTACGACTGTACTTTATACAAACTGGCAAGAAGTAAAGGTCAGGCGCTGTTGGAACTTCCTTTGGAGAACCTGGGAAGAATGCTAAAACCTTGAAGCTTCAGCACAAACCCTGACACCTGTCCTTAATTGAACCTTCCCTGCCAAATTCCTGTGGGCACAATAACTTGTCAAGGAAGCTGTGGAGAAGGGCAAAGGGGGAATGAGGCTTTTCATTCCTTCACTCCCTATCTCAAGGGGACACACTCATGCGGTCAGGCAAAGAGATGGATATAGAGTCTGCTTTGCTTTGCTTTTCGCTTTGATTAATATGAAAGGAATTTGTTTCAGACTTTGTAGAAGCTGTGGTACATCCCAGTGCAGCAGAGGAGATATGTAACTATACCGACAACTGTCCTGACATTATATGTTGGCCATTGTGTTTGTTTAGTGGCCATATTAAGGCCCATACATCTTTACTTATCAATTCAGAGCCACATGAGCTGTGAACTGCAGCTCCCTTAGAATTCCAGTGTACATTTGGAGTTTTGTGTCTTCCTGTGAAATCCAGGTTTATAAGCTTTCTTGACTGCCTTCCATGAAAATGCACAATAATGATAAATATGTGATTTGTACTCTAGCTGAAGTAATATACAGTGGTACCTTGGTTTTTGAACGTCTCTGTTAACAAACGTTTCGGAACTCAAACGCTGTAAGCCTGGAAGTAAATGCTTCGGTTTTCGAACGCACCTCAGAAGTCGAACCGGAAACGCAGCTTCCATATTGAGTTTTCTGTATTGAGATTTCCGTTTTGAGACTTCTATTTTGAGTTTTCAGGTTTTGAACGTTTCAGAACTCGAACGGTCTTCCGGAATGGATTTCGTTCGAAAACTGAGGTACTACTGTATTTGCAGGGACTAGCTACAGTTGCCTTATCTCTTAATTCTTCCCAGTCTTGGCATTTCTTAACCAGCTCTTACAATTCAACCCTTAGTAATTTGGCAGGAGCCAATTCTGACAACATTTCCCATTATTTAATGTATATCGAAATAGAAATTTGCCATGTAAATCTTGAAAAAGAGAAAGTTGATCTCAAGACCCTAGACTGACCATCACCTATTAAAGTATTGCAGTCTTGCTTACCTAGTTGAGTCACCCAACTGTACTTACTAATATTACCAGGCTTATATATATATATCTACCTTTTTTAGTTTAATGAAAAGTGTTCTTTATTTGGAGAAAATTGATAGCAAATATTTGAAGATCTGATTGAATGTAAGTCATAAACATAGACTAAAATATGATACAGTTTGTGCGATAAGTAGAAACAAAATTTTTTCTAAATAAAGTCTAAAGACTTTCAGCTGAACTCTGTGAAATAGTATAGAGTGTTCTACGGAAGAGACTGCAGGGAAGCAGATCTCCTTTGCTTTTGAACTATTTTTCCTTAAGGCATTAGATATTTATTCACATGTGGCTTTTCTCTGTTCATTGTTGGAACAAAAATAACTCACAGAGAATTGTTTGATTAGTGTCAGATGTAGAGTAGTAATTTCCTGAGTTTAGTTGTATGTTAAAAAATCTGACTCATTTTTGTGTCTTTAATGATGGTTTTACTAAGTATGATATATATGTAACCAGAGTTCCGAGTTTGGGCATTGGATGTCAATCAGCCAAAGGCCTGGTTGAAGAGGAACATTTTTGCCTGGCACCTAAAGGTGTATGGTGAAGGCAGTAGCCGAACCTCCCCACAAATGGGGACTGCAGAAAAGGCCCGTTCTTGTGTTGCCATGTTCCAGACCTCTTGTGGCGGAGGCACAGAGCCTCAGAGGATGATCTTAGGATCTGGGTAGGTTCCTATTGAGAGAAGTGGTCGTTGATATATTGTGGTCCTGAGCCGTTTAAGGCTTTATAGGTCAAAAGCAACACTTTAAATTGGCCCCAGCTACTGACTGGCAACCAGTGCAGTTGAGCCAGGATCAGTGTAATATGCTCAAACCATCTTGCCCCGGAGAGCAACCTGGCTGCCGAATTCTGCACTAGCTGAAGTTTCCATACTATCTTCAGAGACAGCCCTATGTGTGACGCATTGCTGTAATCGAACCTAGAGGTTACCAGAGCATAGACAACAGTAGTTAGGCTGTGCCTGTCCAGATAGGGGCACCATTGGGCCACCAGCAGGAACTGGTGGAAGGCGCTCCGCACTGTGGAGGCCACCTGAGCCTCAAGTAGCAGCAAAAGATCCAGAAGTAAGTCCAAGCTGTGTACCCACTCCTAAATCTCCCAACCATCGAGTTTATGGAATCGCCCACTAACAGTGCCTCCATTTTATATGGATTGAGCTTCAGTTTGCATCCAATCGATTACCAAGATAAGACAATAATCTAGTTTATCCACTGCCTCACCTGCAACTGTAAAAAAGAAACAGAGCTGTGTGTCATCAGCATATCATTGACAATGTACTCCAAAACTCCAGATAACCGCACACAGAGGTTTAATGTAGATGTTAAACAGCATAGGGAATAAAATTGAACCCTGAAGAACCCCACATTGAAGGTTCCGCAGGGCTGAAGAACACTCCCCAAGCTACACTCTCTGGAAACCAAAACTACCACAAAGCAGTGCCACCAACTCTTCTCTGACAGCCACTCCATATGGACACCATGATTGTTGGTATTGAAAGCCACTGAGAAGTTGAGGAGAATTAACAGGGACACATCTCTCTCATCTCTCTCCCAACACAGGTACTGTATATAGGGTGACCAAAGCAGTTTCTGTATCAAAACCGGGCCTAAAACGTGACTGAAATGGCTCTAGAAAATCAGTTTCCTCCAAGAGCACCTGAATCTGGTCTGAGATCACCTGCTCAAGAACCTTGCCCAAGAAAGGGAGATTAGAAACTGGCCGGTAGTTACTTAGATTTTCTGAATCCAGGGAGCATTTCTTGAGGAGTGGTTTTACCACTGCCTCCTTAAAGCAAGCAAGGACCACCCTGTCTTGCAAGGAGGCATTAATCACTTCCGTCCCCTCTCTACTGGGTTTTATCAGCCAAGAGCGCAAGTATTTGCCCTGACTGATACAAGCACCTTAGCCACATCCTTGAGCATTACTAACTGAAACTCATTCAACACAACAAGACTAGACTGTGTTCTGGACACCCATGAGATCCATCTGCTATAACTGTGGAGTTAAGATCTCGCTGGAGGCAAGCAATTTTATCCTCAAAATGTTTTGCAAACAAGTGACAAAGGGCAGAATTCAAAGTAGACCTAAGGAGATTGCTGCAGCAGCACAAGTGTTTCTGCTTGTCTGGTGAAATTAGCTCCCTCTCCCTCTGTACAGTACTCTAAGAGTTCTCCTGACCCCCCCAGGCTGATCTGAGGAGGGTGTGGGGGAAGGAGGGAGGGAGCCCCATTGTGCTATTGGGATTTGTTCTGGCTCCTGCTAGCACAGCTATTAAGTTGAATCCTGCCCAAATGGTAGATCTCCAAACTGAATTAGCGAGGTAAAAATTTACAATAGAGAAGGAAGATTAGAAGGAGTAAGAGTTGCTTTTTAAAGATTGAGAGAGGGTTAAGAAAAAAGTAGATAGTTTAGAAGCAGAGAAACATCAGGACAAGATCGTTGCAAGAGACTTGTGTAAGTGAAGAATAGGATGAAGAGGAAAAGTGCACTTAGAAATAAAACAAGAAAGCAAAATGAGAAACTGAAATAAATAAAAATGCACAAATTTATCAACCAGGAATAATAGCCAGTAGAAGATTTTTCTGTGGCCACCAACCCAGGAAAAAGTGAGCTGAGCAAGCCATGTGGATTTAAGTTTTAAAGCAGATAGGGAACCTTTCTTAATGTAAAGGATGTTCCCTCAGGGTAATCTCTTAAGGGCAACATACTGGCATTGGCTGGGGCTGAAGCAAAAAATGGATGGACCATTCATTTCACTCTTTTTGCCACCCCTTTCTCTCTCTCTCTTTTCAGCTTCCATTCTAGGCAGAGAAAGAGAGCCTTATCTTCCTCCCTGCTCACACCACTCCAGGGGTACTGGAGGAGGAACAGATTGTATTTTAGTGTTTTCTTGGAAGCCGCCCAGAGTGGCTGGGGAAACCCAGCCAGATAGGAGGGGTATAAATTATTATTATTATTATTATTATTATTATTATTATTATTATTTCTGTACCTATTCCAGCAGCTCATTTGGCTTCTGTGCGAGGTGGGGAGAAAGAGGCTTCCGTGTTCCCAGCATGGAAATAGTGAGGAATGAGGCCGAGAAGCAGAAGCCATGAGGCCAGACAGGAATGGACTATGAGCCAGAATCAACCTGTGGACTGGTGGTTCTCCACCCAATTTTAAAATGTTGTTATTACATTGGGTGGCAGTAGTTAAGGACAGTCTGTAATAAAACACCTGAACATCCTTCTTAGAGCTTGCAACAATTCCTCTTCCTGGTAGTTTTGTCAGAAAAAAAATACCCAACTTGAAACATTAGCCAGTTTCTATGCAGACAGCTAAAATATCTGCTTTTGAGCATACAGTTAGAGCACCTTGTGCACTGCATGAATCTGAGAGTGTTCAAGTAAATGTCCAAGTTACAAGATCAAAGCTTAGATGCTGCCAGAAAGCCGTCCAATTTATCCATACTGTGAACTCATGCAAAACTACTTAACATACTTTCTTGACACAGTCAACTTTACAAGAAGCTACAATTTGGTATTGGCATTAATTTATTAACTAGCTGAGAACTATTTTCTAAGTGCATGCTCCATTAACAATTCAACTTGGGGCTGATTTCAGTTTTATTCTTTTCTCCATCTTAAGCCCCAGACATGAATTTAGCTGGGTATATTTTTGCTTATCATAGTCACAAACATGCACTGGACTAGATGGCTAAATTTTTGCTGGTTTCTGAACTGGGATTTAGGACCACATGTTTAGGAATGATCAGGTGACCCATGGTAAAAGTGCTGGTGGAAATTCTAGTATGAGGGGAACAGGGACACAAGATCCTGTGGCCCACTTTGGCTCATTAAACTGTGGCGAGCACTTGCAGAATATAATGTCTGAATGCTGTTTGATAAACTGAAATAGCTACTGTCCAAATACTTACCTTGAGACAGGTTCAAATACAAAAGATCAACACTGAGTTTCATGCATGCCATTTGCTTATCAGCTGATATGCTGGCTTTAAGGTCATTAACAGCCCAATCATATTTATGTCTATTAAGAAGTAAACCTCCTTTTTTGAGTTACCTTTAGTCTCATTTATAGTGGGTTATGTGATACAAACTATGAACTAAGAAATACCTCATTCAAATCTTAGCTTAGGTCAAGGCTAAACTACAGGTGATACTAAAGATGCAATTCAGAAGCACATTGGGGTTTTTTAAAAAGTCGGTGCAGAGCCCTCTGATTTTTATCAATACCACAGTGCATAGGGATGGGACGTTTTATCCATCAATCCTGTTGTGACATTGCAATGCTCCCATTAGCCGGGGGGGAGGGGGAGCTTTTACTGACCCTAATCGGAGTTCTTCTCACCCCCGAGGCTAAGAGTCATAGTGCTGTGTGTGGAGGGTGATTTTCTTCAGGATCCCAGCTAGGGAGGGTTAAACCTCCCCTCCCCACGTGCTAGGCTTTATGAGAATCACCTTCCCTGGAGTTGCTATTAAATTTTTTTAACCTTGATAACCTTCCAAGTGATAGATTTGATCCTCAGTCATGAACTCTCTGGGTGGTCTAAGGTAGGCTGTTAACAATTAGGTCCACCCACCTTTGACTGCAATATGGCAATAATATTGGTCTACTTTTATAAGACTGTTGTATGGACCCTCAAGTTAATGTATATGAATCTCTTTGATTCCTCAGAAAAAGTGCTATATATTATGATGAAGAAGAATACTTCCATTGATAGCAACCAAGGGAGCATGCGTTTCATTTTTATTACTACTAAAATGTCTCTTTACAGATGCAGCAACTTGAAAAGCAAGTGATTGATGCAGATCGACAAGCAGAAAAAGCTTTTCAGCAGGTATGTTCATAATGCAGAATTATGTGCAGTAGCAACAATGTTCTGAATTTAACCTAATGTAACCTAATGTAAATTTATTTTACAGGCAACCCCACCCCCCGTTCGGTCCCCTTCCGGTGCTGAAAACAACTCATGCATTGGTGATGACACATCAATTAGATGAGTGCAAAATGGTCACCACCTGTATTTATATTTTAAAATCATATTTTAACCCATTATTCAGTCAAGTTTTAATGGGCAATCAAAATCCTTGGCTGGCAGCAGCGGGGCCTAATAGATCCGTATAAGTACCTCTACAGGCCCACCACTCGTGCCTGCCAGGGTGGAAAAATGGGGGCAGGGGAAAAAGCATTTTTGCTATGCCAGCTCCCAGGTTGACACAACAGGGCCAGTTGAGAATCCAATGAATCCTGTGCCAGCCTTATTTCAGGAGTTCCTGCAGGCTAACACTGACTGGTAGCAGCTCTCCAGGGTTTCAGTTTCCCAGTGCCGTCGGCCTTGGGCATACATTTGTATTTTACCATAGGAATACATCAGAAAGCTCTGATTGGAAATAGAGCCCTTTGTGTCTACAAATTGCAAAACAACAGATTTGTGATCATCATATGTGATAGTGTGCACAATTTCCTACATGAACATGATATTTATATAGAAAATGCATCTAGTGTGAAGAAATCCTAGGTAGGAGTGGAGACAGTTCCATAAACTTGTGAGATTACAAATTTGCTATGGACTGAAGCTTTGGTTCTTCAGATTTAATTAGAAACTGCTAGGATCGTTCCAGATTTATTTCCCTGACGAGGCTGAATTTAAATAGGAAGATAATATCAACTGTGAGCAGCATGAATCCCTCTTGGTATGCCTGCCTTGTAATGCCTTCATGGCCTAGCCTGAGTGCCTCTGCAAATATGCTAGCAATTTATAGATAACTGAGCCTTGACTTTTATCTTTAACAGAGTTGTTTAGGCATATTCAGCTTTTCCAACACTTGACCACATGCTCTATTATAAGCTATGTTTATACAAAAGGAGAAAAGGGTGTTTTAGGGCTTAAATTTATTTATTGTTCTTGTTTAAAATAGACATGCTCTGTGCCTGTAAATGTCTTTGTTGACAAATTATTACAAGGTTGGCCCTAAAACTTTTTAACTCAATAAATTGGTAGTTTGCATTTAGCTTCTCTTCTGCATTCTGTCTTTTATAAACATTCATCCCCACACATAGTATAAAGTAGTCAGGGGAAAGTTCAAAATAGGCTTGAGCAGAACTGGTTAGAGGGGCGTGCAAATGTTTTTGCCCAGCGAAACTCTCACCCCTTCCTTTTCTGCAATTTTCCCCATCTCTTTGCAAGAAAGTGAAAAAATGCGGGACTGCTTTCATTTGTTTCATGGAATTTACTTTTAAGTAATTCCCCCCGCCCCACCTATTATTTGAGAAGATCTCACAAATAATGCTTTGATTGAATTATCCATGCAACGGTTACCAGGGCACTGTTAAATATTTTGCCAAAAACATAATATAATAGTTTATGCAATTAATATTAGACATGTTACAGAAGCAGGACCTTCATAAACTATCCATGTGTATCTGTGCTGGGGATCTTGTCTGTTGTATCGGTTTGGTCACTCCATCTCAGATGTTGCAAAGATACAAAATATTTTTAAAAAGTCAAAATGATCCATGGATTAAAGCACATTCTGTGCAATATTTGGAACTGTTTCAATTTTTAGTTTTAGGACAGTTAAGGGGACACTTGATAGAAGTTTGTGGAATTATTTAAATATTTTGGAGAAAGTAGACAGAAATAATTTTCTTCCTCTCTCACAGTACCAGAACTTGTGGTCATCCAGTGAATCCATTCGCAGTAGATTCATGACAGACAAAAGAAATTCATTTTTCACACAATGCATCATTAACTTATGGAATTTGCTGCCACAGCATGTAGTGATGGCTACTGGATTAGATGACTTTAAAGGGGGAATTAGACAGATTCACTGAGAATAGATCTCTCAATGGCTATTAACTAAACTTTTGAAGATGTTTAGCTTTTGAAGATGTTTTGAATATTGCTGTAATCTGTTCTATTACTCTCTTCTGTTACTTTTTTATGTAGTTTTATATTGCCTTTTGAATGTATGGTAACTTTTTATTTTGTTTGCTGCATTGATGGGTTTGATGTTAGCTGCATTGATGAAAAGTAGCATAGCAATAAACAAACAAACTAGGGTAACTAAGTGGAATGCCCCTGTTCAGAGGCAGAATGCATGCAATACTAGCAGAAGACTTCAACCTTTATGCCCTGCCTGCAGCGTTCTGTGAACAGCACTGTCATGTTTGTAAAAAGCAGGGGATGGTCATTGTGAGAACAGAGTGCTAGAACAAATTGGCCTTATCCAGCAGACTCATAATGTTTTTATAATCCAGCTGTTCTGATTATTCATGGGAGTTCCTCCACTTTTTGCACTGGTTCTTACAGGACCCTGATTCAAAATTCTGGAGTTAATGTTTGAGGAAATGGGCCAGGAAGAACTAGTGGTTCCCTTACTAGGCTGCGTATATTAAACGGAACAAAATTAAATAAAATAGCACAAGGTGGCTGTGCAATTTTATTGTAAGGAATCTCTGTGAAAACCACTGTGGAAATGCCATTTACAGTAAATAGTAGACAAGCAAAGTAGATCTAATCCCATTTCACATAGTAAACAAATTTTGGAAATGAAGGTTAACTCATGTAGTAACAGAGAGTGTTGAGATTGTCAGCACGTGTGATGGTTCACTGTTCCCCAACCAGGGAATCCTAGCAAGAGGCCATCACTGTTTGTGTATACATGCTGGTGTTTTGCAGAGGGAATGTGCATGCAGCTAAAGCAGCTCTGTTGGATTTTGTAGTTGGTTAAGCACAGTGCAATGGCAGATGCTTGTCTCAGCTCACAAATGGCTTGAGCAAGCAGGCAACAATATTGGTGGACTAGACAATTTGACTCAGAAAACAGTTTAACAAATTTCTGTCTTAAAAGTAATCTGCTTTCTGTTTTTTCAGGAATAGTTAAAACATTTTCTCTATGAGTTCAAAATAAATTGCATGCCTTAAATAATCCCTGCTAAACTTTTTAAGAGTAATTATAAAACACTGGTGTTCATTCATTGTTGTACATACTGGTGATCCAGACTATTCTTGGGAGGCACTCTACTCACAGAACTGCCCTGCTGATGGAAGTAGTGGGAGGAGATTTCTGCTTATTCCTCCTGCAATCCGTGGTGTCCACCCAAAAAGTTGTCCCAGAAGGAAAGACTATCCTCCAGAACTGTGTGGGAGATAGACCTGGGGGCTGCAAAGGAAAGGGGGAATTACCAAAATTACCCTCCTTCCTCCAGCAGCTCGAGGTGGCATACATGGTTCTCTTCTTATTTTTGTTTCTGTGGTGTAAACAGTTTTCATATATAGTGCTATGTTCTAACTTCTAGGTGCAAATTATGGAGGAGAAACTAAAAGCTGCTAATGTCCAAACCAGTGAGTCAGAGACAAGACTATATAAGAGATGTCAAGATCTGGAGACACTGGTGCAGGAGAAAGATGACATCATACATAATTTGGAAGAACAGCTTGCAGAACAGGTTGGAAATGATATGGCTGTCCCTCAGTTACCTACATTTATAATTTGTTGTATAACAGATAAGAACCAAAGTAGGGAAAAGAATCCATACCTTCTAGATTTTCTTCCACTGAAAGCCCTGTTGGAAAAAGTAATCAGATTCTGTAAAGATATCTATTCATATCTCAAATTTTGATCAGAAATGTAAATGTGGATGACTATATTACATGGCATGCATCTGAGAAGGAGATTTTGAATGGGACCTTTTCTAGTTGTTTGGGCCCTTAAAATTGTGTTTTTAAAAATTGTGTTGGGGACAAACTTTCTGCTTTCTTCAAACACTGTATTATTTTGATTCCTGGAGCAACTGTTCCTTTTTTGAGGGGCGGGGTGGAATTCTTAGAACTTCATAAAGCAGCTTCGCAGAAGATCAGACTTGAGGCTGCCAACATATATTTATGTGTTGCCATAATAGCACTGAGATCCAATCTAGTCCCAGCACAGCAGCATCTGCCATAGTGTTGATGTACTGATCTCTTGTTCCTGCCCTATAAAACTTGTACAAGGGCAACTGATGCTTTCCCATTAGCTGGAGGAGAGACTGGGGTCCCTTTTGTGGTTGAGGATCTGGATTTTTAGTGGAGGTATTTGTTGTTTCTACAAGAGTGGCTTTTTGTAAGGGGATGAGAGTTGTTGGTTGTTTTCGTAAGCATCAGATACTGCTCTAATTGCATAATGCCAATTGTTGGGTGGACAAAAACGTTTCTTGGGGTCCAGAATGCAAGTTGCAAAAGAGCTGGGTCTGTCATTTTTTCAGAAGCAAATAAGAATACAAGAGGCAAAAATTATAGAAGAAAAAGCTGCCAAGATAAAAGAATGGGTGACTGTCAAGCTCCATGAGGTGAGTGCTGTGAGAAAAATGTATCAAAGATGAGCAGCAAACACTTGAAAATGCTTGAAAATGTAGCAGGCATTATATGGTTAAAGTTTTTTTCATTATTACGTTCACTGATATTACATTATTACGTTCACTGAACCTCTGCCAACAAAATGGCAACTCAGAACTATGCACAGATGAAAATCTTAGTGGACTAATTCATGTTCCTTTAGCACACAACTGCCATTTCCCAACTTATCTACTCACTAGTAAAAATGAAAAAGTGAGTTATTAGCAGCTTTCCAAATAAGTCCACCAGTTTTACTGATATGCAAAAGTATTTACTGGTCCTTCTGGTCATTCACACATATGTTAATCATCTGTGGGACATAGGCAGCTTGAAAAGAGGATGTGCTATCCCAGATGCAGTAACTGCTTTTCTCCAAATCATCAGAGAATGGGAATTTAAAGATAATTAGGATTCCCCCTTTCTGTGCATTAGAAATAAGAAAATACTTTTGATTTAAGGTGGTTGATGATGAAGAGAATGGGTTGGTTTTAGTGCCTTTTTCTGTCTTAAGATTTATGGCAGCCATAACATGTAGAATTTTTCAAAATGAAGAAATAGGAACCTAGAAACTGAAATCACAGAATCATAGAAATGTAGAGTTGGAAGGGATCACAAGGGCCATCTAGTCCAACCTTCAATATAAGAGTCCTTTGCCCAAAGTGGGGTTCCAACCTACGACCCTGAGATTAAGAGTCTCATGTTCTACCAACTGAGCTATTCCTTCACTAAATAAGCATTGAGATCAACAACTGCGATTCTAATAAACATTTAAATTATATTGTTTTCAGATGTGGCAAAGATACACAAGTATGGTTTGAATATTACCTACCTGAAGCAGTATTTTGAACTATTCATACATATAAGATAGGGGGAAATGGCTTTTCTCTGGATGCAATGTTTTTCAGTGTTTCTACTCATGAAAAGGAGCTTCTGTCTATATGCTTTCAGCTAGAAGTGGAAAATCAGAACCTTCGCATGTTAAATCAAAACCAAACTGAAGAGATGAGGATATTGCAGACTAAATTGCAAGGTAGATGTGGAAGATTATCTGAAAACAGCTTTAAGTGTTATGTACTGCGTTTCATTATTAGAACATTAGCCAGCATGCCTTTACATTAAGTATGTAAGTATTTATAACAGGTTGTATTCTGTGCTAATGTTTGTGCCACGGGCACAGAATTTTTATGGGTGGAAGTTGGATGAGGAATGCTTCCCCAACTCTGAGCCTTGGCTACTGTTGCAGGTCCCTTTCTTGAAATATTCTTTCCCGCTCACAAAATCAGTCCTTCCGCACGTGCAGAGAGAGGGGAAGAAACGTGTCCATGCGCAACTCACACACTGGATCCTTGGAATTCTTGCTCACTTTTTTTCTCCCATTTGAGCCCAGGTCTGCTGCACTGGTACGAGCTACAAGTGGGTCGCCTCGACTCACAGCTAGGCAGTGCCAGGCTGGCTGCAAGCACCCTGTCCATGGCAGGGGAGACGGGTGGGTGGCCAGACACATGGTGGTGGTGGCGCCCCAGCCTGAGGAGGTGCGCATGCATGTCCCACCACTTCTCTGTGGCTCCATTTGGCAACAGCAGCAGTGCTGCATGGAGGTGCCTTGATGGCTGGGCGACGGCAAGCACCTCCATCCTGCCCACAGCCAGCTTCCTCTGCCCGTTGCCCTGAGCTTCACTAGAGACGCTCCCACTCACTTCAGCACACTAGGGGGTGCAATACCTGCTCTGCCCTGGGTGTTGGCAACCCATGCAACACTACTGGTGAGAATCAGCTGGTACATATATTTCCCTTGCCCACAATAGGAAAATAGGAAGTTGGGACCTCTAGCTTCCTTTGCATTATTTATCCATTTAGATTTCATTTTTAGGTAGATGCCACAGTGGAATTAGATCACTTGTTTGTGCCATTTTCTAAAACCTAGACTTAAGATTCAGTCAGATGTTGTTTCTTTGCTTATATTCTAACCCTCTGCATAGGAAGTATCTAGAAAATTGTTATATGCACATTTTGTAATGTTGGAATTTTCAGATATGGATAAGTTGCTTGGATGATCATGAGACACAGCCACAATTTTTTATGTGGCTTGGGAAACCCAGCCAGATGGGCTGGGTATAAATAAATGATGATGATGATGATGATGATGATGATGTGGTGGCAATGATTCCTAAATCAGCCTTGAGACACTTCTATGAAAGGAAGTTTCAAATGGCTTAAATATATATATATAATAGCTGTATCAGTCCTTCCACTTGCATATACTCTTCTACTGATAACTGTGAAGACTCAGTAGAAAGGACAAATATGTTGCTGATGCTTAAAAGCAAGCTTGTAAATCAGAATTATGTAGTCTTTGTCTCTTCTGATCTGTAGCAATGCTTACAGTCATCAGATTGAGGGTTTTGCTGATTTAAAACCAAATGAAAAGATGTTGTAACATACATTTTCAAAACCAGTATAGGAATAAAAAGCTGCCTTATAGCAAGTTAGAAAACGATAACAATGAGGATCCCTAGAAGTCAAAGCATAAACAATTACAAGACCTAGAATAATCTATATATCTTTATATATACATCAATGAAGATACAGAAACACAAAACCAAATAATATAAATCGGAAGATAGGACATCAGCAGACAAAAATCTGTTTCAACTGTTTAGTCTTTTTTTAATTCAGTCTGTTTTCTCAGTTGTTCATGAAGAGTGTGATAACATTCAACTCATGAAGAGATATCCGGTTCTTCTTGTGCTTTTCTGGCCAATAAAGGTTATTTTTTCTGTGCAGTTGTTTTTGTCATGATGAATTGCTTTTTTGCCTTGATGAAAAACAGTTTTTTCCCTACAAGTGCATGTACAGTCTTTGAGTGAAATATTTTATGGTTCATCTTGGCTAAAGAATTCATCAGTGCAAACACAGCTGCTTAGAAAAATGAACCCGTATGGGCCAGAAAAGTACAAGAAGAACCAGGGTATCTTTTCAGGAGTTGAATGTTATCACTCTCTCCAAGGACAATTGAAAAAACAGACTGATATTTATATTTTTTAAGGAAGACTGAGTTTACCGATGTGCCATCTTCAGATTTATATTATTTCTTTTTGTGTTTCTGTAGCTACACTGATGCAGTTTATTTTATTGAGAGAGAGAGAGAAAGAAAGAAATACAACCCCATTTTTATATACAGTCATACTTCGGGTTACAGACGCTTCGGGTTGCACGATTTCAGGTTGTGCACTGCGCCAAACACGGAAGTACTGGAACAGGTTACTTCCGGGTTTCGGTGCTTGCGCATGCGCAGAAATGCTAAATCGTGCTTTGCGCATGCGCAGAAGCACTGAATCACAACCCGTGCAGACACGGCACTGTGGGTTGCAAACGTGCTTCCCACACAGATCACATTCGCAACCCGAGCGTCCACTATACTGGGTCTTGTAATTTTTATACCAGATTTGTCCCATTAATCTAGTCTTTCTACTCTCATTGGTAGCAGAACTCTGATCACATACTACCTGTTTCTTTCAATTAGAGATACCAGGGATTGAATCTGGACCTTTTGCATTCAAAGCTCTACCACTGAGCTTTGGTTCCTCCTCAGAAGGGGTCAGTGTTATTTACTGCTAAATTGGAGAATGCCTTTTGACTGAAGGGGGGCTAATACAAGCCCAGTGTTGTTGTCTTGGTACAGGAGCCAAGAACTAATTTCATTGTATGTGTGGAGAATCAGATTCCTGTTCTCGGTTAGCAAGAACAAAAAATATTCCTCATAAATGATAGCTGTTCACCACTTCCCACTTCTTCCATAAATTTTGCTCATACAATGGTACCTCGAGTTACAAACGCTTCAGGTTACAAACTCTGCTAACCTGGAAGAGTTACCTTGAGTTGAGAACTTTGCCCCAGGATGAGAATGGAAATTGTGTGCCAGCTGCGCAGCAGCAGCAAGAGGCCCCCATTAGCAAAAGCACGCCTCTAGTTAAGAACAGTTTCAGGTTAAGAACAGACCTCCGAAACTAATTAAGTTTGTAACTAGAGGTACCACTGTATGATGGATTTCTTTCTTTCCACACTTTAGTCAATAGAAATATAAAAGAAAGAATTTCAGGTAAACATGGATGCTAATATAAAAATTCTTGGGTCTTACAGCTTTCAAGATAAATAAGAAATCTTTTAGTATATAACAGCAGAATATATTGAATCTTGATATTTGAATTATTGCTGCACAGAACTTCAGGGGAAGAAATCTGTTCCTTCAGCACAAAAGCCTGGAGAAGGCCAACGACTGAGCAGTTTGACTTTTGGATGCTTCTTGAACCGAGCAAGAAGTCCTCAGCAAGTTCCAAAGCCTGACGATACAAGCAGCTCCTCATCAAAGCAAGCTGAACTAAGTGAAGGCAATAGCAGTCTAGGTATTTGGGGCATAATTTTCGAAGTGACCAGTAATTCAATCCTAAACAGATTTACTTGGAAATAATTTACATTGATAACAATGGGATTTTATTTCTAACTTTATTTCTAGGAGGGATAGAGACTTCTTTTTAAAAGAAGCTCAGATTCTGGGGCCTCTGCTTGGGGCGTGGGTTGGCTGTGCTGGCAATCCTGGTTATCAACCTGCATCAAAACAAGCAAAGTCTGTTGACCAACTTTGGCCAGAAATACCACCCTTTTAAAAACTACATGCATGTTACAGAACTCATGAGTGAAAACACAATCTAGGTGTTTCCCATGAATTGAAACAGGGATTGGGAAACTCAGGCCTGGAGCCAAATGCAGCCCTCCATGCCTCTCTATGTGGCCCTTAGAACTCTTCCCAGGCCACACATACAACTGGCCCTGCTTTGTGACTCGAGAGTGTTTTGCCTGGCTGGAATGCCCACCGGTCTTGAGAGCGTTAAACTTTTGAAAATATAATTAAAGTTGAGGAAGAAATATTCTTTCTTTACACAGAAATTTATTCTTAATAAACTTCATAATTTTAAGCTTAGTCATCGTGTTCTGTTCTTTGTAATATGTCATATAATCTTTTACAAGGGCTGCGTATTTTAATTTTCCATCTTGACCAACAGTGTTCATGTTATCAAAAATTTCAGTGTGAACATTAGAACAGTTTCAGTCTTATCTACAAAGTAGTTAACCTGGGGTCCTTGCATTTGAATAGGAATAGCCTTCTTGTTTTTCAAATGTGTTAACATACTGATCACAAAACTATATAATACCAGCAACTGAAAGCTTAGGATAGGATGAACTCATCTGGCACTTACATTGCAGGGGTGCTACTTTGGATTTGTCAAGTGCAATGACGTTGCTGCAAATGTTTTAGGTTTGAAATGTCACTTAGCTTATGGAGAAGTACTCTGACCTGTTTGTAGCTTAGGTTGTAGGTTAAGAATAGTTTCTATTACACTTTCCTTCTGATTCTGTATACTTGGAAGTGAAAGCTGTTCAAGGACTGGATAGTAGGGCTGCAGTGCAGAAGAGTCACAGCAGACAACAGGAGAAACTAGTAGAATGGTCAGAGGAGGTATATTTCTCCGCCTTTTTGTTGTTATCATCCCCTCCTTCAGATTGTATAAAGAAACTCTGTATGACAAAAAAAAGTACTTGGGCTAGTTGCAAAACCCCAGACAGAGCTTTCTTTGGGCTCACTTTTGAATTACTCACTGTGTTCTACATTTTCAACCTTCAGGTGAGAGCCATTTTTGAATGCTCCTCCACGTACAAAATTAACTCCATGTACAAAATTAAACCCTAACTCCTCTGGAAATAAGATTCTAGCCTTGCCCTTCTCCATTTTTTCTATACTAGTTTTCTGTTTGAAGGAAGTTGTCATTTTGACAAAGCTAGTGGAGTATTAAAACCAGCATCTCAGTCTATAGCAGCCTTTCTCAACCTGTGGGTCCCCAGATGTTGTTGAACTTCAATTCCCATCACCCCTAGCTAGCAAGGCCAGAACTCAGGGATGATGGGAGTTGTAGTCCAACAACATTTGGGGACCCACAGGTTGAGAACCACTGCTCCACAGGGATTTGGTCCACTTATTTGTAGATCTGACCATATCTTAGAATGAAGCGGCCAATGTTTCACATAATATTGTATACTATTTGTATACAGTATTTTTCCATGTATAAGACTAGGGGGTTTTTTTAACCAAAAAATTAGGTTTGAAATTGGGGCTAGTCTTATACATGGGTAGTGCTGAGGGGTGTTTTCTTAATTTGGAGTCCCCCAAAATAGGGGACGTCTTATACACAGAACTATACGGTAAGCTGTATATCACAATTATCTTGATTGAAAACAAAGGTGCATTTCAGCTGATGGACACATTGGTTATAAATTACAACCTGCTGCCTTCATTAAAAGTAGTTTTTCCAAACATGTCGTTGTTACTGTTTTTCCAGAGAAAGAAGTCCAGGAAACATCTCTTCTTGGCCAAATGTATGGGAGTAATAGAGTTCTGAAACCTCTACAACATAGCTCTTGTATGCCAGAACAAAGGCAAGCAGTAAAGTCAAAAGACCTAGATAGTAATGTATCAAAGAACTCCTGCATTACAGTAAGTGACTGGAGCTCTGATGAGGAAGAAGGAGGCAAAGGAAGATCAAAATCTAGGTGCGTATCCACTGTTTCAAGTCACACATCTGAAGAAGGCACAGGCTATAGCAGAATTGGAAGTGAAATGTATTTGACAGCATCAGATGACAGCAGTTCTTTTTTGGAAGAAGAGAGCTTCCAAGCTCAGGGAAACATATGCAAAAAACTATATTCTTGGCAACAAGGGTCTCCATGGAAAAACCAGAACCATCTAGTTGGAAAGAGCAACTTGGAATCCTTCAGCGAAAAGAAGGATCATGATAGCTTTTCAGATGAACTGAATAAGAGGTTTCAGTCCCACAGGCTAGATTATTCATCCTCTTCCAGTGAGGCAAATACTCCAAGTCCAATTCTTACGCCAGCTCTAGCTCCTAAGCATCCAGCACTGATCCTGGCAGCAGGCGCTGTGTCTGGCAGACAACTTGATTCTCCATCTAATCTGCCGCCTCCAAAACTGAGGACTCCTAGCATCTTTACTCTAAGTGCAGCATTGGCAAAAAAACATTTCAGCCAGCCTCCTCTATGTTCGGACAAAATGTTTGGCAGAAACAGAAATGCTATAAGCATGATACGTCCTTTTAAGCCTCAGGAAACAGACATAGATCAAGTGGATGGGGAAAGTACAGAAGTTCTGGAGAAGATGGAGATTAGTTGTAATGAGGAATTGTTTACCTATGACTCCTGTGAGACTCAGTGTGCAGAAACCTTGGACTCTAATGATGCAAGGAAAACTACAAGCAGCAAGCCGCCTACTCCTCCTCTGCATCGATTCCCCTCTTGGGTAAATGAAATCATAATATTCCAGCATGTTAGTTTAACCAGATATGGTTCACATTCCCACTTTTTTGGGGGGGAAATTATCCTCTAAATGTTGCTATCAACATTAAACGTGGGCATATGTTGCTTCGTTGAAAGCACATGTCATCTCTCCAGTCAGAATTGACCACATATGAAATAGCTATAAGTGTTAATTTTTCAATGCAATAAATAAATAAATCTTGGTTTATACTTCAGAATACATGAGAACAGATTAGAAGCTCGACTAGGATCAATACAAGTTCATGAAATTTGTCACCGACTTCAGTGGGGCTAACAATAAAGTATTTTAAAACCCTTATAATTTCCCTTCTTTTTCATAACAGGTTATATAATTTAACCAGGACAAGAGAGAGGGCGGATGGAGTAGAACAGGAAGACATTAAGTTAAATATGACAGCACTATTAGATGAGTTGATTGAAGAGCCTTTACTAGATTTTCCACTTTAACTTTAATTCACTACTTATTATTATTTAATCAAGGGCTGGGGGTGGAAAGTTTGAATCCAGGCAGTTGTGCTGGGAGTGGGAAGTTAGTGTTTTCCATCTCATCTAGTATGGCCAGAGTGTGTGTGTAGGAAATGCAAAGAAATGTATTTACTGCCACTGATATTCACAGTTTATAATTTCCTGTGTTTACCTTTCAGTTACTTTTTAATACTTAGAATATTGCTGTTTGCTGTGACTTACATAGGGAAAGTGATAGGGAGAGTTGAGGGAAAGAGTAGTACAGTGGTACCTCAGGTTACATACGCTTCAGGTTACAGACTCCGCTAACCCAGAAATAGTGCTTCAGGTTAAGAACTTTGCTTCAGGATGAGAACAGAAATCGTGCTCCGGCGGTGCGGCAGCAGCGGAAGGCCCCATTACCTAAGTGTTGCTTCAGGTTAAGAACAGTTTCAGGTTAAGAACAGACCTCTGGAACAAATTAAGTACTTAACCCGAGGTACCACTGTACAGGTAGTTGTTACTAATGTATGCAGTTTGGTGGAAGGTGATCTTAAAAGTATGCATTTCTCTGGAAAAAAATCTCAACTGTTCTAAACACATTTAGCTTCTTTCCTAAGCACATTTACTTAAACAAACAAGCATCCTGTTGACTTCAGGAACTATAATAGGTGCTTAGGAAATTATAGGTTAATTGAATTTTGATAGCAATATATAGTGGAAAACACATAAATGACTACTAAAGAGAGCTTATGGGCAGTATCCAACTTATTCTGTGCAAGGATTTCTGCTTGCTCAGTGGACCTTTCTCCCCCATGTGCCATTCTGGGGGTTTCTCCAGCCCTCCAGACCAAGATGTGGGGACAGCATCGGACACATATGGAGAGAGGAGAGGTGGGAAAGCTCCCTTGGGTAAATGGAAATCTTTACATAGATTGAACAAATCAGTTAGATACCATCCTAAAGCTTAACCATAATTATTAAACAACATTAAAATATTACCATATGAAGAAATTGGTATCAAGTGACAAATATTTCAGTAAAGAACAAATCATGTTGCTGATAATCAAAATAAGCTTTGTTGTACTAGCCCAGGGATCTGCAACCTGCGGCTCTGGAGCCACATGTGGCTCTTTTACACCTTTGCCGCGGCTCCGGGGCGGATACTAACGAGGGGAGGAGGCGCATTGTGCGCCCCAACACTCCCCACTGTGGCGGGCGCTGTACTGGCTGTGATGTCGCATGGGGCAGTGCGTGCGTTAGTCACGCACCGTCCCGACGTCACCTGCCCGCCCGCTACATTGTAAGGGGCATGTACGCTGGTCACTGCATTGAAAGGGGGCATGTACGCTGGTCACTGTTTTGAAGGGGAGTGAAGAACACACACACACAAAAAGGTAACTTGTTAATTTAACGTTTATTTCTATGAGGAGGAGTAATTCTGAGGGGTCAAACAAATAATAAAAAAAGTGACAAAAAAGTTATTTTTATAATGACAAGTTTTGCGGCTCCCAGGTTTTTTTTCTTTGGAAACGGGTCCAAGTGGCTCTTTTTATCTTAAAGGTTGCAGACCCCTGTACTAGCCAAAGGCCATGACAAAACCATACAAACACTATCAGGAAAAGAAATATCTATATAACTATGTAACTGTATGTAAAAAGCCAAGCCACTGCCTGAACCATCAAAATCATGAAATGCTGCTAATAAAAAAAATGCAGCAATGTCTGAAAGAAATACATTTTATAAGGAATAGCTGCAAAAAATAGAGAACTAGAGCAGAAATATGCAAATAACAGATTATCAATTTTTGGCATCAGCTGTTAAAATGTTTCCTAACGTTGAAAAGAAACTTAATTCTGCTCCCATTTGAATTTAGTTGAAGTGGGCCATAGATGTAATGTGAACACAGCCTAAAGTTATGGAAAGGCTTAATAAAATGTATTCTAAAAACCTCTGTTTGTATATCAGGAAAGCAGAATTTATGCTGTAGCCAAGTCAGGCTTACGCTTTTCTGAGGCCTTCAACATGGACTCTTTCAATAAAAGTAAGTGTGACAAAGCTGTATGAGGTTTGAAATCTTTAACAGGTACATATTTTTCAACTCAGTGAGACTTACCTCAGAGTAAACAGGAGGTTTACTCTGCTTATTTGCTTGCTTATTTGTGGAAATAAAAGTTCTCAAAAGAGTACAAATGTTTTGCTTCTTTACGTATATATATTAAGTTATATATCTGATCAAGCATGCTTCTTATATTCATGACCATTTACATTACTTTTTACTAGCTTTTAAAATTTAAAATTAAAATTTCCTTTTCTTCATTCTATTTAAAAATATTAACATATCAAAAATGTATAAATTTCATAGAATGCATTTTGTCCTCATGTTCTTTTACCTTCTTAGAACTTGTACATCTGTATCTGACAGTCTGGTTTTTTAAAAAAATATAATTTTTAATTAATTTTCCAACACAATTGTACATGTTTATCCAAATTTTAACAAATTATTCTTTTTGGACTTCCTTCAGCTTCTCTGGTAATCATCCGTAATTACTCTTCAATACGCATTCCCTTCATTGTATTGCCATTTGTCTTCCCTACCCTTTCTATTTCTTTTTAACAATACATCTTAAACTTTTACAGTGCTTCTTGAAACCCCACTAGCGTTGTTTGCACATCACATACATTTTTCAGATAATCTACAAACATTCCCCAATCTTCGATGAACTTTTGGTTTCGAATATATCTTATTTTCCCAGTCAATTTATCCAGTTCCGCATAGTCCATCAATTTCATTCTCCATTCTTGTATCGTCGGTATTTCCTCTTGTTTCCATTTCTGGGCCAATAAAATTCTTGCTGCTGTAACTGCATACTGGAAAAGTTTACAGTCTTTTCTTCTTATTTCTTTTCCTGTAATCCCTAACAGGAAAACTTCTGGTTTCTTAACAAAGGTATATTTTAACATCTTTTTCCATTCATTATATATCGCTTCCCAGAAACTCTTCACTTTCTTACATTCCCACCACATATGATAAAACGTTCCCTCTTTTTCTTTACATTTCCAACACTTATTACACGTTTTGTACATTTTTGCAAGTTTTACCGGTGTAATGTACCATCTATAAAACATTTTCATAACATTTTCCTTCAACGCCATGCATGCAGTAAATTTTAAATTTTCTTTCCACAATTTTTCCCAATCTTCAAATTGAATATTGTATCCAAAATCTTTTGCCCATTGTATCATTACCGATTTAACCTCTTCATCTTTCGTACACCATTCCAACAATATCTTATACATTTTTGACAAAATTTTATATTCATTATGTATTATATCTGTTTGGAACTTAGAATCTTTATCTGCATAACCACTTTCCTTTATATCTTTTTTAAACATTTCGTTTACCTGAAAATAATGCAACCAATCATACACATAATCTTTAACTTGTTCATATGGTTTTAATTTCCATTTTCCTCCTTCTTTAGTTACCAATTCACCATATGTAGCCCATTTTCCTCTCATATTAATTTTCTTTACACACATAACCTCCAGCGGGGATAACCAATGTGGAACTCTTGGTTCCAAAAGACTTTTATACCTGTCCCATACTTCTATTAGCGAATTCCTGAAAATGTGGTTCCCAAATCCTTTATGAACTTTCTTCTTGTCACACCATAGGTAAGCGTGCCAACCAAATCTGTTATCAAAACCTTCAAGGTCTAGTAATTCCATATTTTCTAATTTAATCCATTCCTTTAACCAACATAGGCATGCTGCTTCGTAGTATAGTTTCATATCTGGCAGGGCGAAGCCTCCTCTTTCTTTCGCATCTGTTAATAGTTTATATTTTATTCTTGGCTTCTTGCCCTGCCAGCTGTATCTGACAGTCTGATTATTCGGCTATTACTTTATTCAATGAAAAATTTCCCTAAGTAATCCAGCATTTTCAGAATATATATATATAAATTATTTTTTATTTCAGGTTCCACCTCTTCAGCTTCATATTCCTCATCAGGACTTTACACATCGCTAATATACAAGAATGTGACTACACCAGTCTATACCACCCTTAAAGGGGTAAGATTTTGATTTAAAAGTTGTATTTAGGGGATGAACTCTTGCGGTCTATTTCAAAAACATGACGTTTCATACATTTCAGAGCAAAAAAAAAAAAGTGCTTGAAAAGTTATTGGTACTGCTTTGGAATTGTTGTAGTGGGGATCCTACAGTTAGAATCCCAGGGTACGATGATTGACTAGTAATTTTCCAGTAATCTTTTAGAATATGATGAGTGTTAAATCGTTAAATGAACCAGATGTGCACCAGATGTGAAACCTGAACATATCAGTAACATTTAAAATACAGTAGAGCCAGAAATACCGACGGAAAGAAAGTGAATGCGAAGTACCAAATGTTGGATAACAATCTCCAATATTCCACTTAGCTGTGGCAGGGCTTTTATCTTCTGGTACATGAAGGTAGAAGCATAAGAGGAGAGACAAAGAGCCAGCCCACCAAACATTCCCATACCACAAAAATATATAGGGTTGCTTCTATGGCATACCTTAATAATTTGGAGTTGTGGCGCCATTTCTCCTTTGTACTGATTCCATAACCTTCTAAATTTCCTTTGTAAATGGAATTTTATTTGAATTTTATTTTATTTTCATTAAATTTATATTCATTATTAGAAAGCAACACAAATCAGCAACAACCCTTTCTTAGATGACTCTTCTGGGTCTGAAGAAGAAGACAGTTCCCGATCCAGTTCACGGACATCTGAATCAGACTCTCGAAGCAGAAGTGGCCCAGGGAGTCCACGGGCTATGAAACGAGGTGGGCATAAGGCATATGAATGCAGTACTTTTGAAACAGTATAAGTGTTCTCGGGCTTCTCCTGATATCTCCCAAGTCAGTGAATTTTTGGAAAGGACAAACAAGAGCTTGGATGTGGTAAGCTCTTCCAGAGAAGCATTATGGAACATGACTATTGCAGTTCCTGTTTTTTTTAGAGAGCTGGGAACTAAAGAAGTTTTCCTGTTTCTGGAACATCTCCAACCTTTCTAAAGGGAAAACTGTTACAGTAACAGTAATGTTCGTACAACTCACATTTGACACTGATTAAGCTTTAATAGTTTGCATCTTCCAGGCTAACAAGGATTGTTTGGTTGTTGGTTCAACCCTTGACAAGCAGGAAATATATTATTATTATCTGCTTTGCATCCAGGGGTCTCTCTGTCTTCAATGACCTCAGAAGGTGACTATGCTATTCCTCCTGATGCCTACTCAACAGATACAGATTATTCAGAACCTGAACAGAAATTGCCTAAAACCTGCTCATCATCTAGTGATAATGGGAAAAATGTGAGTAATGTACAGCCTCTTTTATTCCAGGGCCCTTGGTTCCTTAGGCTATATCTGCACAAGTGATATCCACACTTCTTAATGCTTTCTTCCTACGTTTTTCTCTGAGGTTAAACCTGCGTAATCTCTCATTATACGTGTACATAATAGGCTGCTTAGAGAAAGAGAGTGGACAGAGGAGCAATCAAAATACAATTGAAAACGGCAGTACACTGACAATTTATGCCCATTTTAAAATTCCTGGACTTTCGATATTTCACCCACCCACCCACAGATGTTTGTGAGACAAAAGAATACATCTGTAGGATTGCAAAATGCCTAGGAGTCTGATGTAAGATGTGGGAGGAATGGAAAGAAAACACAAATTAGAGATTTGGTAGAGATGTGTGCACAATGAGGAACTGGAAATATATGAATTGTTCCAGTTAAAACATATGTATGTGGGTTATATGTGTTTAATTCAAATTTAACTTTCTGAAGCAAAAGATAAGCACTTACAATTTAGTTTTTATAAGTTATAAAGAGTCATCAAGAGGAGAAGCGGGAGAAGGATGAAACTGATAGATTAGGAGATGAGTGGCAAAGAGTAGAGAGGAGATGTGGCAGTGCTTATGCTAGCAGGCTATATTACCAAGATGTTGATGGGTTCTTTCTTACGGACAATGAAGCTTTTCCATGCATTTGGCTTATTAACTCACACCAGTAAGACTTGCAGATCAATCAAGTTTTACACTTCTACATTACAACTAGTTGTACAGTGGTGCCTCGCAAGACGAAATTAATCCGTTCCGCGAGTCTCTTCGTCTTGCGGTTTTTTCGTCTTGCGAAGCACGGCTATTAGCGGCTTAGCGGCTATTAACGGCTTAGCGGCTATTAACGGCTTAGCGGCTTTAAGAAAAAGGAAACAAACTCGCAAGAACTCACAAGACGTTTCGTCTTGCGAAGCAAGCCCATAGGGAAATTCGTCTTGCGGAACGACTCAAAAAACGGAAAACTCTTTCGTCTAGCGAGTTTTTCGTCTTGCGAGGCATTCGTCTTGCGGGGCACCACTGTATAGCTAAGGGAAATAAAATAAATCATAATTACCCTTCAACACATTAAAAATACCTTTTAAATTATAGGAGCCATTGGAAAAATCAGGATATTTGTTAAAAATGGGTGGTAAAGTAAAGACTTGGAAACGACGGTGGTTTGTACTCAAAGGAGGTGAATTGCTGTACTACAAATCTCCGGTAAGCAAGTGCTTTATTGTATTGTGCTTATAGTATTATGAGTTTGAATGCATCAAATGCTGCAAATCAACCTACCATTGGGCATCTATCGGTTGGTTGCGGACCTTATGACAGAATAGCAATGTCAATTGATCACTGGGGATCTCTCTTCAAAAGGGAGGGAAAGAGGAACATGTAGCAAGTTTAAATTTGGAGACTTCCCCTTGTGTTACCCATCTGATCTAAGTAAGCCAGCTTTAGCCGTTTTGGGAAGGACACAGAAGTCCACCACATCCTCAGTTTTAGTGTGTGCTTCCAAGAGACCTAGAGTGCATTAGGAGCCTGGCCATAGCCACAGCCTGCCTGGGGACAGCTCATATGCCACTATTGTAATTGCTCCTGTTGGGCCTTCCTGTGTTGACAGTGGCAGAGGTTTTCAACCTTTATGAGTCCACAGCTCCCTTGACCAACTACATTCTTTCTGCAAAACACCTGTGGGGCTCAGAAGCCCAGTTGTATCACCCTTTGCCTGCAGAGCTGGCAGCATCTCACCCTTTTTCGAACACTTTCCCTTGCGGAGTGTTTCCTCAGCCTCTTTTCCTTGAGAGTCCTCCAGGCAGCCGCTGCTGCCGCCCCTGGTCTCTGAGCTGCCCCCTGCCCCAAAGAGAGGTGCCACTGCCCTACAGGGACCTGGGACTTGTCTGTCCTTTCCCAACAGCAAGGGCTGGCAGAGTAGTTGGCTGGGCTCCCTTGCCCGCTTGCGTACTCCGAGGCAACCTCAGCTCCTGGCAACCAGCACCCCCTGACCAGCCCCAGAGCATCATTCGTGTGCTGAGCTTGTAGCCAGGGTTGCTGCAACAAACAGCTGTGCAAGCCTTTGGGAGGCAGATATGCAAGAAGGCATCAGAGGAGGGAGGAGAGGAAAGGGGGACAGAAGCCATGGTGCACTGGTTGAAAACCACTAGACTATGGTTATCTTTATGGGAACGAACCTAGGTGATTCTTTCATTCATGTGCTTCCTATTCCCTCTACTTTCTTGTTACTTCCAAACCCTAAACTGTGGTTAACCTATGTTCTCTTGAAACAAGCCAGCTTTATAAGTCAATATTTGAATTTGGTTTCAGTAAACCACAGTTTGTCCAAAGTTGCAAAGAACAGGGCAAAAGCTTCCAGTCTCCTCTTTGCACAAGATCTGCTGTCTCCAAGGTTTTGGCCCTACCCAGTGACAGCAGAGAACAAACATGGGGCCGTTTTGCCCAAAGCTATGCATGCCCCTTCCCCTACTGACCAGACATTTCTGAGCTATGGCCTTTCCCTGATGACCTGAAAGTTTCTGTTCTCCTTGAAAAGACTATTTCAAAAGGAGATTCCAGTGTACAACTGATGCATTAGAACTTGTCAAGAAATTTGATTCTGTCTGTTTGGGCCTTCATTACATATCTTTAGGCACTGGCAAAAATGTTTCTCTATAACTAGATATTTGGCTGATTAAACAATTTATGGCCTTTTAAATGTGTGGGAGGGGGGGCTATTGCATTGTTCTTGTTCGTGTTTTATTATGCATTTTGTGTTCTCATTTTGCATTTTTGTTATGAAATGCCCAGTGTTCTTCGGATGAAGAGTGGTATACAGATTTAAATAATACAGTGGTGCCTCGCAAGACGAAATTAATCCGTTCCGCGAGTGTCTTCGTCTAGCGGTTTTTTCGTCTTGAGAAGCAACCCTATTAGCGGATTAGCACTATTAGTGGTTTAGCGGCTATTAAAGGCTTATCGGCTTAGCGGATTAGCTGCTAAAAGGCTATTAGCGGCTTAGAAAAAAGGGGGGGGAGCGAAAAAAAATCTCAAGACTCGCAAGACATTTTCGTCTTGCGAAGCAAGCCCATAGGGAAATTCGTCCTGCGAAGCAACTCAAAAACGGAAAACCCTTTCGTCTAGCGGGTTTTCCGTCTTGCGAGGCATTTGTCTTGCGGGGCACCACTGTAATAATTATTAATAATAATAGTTAGATAGGCACATTATTTATTTGTATGTTTAGTAAATTTGTCAGTCACTTTACCTTGCCTAGGGCATGTCTGTTAGGCACATCTTCTGGGGAGGAATTCTGTCCACCCCAAAATCCTTAGATGGCCCATGACACATTCATTTTGAATGCAAGCATTCTTTAACAAATCAAATATGCACTCCTATCAGCGGCGTAGCGTGGGTTGTCAGCACCCGGGGCAAGGCAAGTAATTTGCGCCCCCTAACCCGGGGCAAGGCAAGTAATTTGCGCCCCCTAACCCCTAACCTGCCGCCGCTGCCAGCTTCTTCTTGCTGCTGCCTGGGCTGGTCTGGTGTGGTGCTCTCCGCGCCCAGCGCTGCGCTGGGCGGCCGCTGCACTGTCCCTCCCCCAGATAGTCCCTCGCTCTCTCTCCGCACCGCACGCCTGGCTCCCACTCCCTCCACAGTGGGCGGCGACCCAGCGGCTCGGATCGGATTCGCACAGCCAGCACTGCAGTGAGAGAGAGTGAGTGAGCCAGGTAGGGGCAGAGAGCTGCGAGTGCGAGCGCGCCCCCCCAGATGTTGCGCCCGGTGCGGCCGGCCCCCCCTGCACCCCCCATGCTACGCCACTGACTCCTATCAAAAATGTCCAGAGAGATGGGCACAGTCTATTCAGAATTAGACTGCTTCAATAATAATAATATGACCCAAGTTCCAATAGCTACTGCTACTTCCTGTTCTCTTCAGCAGACAAGGGCTAGACGTAGTCATCAGACTCACACACACATCTAGAGGTGTGTCTGTTCTTCCTGACCCAATAGCTAAATCCAGAGCAGATTCTGTACCTTCTTCATTACAGAATGTGGTCAAATCAGGGCATTCCACTGCACAACATGCATTTGGTGGCATATGCTAATCAATGTTATGTTTTAGACAACTCATCATGGAACAGCTGAAAGTTCCCAGACATAAATTGTCCTGTGGCTAGATTAGTATCCCACCCTCTGCATCCAAAGAACGGGGATGCTCAATTTGAGACCCCACAGAACACAAGTTCCATCTGGAGCTAAAGCATATTCATAAGTGAAATGCGTTTCATGTGTGGTTTCTAGATTCAGGTAGATTCTGTTTTCAATAGACATCTTGTTGTGGCTGGAAGATTTCTAGATGAGCCACAACAAGAATTAGAATAACGTAAGATGCTGACATTCTTGCAGAACATTTCTGAAAATTTCCAGGGCAACAGCATTTGTAGCTGATGCCACAATGAGTTCTCAGCCAGGCTCTGGCTGTGCCATTGGGAGATATACAGTACGTTGCTTCACAGCTTGTCTTCTTAGCCCTTTGTTGGAGGAAAACCTTTTGGTGAGGAGGCATTGAAGTAGACAAGAAGGCCATGCTTTCAGTGAAGAAAGAGGGAAGCTGGTCCTTTTGATGTTTCTTCCATCCCTAGCAGTCCTTTCATCCCATCAGATCAATTGAAAGAGAGGAAAATCATCAGTCTCATTTTTCTCATTTTTTTTTCTCCTACAGAGTGATGTAATACGTAAACCCCAAGGTCAGATTGAACTAAATGCATCCAGCCGTATTGTAAGAGGTGATGGAAAGCAAACAGTTCAGGTACTTCATTAACTTTCTATAATGAAAGAATTTGGCCTTCTCTGACCACACAGGCAGAGGGACAAACCCCTTCTTAGTGACATTTTACTGGTCTTGCACAATGAATTTTCAGTGGCACTCAGAGCACTTCCACTCAGCCGTTTATTGACTAGGTGCTGCTCATGCATAGAAGATTTTTTGCAGCTTCTACATAATGTCATCCTCATCAGAATACCACCCCATTCTCTCCTCCTCATTAAATCCAGATTTACTGTTTTTCCATGAAAATAGTAAATCCAGATTAAAAAGGGAAATAATATGGGATGGTATTTTAATGAAGACAAAGTTGTGTAGCCATTGAGGAAACTCGCAGGCATGTAGAATCATAGAATCATAGAGTTGGAAGAGACCACAAGGGCCGTCGAGTCCAACCCCCTGCCAAGCAGGAAACACCATCAGAGTACTCCTGCCATATGGTTGTCAAGCCTCTGCTTAAAGACCTCCAAAGAAGGAGACTCCACCACACTCCTTGGCAGCAAATTCCACTGTCGAACAGCTCATACTGTCAGGAAGTTCTTCCTAATGTTTAGGTGGAATCTTCTTTCTTGTAGTTTGGATCCATTGCTCCGTGTCCACTTCTCTGGAGCAGCAGAAAACAACCTTTCTCCCTCCTCTATGTGACATCCTTTTATATATTTGAACATGGCTATCATATCACCCCTTAACCTCCTCTTCTCCAGGCTAAACATGCCCAGCTCCCTTAGCCGTTCCTCATAAGGCATTGTTTCCAGGCCTTTGACCATTTTGGTTGCCCTCCTCTGGACACGTTCCAGTTTGTCAGTGAAGCACTGAGTCCACAGATAACTGCTCCAGGTATCTCCAGAAGTGAATTAGGAAACTTCTGTTGGGGTAAAGCATCAAGTAGAAATTTTGAAGGAACTTAAAAAAACTTCTGATAAGATTTACAACATTTTTCAGGAGGCTTTGATATGCCTGGAATGGAAACTGAATGATCCTTTAAGAATTTACTCTGAGAATTTTTAAATATCTGTTGATGACTTGTAAAGAAATATTTGTTCAATTAAAATACTTAATAGCCTCCCCTCTTTCCAGTATAACTAGGTTAACTTCAAACTCTATTTATTACATACTTGATGTTTAAATGTAGGTACCAGTAGAATGTGGTTAGGATGAGTTGTATTACCACAGTTCAAGGTTATTTCTTCCATCACTTTGCAGCTGACTACTGAAAAACGAACCTATTACTTGACTGCAGATTCCCCAAACATATTAGAAGAATGGATCAAAGTTCTGCAGAATGTTCTTAAAGTACAGGCTGCAAGTCCACTTTTCATTCAACCAGATGTCAAACCTGCCATGAAAGGCTTGCTTACCAAGGTAGAAATCCTTTTTCTCCGGTACTATCAGCTTTGTTTTTGTAAATTAGCAAATTCTTAGCAGATAGAATTAAGAGATGAAGGTGAATTTCAGAAATAGGAGTTTGGGCATATAGCAACTCCCCAATTCACAGCCCAAACCTTTTCTAAATTTGAGTACAATGGGTTAGCCACTGCTGGTCAGTACCCTCCAAACAACCTTACTTTTGCAAGGGGTGGAGGTCTGATGGTGGAGAGGGCTTGTTGGGGACAGTAAAGGCTTTGTCGATTTATTCTTATACTTGGAAACTCGTGAGCATGCTCAGAAGCGTTATTTCCTGCAAAGGTACGTGGGGCTTCCAATTTCCTGTCTCCTGGCCCAGTTCATTGAATTGGAAGCCAAAAGAAATTAAAATATTTTTGCACAACCTGTTAACTTGAGGTTAAAGTTTGCTTGGGCAAGGACAGCTGGGAGCTTTCTTCTCAAGGCTGGATTTTTGTTCTTCCCTGGAAAAGCTCACCACGTTCCTGGGCTTTTTCTGAGAATTCCCAGGGGCAAACTAGATGTGACATGAAATGCCTCTTTGCGTTCAACTTTTAAAAAATACAGATAATATAAGCTTGAGGAACTGGCAGTTGTGATCAGAGCAGGCATGAAGGGGCAATTTAATCATTTTCTCTCCACTGCAATCATCTGGATCTGGTATTTGCTTTGTGGAGAAACCATTCCAACATTTCTATCATTGAAAATGGTCCCTTGTGTATTTAAAATAAAGTAAAGGAATCTTTAGGTTCATACTCAGTACATACTAGGCATTCTTCAATTTATTCACTTGCAGGTAAAACATGGATATTCCAAGAGAGTGTGGTGTATGCTGGTTGGAAAAACTTTGTATTATTTCCGCAGCCAAGAAGACAAGGTATGTCTTTTTAACCTATTAAGGTATTAGAATTCATTTCTACTTGTGCCTTCAAGGTCGGAAGTCCTAGGTCATTTCTTAGTTCTCTTGAGACTGTGTGAGTAGGTACAAAGGGGTAATTTCACAAATTCAGCATTTATTATCGGAAAACAAAACTTGAACCTGTAATTCTGGATGAAGGAAACATTTGTAGGTAGGAAATGTGTGTATATTTTTGCTAGGACGGTGGCAACAAGAATGCTAAACCGGGTGTATCCCCTACATGCACATATACACACACAACCTAGTATGATGTTTGTCGGTTTTTGTACCAGTATGCTTTTCTCATTTACCTTACCTGATGTCTTTGCTTCTAGTTTCCTTTAGGCCAGATAAAACTTTGGGAGGCTAAAGTTGAAGAAGTTGACCGGTCCTGTGATTCAGATGAAGATTATGAGGCCAGTGGCCGTAGCCTATTATCAACACACTATACAATTGTCATCCACCCTAAAGAACAAGGTCCCACTTACCTTCTTATAGGATCCAAGCATGAGAAGGTAGCAAATGATTTATAATATGTCTGTAGTCAATGTTTAATAGTGAACATAGAATAATGTATATCAAAGGGAAAAGTAAGTGGCACTATGCTGATTCAGATGTAATGCTAAACCATAATTGAGTGTTACAAGGAGGAGCTGAAGTGAGCCTCAGGCTTCTTTAGTTCCCCTTTATCCTCAGAAGCTGAGGGTGTGTGTGGAATATTGACATCTTTCAATTTAAGTATTTATTGTATGGTCTGTAGATTGCTATACAGCTATATGGTATTCATCATGTGGGTGTGTATGCTGGAAGCAAAGCAAATTGAATAATTTTAGTAATATTTTGATTACGTTGGGGTGTAGAATGGGTCTTTATACTTAACAAAAATGGTTTTTTAAATACAAAATGTGGTATTCTACTAAATTATACTCAGAGTAAACCTACTGCATTAATTTCAGTGGGCCTCTTCTCAATAAAACTTTGTTGAATACCACCCAAACTTAAGTTTGGGAGTAGATTGATCTACAAGGGTGTGCTTTTTGCTTATATCAGACTGTTCTAGTTAATTAATAAATAAAAGCTAAAACTAATTTATAAAATGTTTTATTTGCTAGGACACTTGGCTCTATCACTTGACAGTTGCTGCTGGAAGCACAAATATAAATGTTGGGACAGAGTTTGAACAGCTTGTCTGCAAGTTGTTAAATATTGAAGGTGAACCCAGTAAGTCAATTTCCTTTATTGCAAACTAGTTCTTATTATATGACTATATAGTTGTTCCAAACTTGGCACATAAGAAAATAAGCTATTATTCCAGACTGGAAATACAATGCCACCTTGTAGTTTTCAAAAAGCTCATATAGGACTTTTTCTCCAAGTAGAAGGGGCTGCCCCAGCAGTCCTTGTCTATTGCATGAGGTTGCATGTTCGAATCCTGTATGGGGCAGCTGCATATTCCTGCATTGCAGGGAGTGGACTAGACAATCCTCAGGATCCCTTCCAACTCTACAATTCTATAATTCTATGAGTTGGGCAACCTGTGGCTCTCAGCCTAATTTCACGCAGATGGGGGAGCCCAGAGGGAGAGAAGAGCAGGAGGGGAGGAACGCTGAAAATGGAGGAGATGGGGTAACAAACCCTCTCCAAGAAGTCTGTCTTTTCCCTAGCAACCTGCTGGACAAAGAAGGGAGGAGGGAGAAAATGGGTAGCAGACAGAGAGAAAAGGGGTGGCCTCAGCCACTGCTAGCATGAATCCCCCCTAAAATAAGTTCCCCAGCCCTGGTTAAGGGGAAGTCAGGTGCAATGGACCAGTTCTTCAAACTGAAAACCTGGTATATGTAGAATGTTTTCAACTTGTTTCATTTGATTTGCACATATACCTATTTGATTTTATTAAAAATATCTCTTCAACGTGCCTGTCATAGTTAGACTTGATAGAAAATCTTTGTCTCAATTAAGCCATCAAAGCTTTAAACTCTTGACACTGTCAGTAGCACTGTGATTTTACTAGACAGGAGTGGTGTAGCAGGGGCCTATTAACATTTTACAAAAATACAGTGATATTTCTGCCCCCTAGAAGTTTGAAACAGTACACACTGAAGCCTCCTACGTAGGATTTCAAATCATCATGTACATCATTTGGGGGTTTGCCCATTCAAAAATAAAATAACATTTAGGAAGCATTGTTGCTACTTTTTTCAAATAGTGTTTTTAAAATGGTTGCATAATGCTTTGAGGAAAGAGCACAGGGGGAAATGTAGATTTAGTAAAAGCATATGTGGTATTATGCTGGACTATTTGTACAAATATTTGTACACACACATCTTGCCTTATGTGAAATAGTTCCTTTTTCCAAGATGATGATGATGATGATGAATCGTTTTGTTTATATAACTCCCTTCCTCTCAATGGAGCCCAGGGTGGTGAACAAAACAATAAAAAGTATGTCACTTGTACATTATAATTTTAATACATTTTTAAACAGCATAGCTATAATAATATACAGCTGGACAGTAATACTGTTAAGACCCAGTACATGTTTCAAAAGCATAGGCAGACAAATACGTTTGTAGTAGAGAACTGAAACTTAACTGCATAGGGGGACAATTGCATTTTCCCAGCAAAGGAATTTCATAGTTGGGTGCTGCCACAGAGAAGGCCCTGTCTCAAGTAACCATACCATGGGCCATGCCCTTGGATGAGCTCATGAGCCAGGCCTCTCTATCTCTTCTCAAAGATGGGTTAGTCAGGCACTCCTTTAAATTTGTATGTATGTCTTAACTTTTTTGTAGAGCAGAGTTGGGGAACCTCAGTCCTGGAGGTTGAATGTGGCCCAGCAGGCCTTGTAATATATCTTGATTTCAGTAAAGCTTTTGACAAAGTCCCCCATGATATTCTTGTGAGGAACCTAGTAAAATGTGGGGTGAATGGGGTAACTGTTGGGTTCGGTCAGTCAACCAGCTACAAATCCACCTATCAGCTTGTCAACTTCATGTTAGGTCTCTCTTAAGAAACTGCAAAAGACTAGTTCTAAATAATAATGTTATTACTTTAAATAGATAACTGTGTCTCTTTTTGTGTCCCAGCTTCCCAGATCTGGAGGCACCCTGCACTTTGTCACAGCAAAGATGGGATTACTTCTCCTCTTACAACCCTCCCATCTGAAGCATTGCAAACAGAAGCTTTAAAATTATTTAAGGTAAAAAAAAGCAACCTTTTCAGTGGTTGGGAATGATTTTATTCTTTTAGTATATTTTATTTGAAATGGTATAGAATGCATATTATAGTGCAGCATTTTACATGACTGCTCAGACAGTAAGTCCCAGGAGTTCAATGGGACTTCTAGGCAAATGAGGCATTATGAAGATAAACACCTAAAAACATTTAATAGGGAGTAAGCCTGATTAGAAGCAGCATCACTTCTGAGTAAACTTACTTCTGAGTAAACACACATAGGATTGTGAATTTGAATATTGACTTTCAAAAACCAGCCTTGCAGAAATGCCTAAATGTGCCCAGACATTGGCTTTGATAGTTTTCTATAGGGAAGGTGCTCCAGAATTATGAAGGAAGTGCCAACTTAGCAGTTCGAAAGCACATCAAAGTGCAAGTAAATAAATAGATACCGCTCCAGCGGGAAGGTAAATGGTGTTTCCGTGCGCTGCTCTGGATCGCCAGAAGCGGCTTAGTCATGCTGGCCACATGACCCAGAAGCTGTATGCCGGCTCCCTCGGTCAATAAAGCGAGATGAGCGCCGCAACCCCAGAGTCGGTCACAACTGGACCTAATGGTCAGGGGTCCCTTTACCTTTACCTTTACTCTCTCGTAGCAGTGTATGTGTGTTTCTTTGACTCACTTGCTACACTTATGAACCACCTTGCTTCCAAAGTGCCAAAGACAGTTTACAATTTCAAATAATGGCTGAGAGTGAGGAAGAGGGAAATATGCAAATTCATAATACAGCTCTTTCATGATGTTATATAAATAAATTACACAATAGAACTGGGGAGGTGGTTTGTGAAGGAAACATTTATGGGAGAGAGCATGGCTCAGTGGTAAAGCAGAGCATATGCTTTGCATGCAGAAGGTTCTAAATTCAGTCCCTAGCATTGCCTCTTAAAAGATCAGACAGCAGGGCATGTGAAAGACCTTTGCCTAAGACCATAGAAGGCCATAGTCACTCAGAGTAGACAGCACTGGGCTAAGTGAACAAATAGTCTAATCTGGTACAAGGCGGCTTCATACATTCTGATAATTCTGGGAAGGGAGGAGCCAGCTAGCAGTTGGTTCCATAGAACTGATTGCCCTTCTCCAAATTACTATATCTGTACATCAGCCACCTATTGTCAATGAAGACAAAGTTCTTTCAAGTTTAAACTGGGGTTTTTTAATACCCTTGTAATTCAGTTTAAGTTGATATGCAACCCCCCCCCAATTAGATTTAATTAAATTTAAAATGCAAAATGGAAATTATTTTTTTTCCTGTTCTCTGTTGCAGACTTGCCAGTTGTTTATAAATGCTGCCGTGGACTCTCCTGCCATTGACTACCATGTATCTTTGGCCCAAAGTGCTTTACAAGTCTGTCTCACACATCCCGAGCTTCAAAATGAAATCTGTTGCCAGTTGGTTAAGCAGACAAGAAGGCGGCAGCCCCCAAATCAAATGGGACCAGTGCAGGTACTGAACACTTTTACACCTGTCCTGAGGGATTGACTTTGATGAGTTTGTACCAAAACTTCTTGGTTACAGTGTGCAGGTGGAGGATGATCCAGAAGATTGCAACATGGGTGGTCTCTGTACAAGGCGGGTGGCAGAAAAGGAAGGGGAAGGGCATGGAATGCAAAATGGGCAGCAGAATAAGAGAGACGAGTGCATCTTCTTTGGCCTACGTTCCTGGTTGTTCAATGTCCACTATATTCATAAGCCTTCCTTTGCTTGGAGGCAGTTTAATTCTGAAAGAAACTTCAGATTATGATGCTGATCTTTCTCCTTGCCCAGGCCTGGCAGCTTTTAGCACTCTGCATTGGACTCTTCCTTCCACAGCACCCATTCCTTTGGCTCATCAAACTTCACTTGAAGAAGAATGCAGATTCCAGGTATACCTTCCAGGAAAATCAGACCATCAAAGGCTAAATGATTGCCTTCTGTTATGAACGAGTATAATTTAATGGCCATAGAAATGCAGCACTGTTGCTTCAACAGATGTTAATTCTTTTTCATGTTAATTATTGACATTGCTCCATTGGTATTGGTGTTAATTTACATGTTTCATGTTAGTTCCCTGCCCAAGTAATATAAAGCCTTTGGTTTGCCCATTTATAAAGTGGTAACTCCACTGAATATTGAAATGGGATCATTGGCATTACACTATCATTCTGTTTTTCAAGTTTTTCAACTTTGGAAACTGTGATATTGGAATAAAAGTTAGTAGATACACATGCATTTTACCTGATCCCTCACACCTATGTTAAAGAAGACCAGGAAAATATGAAAATACATTATAATATTATCTCACTCAAAAACTCAGTTGTTGGTGTGCATATTCACAACATCATCCTACGTTTCACGTTTGGATCCCAACTCATATAACCATTCTTGGTTTGGGATGGGAAGAAAGAAGCAGAATAGATTGCCACGTTATTTGTTAAAAACATTCTTGAACATATTGCTTAACCGTTATCTGTTAAAATAATCTGTTGAAATCCCTGCTGTTTTCAGTTTGTTATGAAGCCGTGTTTTGTGTTCACAGAACTGAATTTGGAAAATACGCAATTTACTGTCAACGCTGTGTAGAAAGGACACAACAGAATGGTGACAGGGAAGCCAGACCATCAAGAATGGAAATTCTTTCTACACTTCTAAGAAATCCCTACCATCATTCCTTACCTTTTAGTATTCCAGTGCATTTCATGAATGGCATATACCAGGTAGGTGTGAACCGTAAAATGATGGGAGTATTGGTTGTGCTGTCAGAAATATTTTAAAATGCTGTGGCTCTACTTTCTTCCTCGTCAGCAAACAGATTGATAGTTTTTATCCATTGGATAAATCGTTTGTGCTTTTCTTTTAAAAATGTATGGTTTGGCTCTGAAACTTCCCTTCCACAGGATACATTCTGTAAATGGAAGAGCATCTTTGGATACAACCCTCTGTATGTACCAAGATTTTCACCACGGCACTTGTTTCTTCAATATCTAAGCTTTGTGAGAACTTATTTCACTTTTATGTTTCACTTGTTTTGTCTAGGTTGTTGGCTTTGATGCTTCTACCACAGTGGAAGAATTTCTAAACACACTCAATCAAGACACAGGAATGAGAAAACCAGCCCAGTCGGGTTTTGCTTTGTTTACTGATGATCCTTCTGGCAAAGATGTAGAACACTGTCTTCAAGGAAACATCAAGGTAAACAATCCCTTTAATGAGCTCACAGTCAAAATTACCTTTGACTTGCAAAAGAAAACATTTTCCTTATTTAAGTGTGTTTCATTTTTCTTGGCGCACATTGACTGGGGGGAAGCAAACAAATGCTTGATTGTTTTAAGCACAAATGGTAGTTTTAGAAAGATAGCTGTGGGAAGACAGGGGGAACTTGAAAAGGATTTATGGGAATATTTTTGGTGACTCTGTGATACATGGGAATGGTGTTATAACAGTTTCCCATATGGGTTTGTGTTGTATTGCTAAACAGGAAATGGGGAAAGTTCTACACCACTATCCACACAGAGGACACTCTGTTGATGTCAATATTTTCCACAAATATTTAACACAAATTTATGGGGTAAGCCCTACAGCAGCTGTATGGCATACTTGTCATGCACAATGTTTTCCATTATCATGATAACAAAATGGTCATAAGTCACATTGATTTCAGTGATAGCTCCAGGTCAGTTGTCTCTAGGCTTTCTAGGGACCTGTGTGTGTTTACTCATATCCCACTAAGTTCAATGGGGTTCACCCCCAGAAAAGTTTGCATAGAATTACAACTTAAGTCTTTTAGTGATTATTGCTGTAAAATCAGTACTAACTAAAGTGTACAAATTCTGTTTGGGCATATTTTGCCATAACTCTGTTCTGCCTTGTGGTTTTCCTTGTAGATCTGTGACATTATTTCTCGATGGGAACAGGCATCTAAAGAGCAGCAGCCTGGGAAATGTGAAGGCACAAGAACAGTGAGACTGACTTACAAAAACAGGTATGTAATACAAACGTGTTCCTAGGAGTCATTGCTCTTAGATATATTTATAGTCTATTTGCAGCCAGAGATGAGCTCCCATAACTGAATTCAGTGCCAGGTCTCAAGAAGTCATCTGTGAAATAATAGTTTAATAAGACGTTAAGCCCATGAGCCAGGAATGGGGAACCTGTGGCCATCCAGATTATAATGGGCCAATTCCTATCAAGGTACAGATGTTTCAGCAGGGTTATTGTCAATTTAGCATTAAAGAGGATGTTAATTTCATTGGCCTACAGGAATGAAGTCTGTTTAAAGCTGGTAATTATTAGTTCTTCAGGTATTTATACAGAGCATCATTAGCTTTCACATTATCTGACCGTTGAATACCACAATTTCAAGTCCTTACTAGAACTGATTGTGAATTTTATTTATTCATAAAAATACACTGCTTAATTGTAAAAAACCCTTAAAGCGGTTTACAAAAAGATAAAATAATAAAATTGGAGAAAAAATCACCATACTTTAAAACATACAAAAATTAAAATATTAAAACAGATTAAAATTACCTCCACTTTCTAAGCATCTGGGTAAAAGGTAAAGGGACCCCTGACAGTTAAGTCCAGTCGCAGACGTCTCTGGGGTTGCGGCGCTTATCTCGCTTTACAGGCCAAGGGAGCTGGCGTTTGTCCGCAGACAGTTTTTCCGGGTCATGTGGCCAGCGTGACTAAGCCGCTTCTAGTGCAACGGAACACCGACACCAGAGCAGAGCACGGAAACGCTGTTTACCTTCCTGCCAGAGCGGTACCTATTAATCTACTTGCACTTTTTGGGTGTGCTTTCGAACTGCTAGGTTGGCAGGAGCTGGGACTGAGCAACAGGAGCTCACCCCGTCGCGGAGATTCAACAACAAACCTTTTGATTGACAAGCCCAAGGCTCAGTGGTTTAGACCACAGCGCCACCCACGTCCCAAGCATCTGGGTAGGCTTGTCTAAACAAGAATGTTTTTAAGCAGGTGTGAAAAAGAGTACAGTGAAGGCGCCTGCTTGATATCAATAGGCAGGGAGTTCCAAAGTACAGGTGCTGCTACACTACATGATCGAGTTCTTACACATGCAGAATGAGTATTATGTGACATCTGTAATACTAGTACCTTTTCACTTAGTTACTTGGGTATACTTGTACAATTTTCAATTTTGTAGTTTGTCACTCTTTCTTTTTGTAGGCTGTATTTTTCAGTTCAAATACGTGGGGAGACAGAAAGGGAAAAGCTGCTGTTGATGTATCAGACAAACGATCAAATTGTAAATGGGCTTTTCCCTGTAAACAAAGAGCTGGCACTAGAACTGGCAGCACTTATGGCACAGGTAAGGATCGTTTGTGGTTGACCAGATTTGTAATTTAAAAGTACCCTCCACACATTTCTTTTGTGATATGAAATAGTAGATAAATCTAACAATCACATTTTGTATCTTGGGACTTCAGACAGCATACATGGAATTATTCTGTTTTTTAAATTTACAACCCTGTGAGGTAGGCCAAACTTGTGTGACTGGCCCAAGGTCACCCAGTGAATTTCCTGACTGAATTGTATTAGAATCCAAGTCTGCCCAGTCAAAGTCCAACAAAGCTCACTTGCCTTGTATAACCAAGACTGGGAATGGGGGTGGGGGCGTGAATTGGGAGAAGTAGATTTGGCTGGCCTCTGCCCACCTTCAGGTACTCGGTGCAGCACCAACCAAGGTTGGCTGTCCCTGTGGTCCATATGACATGCATTCAGTTTGCCAGAAAACCCTTTTCATCTTGGAGTGGGCGTTTTAACTGTTGTTGGGCCAGCGGGACAGATGGTGGGGGCTGTTGGTTTACCCTATTGCCTAATGGTCTCCCTGACCAAGATGTTGGACGTAATATTGAACATAGTGTTGGAGAACACCAGGGTGGTGTTTCTGAGTGGCTTCAGACCAAGGTTGCTTTGACTGGTCTAGCTTTGGATTTCATGCCCTCCATGGCAACCATGGGGCTGTCACAAGTTGTCTATCAACCAACTCATACGGCAGGGCACAAACTGGATTTAATCTTCAATTCAGGATGAGTGGGGGGGGGGCAGGTTGAAGGAATACCTGAATCCTTTGCTGGCAGGGGATGGTGGGAGTTGTAGTCCAAAAAATTTGGAGGGTGCTAGGTTGGTGAAGACTGTGTTAGACTCTTCCGTGCAATTTTTTTCTGTGTGTGTGCTCCATTAATATTCACAGTTCAACTATTAAATATGAAATAGCTCATAGATTCTTGTTATCACAGCTCATACTGGTATTTATAATTGGCAGATACTTGAGAATTACATATTAGACTGTAGGTACTGAAATAACATTGAAGTGCGGAAATATGTATGTAAAAACAATCTTACTTATTTCTTTGCATATCTACTAGGTGGAGATTGGGGACTTTGAACGACCTTTCTCAACTCCAACAGGGCAAATCACTTCCCAGTCAAAATCTAATCAAACTTTAAAGCAAGTTGTGGAAAAGTTTTACCCCAAAAGATATAGGGATGGATGTTTAGAAGAACAATTGAGGTATGCTGCTAAAACATATTCTCGGATTAACTGCCCTAGCCTTGTGACCTGTAATCATTTTCCCGGCCATATATCCCTATTCTCCAGTTATTTAGAAATGGTCTCCTGCCGTTACACCATTCCTTGCCCAAACAAAAGTGCAAATTTTACTGACATTTAAAACTCCACCAGCAGAGAGTAGGCCTGGTCTTTGGGAAGAGAGAGAAAGGAATGGAGCACTATTTTCAGGTGGCCCATTTTATTATTCCATTTCTTAAGAGGCCAATTTTAATTTGTAGACTGAGATAGCAAAGAGAGATCAGAATACTTAATTATCACATGTTACAATTTGATTTGAAATGCTGTTTTGCTTCTCCCTCTCCCTGCTACTTATGACTTAAAACATCCTTATGCTTAATGTCAATAGACAGCTTTGTCAGCGACTGTCAACAAAATGGATGGCTCTCCGTGGTCACAGTGCTGCAGACTGTGTGCGCATTTACCTTGCTGTTGCTCGAAAGTGGCCTTTCTTTGGTGCCAAATTATTTGCAGCAAAAGTAAGACTTTCCTTCTTTCTTTCTTTCATCAATTATTCAGGCAGGGCCACACAGATAAGTGTGTATACCTGGGTCCTCCTGATGTCTTTGGACTCCATTTCCCATCAGTCACAGTCAGTATTGCCAGTGGCTAGGGATGATGGGAGTTGTAGTCCATGGGGGGGGCACTAGTTCCCCACCCTAGTGGGCAGGACTGCAGCATGACTTCAATCCTGTATGCATGATGAGACCCATGCACCTAATTGACCCACATTCCTTCATTTTAATGAGTCTACCCTGAGTTAAACTTGTAAGTAGCAGAGAAGTTGGTGCATGAGGCCTTCTAGATTTGTCCCACTCCCACTTAAGACAAACCTGCTGGATCAGTGGCCAACCAGATGAGCACAACAGAAGTCCATCCACCTGCAATTCCCAGCAACCAGTATTCAGAGCTATGCTACCTCTGACAGTGGAGGTAAAACAAAAACGAATTTATGGAGGACAAGGCTATGTGGTTTGTGGGGGGTGGGGATTGTTCCTGGAAATTATAGGCCAATTACCTTAAAGTTTATCCTGGGAAGATTAGTGGAAAGTATCGTTAAAGATAAAATAACCAAGCATATATCATAACAAGCCTTGCTGAAATAGAGACAGTTCAGCTTCTGCAAGGGCACGTACTGTCAATAAGTAGATATATAAAAGCAATCCTTTTGACGATGGTGTACTTGGACTTTCAAAACGCTTTTGACAAAGTACCTCAACAAAGGCTCCTGCATGAACTTAGCAGTCATGGAATAAGAGGAGAGGTCATCTTATGGACCAGGAATTCATTAGGAATTATAAGAGTAGGAATAAATGTATAGTTCTTCAGATGGAAAGGATTGGTTATTGGGACCTATGCTTTTAAATGCAATTCATTGTTAATTGCAATGTTCACACAGAAATGGAACTATATAATAATGATATCATTTTTCTCTGTCACCTCAGAAATGCAAAAATACTTCTATTGCTTGCCTTCAGTCGCTTCTCTTTTTCTCGTATCTGACTATCCTCTACCTCAGTAATTTAAAGCAGTGCTTCAAATAGTTCACTTTTATTCAGTTCGTAGTTGTAGCTAATTTCAGTATATCTTCTTTCTAGCCTCTGATAATATCAACATTGGAGAGTTCTTTGGTATGGCTTGCTGTTTATGAAGATGGCATAAACATTCTTGAATACAGCTCTATGGTAAGGGAAGATAGTTGAAATGTTGGGTAAAGAAAGGAGTAATACAAAATCTGTGAGCCATGTTAACCAATACAGTCTCTCTCCATTAATCTTTAACAAACCTATGTAATGGATTAATATGTCCCATGCACTTAGAATCTGAACTAACAGACTAAGCAGCTAACTATTAAAGGAATTGCTTAAAGGTTTGCATTTTAATAAGTTGTTGTTGTTTAGTCATTTAGTCGTGTCCGACTCTTCGTGACCCCATGGACCAGAGCACGCCAGGCACTTCTGTCTTCCACTGCCTCCCGCAGTTTAGTCAAAATGTTAAGAGCATGATTTCACATTAGTACTTATTAAGTGCCATGTGCAGTGTTTATGTGTGGGAACTTTTGTGTCCGTACCTTACAGTGGCATTTACCCCAAAAAGTATTCTGAAAGGAAGGGTTCCGCTGAAGCTGCACCCTATGAGAGGGGCTGCCGTTGGAAGAAAATATGTGCTAATTTTAGTCCATCTCTGCATTTGTTTTTATTTTCCCAGTATTACTACATGCACACGAACAGACACAAGCATGCATTAATATATACATGTCTTAAAAAAAAAAGGTAAAGGACCCCTGACAGTTAAGTCCAGTCGTGAACAACTCTGGGGTTTCAGCGCTCATCTCGCTTTACTGGCCGAGGGAGCCGGTATTTGTCTGCAGACAGTTTACCCGGGTCATGTGGCCAGCATGACTAAGCCGCTTCTGGCGAACCAGAGCAGCGCACGGAAACGCCATTTACCTTCCCGCGAGAGCAGTACCTATTTATCTGCTTGCACTTTGACGTGCTTTTGAACTGCTAGGTTGGCAGGAGTTGGGACCGAGCAATGGGAGCTCACCCCGTCATGGGGATTCAAACCACCAATCTTCCGATCGGCAAGCCCTAGGCTCAGTGGTTTAGACCACAGCGGCACCCGCATCCCCATACACATGTCTATATGAAGATAAATATTCTGGATAGAAATAGTTTGGCTAATGAGCCATGTGCTGGTAACCTTCGGGTGGTGTTCTACATAGGGCTGCCTCTGAAGACTGCACAGAAGCTATGACTGGTGCACAGTTCAGTGGGCAGGGTGCTAAACGGCAGTATTAGCAGAACATCTGTTACACCTGCCCTCCAAGGCATGCACTGGTTATCAGTTTGTTTCCAAGCTCAGTTTAAGGTGTATGTTACTGAGCTTGGAAACAAACTGATAACCAGTGCATTCCTTGGAGGGCAGGTGTAATAGATGTTCTGCTAATACTGCCGTTTAGCACCCTGCCCACTGAACTGTGCACCAGTCATAGCTTCTGTGCATCTTCTCCCATGTACACTTGCCCAAAATTTAAGATCAGCAGGGGAGGCCCTGCTTGCGATACTACCACCCTTTGATGTGCAAGGGATGGTGGCAGATTGGAATGCTTTCTCTATGGTGCCTCCCAGATATGGAACTGACTTTCTTAGGAGGTGCGCCTGGCACTGTGATGGTACTTTATTTGCTGCTTAGTAAAGATCTACTCTTCACCCAGGCTTTTGGGAGCACATGAATTATTTTAGATCAGATTCTCCTCGTCGTCGTCGCCCCCCCCCCCCGCTCCACCTTCTTCACTGTAGTCATCTTTTGTGTTTTAATTCTGCTTTAAAGTGATATTTTAATATTGTTTTGTATGTTTTATTGATTATATGCACCCTACCTGGGACTTTGCAGTGAAGGGTAGGTACCAGATTTAAATAAATAAATATGATGTAGGTTGCCAAGCTATTGAGACTCATTTGGAGACTATGGAAACCATTGTGGGTACCACACACACTCATTGCAACCACCACTACACAGGTTAGGCTTTAAGAACAAAATAGTCGGGGGGGTGCTTAACCACCTGCAAGAATTAGGCATGAAAGAAGGCAAATTGTTGGAACCAATGTTCTGAGTCATTCATTGCAGTGGGGCAGGGGGGATTTGGGCCCACAGCTGGGAAGAGGGCGGTTTTAGCTCTCCCCTCGCCAACTGTGACCACCACCACCAACCTGCAAAAAAAAAGCATCCCCTGTTGCAATTAGGTTTGGAAACAAAATACAAAACATTCTATTGCCTCCAGTTCAAGACTTCTTTCAAGCCCGATTGCAGCAGAAAGTCTTTTTCAGCAGGGCGTGTCACAGTTGAAGAGAGGGCAGTTGAGCCTTCCCTTTGCAGTTATGACCCCCACCCCACCCCACCCCACAAAAACCTCCCCCCACTAGAGTTAGGCTTGAAAGAAGCCTCTTGTTGGCTATTGCTTCTTTTGGGCTTAAAATGGCAATGCAGAAGGAGTACCAAGGAGTACCAAGAAAGGTCATAGTGGGCATGTGTAGCCACAGTGTGCAGTGAGCCTGCCACAAAATAGCTTATTGGGGCATATATGGTGTTGGTCATGTAATGGAAAGATGTTGGCTGCAATTCTTGCAAACTTAGTCAACCGTAAGCACACTGAACACAACCAGACTTTCTTCTGAGTAGAAATGCATCACGTTTAATTCTCCACATGCCTACATATGGTGCCATCCACCAGAATCTTTTAAAAAGACATTTATAATTATTAATTAGCATATTTGCATCCGATTTTGTAATGAAGAAATGGTATTCAAACTATAAAAATCTGTTTTTGCTCTTTTTCCTGCTTGCATGAAACTTTTGTTTTTTCTTCTGTTTTTCAAGAGGTTAATAGTGACATATTTATATAAGAACCTAATGACATTTGGAGGCTATCAAGATGACTTCATGCTGGTGGTCAACAATGTGCACGCACAAGAAAAGCAAACTGAAAAGTTGTTGTTTGCTATGGCCAAACCAAAGGTTGGTATGTTAACTGGTCCTTTGTTATATTGCATATAGAATCATAGAATTGCAGAGTTGGAAGGTACCCCAAGTGTCATCTAGTACAACCCTCTGTACAGGAGTCTTAACTAAAGCACCCGTGACAGATGGATTTTTAACCTCTGCTTAAAAACCTCCAATGAAGGAGTGTCCGCAATCTCCTGAGGGAGCCCATTTCACTGTTGAACAGCTCTTGCTGTCAGAAAATTCTTCCTGATATTTAGTCAGAATCTCCTTTCTTGTAACTTGAAGCCATTGGTTCGAGTCCTACCCTCCAGAGCAGGAGGAAACAAGCTTGAAGATGGCTATCATATCTCCTCTCAGTATCCTCTTTTTCAGGCTAAACATACTCAGCTCCTTCAATAGTTTCTCATAAGGCTTAGATTCCAGACCCTTGATCATCTTGGTTGCCCTCCTGTGCACACACTCCTGCTTGTCAATATCCTTCTTAAATTGTGGCGCCACAACTAGACACAGTATTCCAGATGTGGTCTGACCAAGGCAGAATGGAGTGGTACCGTTAGTTCCCTTGATCTACACTTCTGTTGATGCAGCCCAGAATAGCATTGGCTTTTCTTTTTGGTGCTGCTGCATCACGCTGTTGACTTAGGTTAAACTTGTGGTCCACTAAGACCCCTAGATCCTTTTCACGTGTACTACTAATAAGCCAGGTGTTCCCCATCTTATATTTGTACAGCTTCCTACCTAACATTTCTCACTGTTGACATTCATATCATTAGTTTGGAAATACCACTTAAGTTCAGCCTCTCAATATGCTGTAGGTTATAGCCCCGTTTGCTTAGAGTTGCAAACATTTTAGATGTGCAGATGGTCTTCTACATCTCTAATTTTTGCTATTTCAATTTTTTTAGATTCTTGAGATTACGCTACTGATTGCTAGCTATATTAACGATTTCCATCAGCAAAAGGGAGCTGCTCACCATCTTTCTGCTCCAGCGACAATGTCTCCACAGGCAGAAAGGCAGAAAACTAAAGACATAGGGTGTCATCCATTTATGTTGAAGAACAGACCAACCAAAGGACCTACTTTGTTATGAAAAGATCATGTGCCTGTGAAAATGCATACTGGCTGAATGTTTATGTATTTTGGGTACTACATTGGAAAAGGAAAGTCTGGTTGAAGTTGGATGAAATACTAGCGGTGCTTACCATGAGCCAATTCTGCTCCCATGTGTGACCTCCTTTTTCTCAATTACTCCAGAGGCAACCAAAGTATTAGGAAAACCAGACATATGGACACATGCATGTTCTTTATAATCATCTGCCTGGATACGCAGAAGAAACACTGTGAACCTGGTTCATAATTAGTAGTTAGAAGTGCAGTGCTTTGAATACCAATAGTTTCATACACGCCCTGCCCTTTCTCCACTTCTTTGTGGTCCTTTTCGGTTTTCCTAACTTGTTCCTGGAATGAAAACATCTAAAGCAAACTTCTAATTAAGCTGTGTGTCAATTTTGGAAGGATAATGTATCAGATGACAACAGCTACTGTTTGGGGCTAATATTGTTCCAATCAAAGCATTCTGAAAAAACATTCCATAGGCATTAGATTTGTGAAAGGTATTTCTTTTTTTAATGACATTTGCTCTTAAAACTGCAATTGCAGGAGTTCTGCTAACAAAAATCAGTTTCAAGGAGGAGAGTGGTAGCATGTTGAACCTGAATGATGTGCTTTGGGGCCAGAATGTACCAAGAGAACAAAGGATAATTCAGACTGCCTAGTGTGAGGGCAATTCTTTGACTTTTTTTAAAAAAAAATTAACTTTCATCTCTGTTATATGTAAGGAACAGTAGATTTCACACTCCAGCTGATAGTCATTGAATGATAAGTAATCAAATGCTGACGTATGTAGTAATGTACTTTTACATGTGAATTGGGTCTAAGTGACACTGCTCAACTTGAAAATTTGCTTAGTGTTTAAAAAGCCTGATATCTAGTCTCTATTTTCAGGTAGATCTCCCTTCTTTACCTTTTCCATCAGCTCTCCTTATCTTGTACAGTCGTACCTTGGAAGTCAAAACGGAATCCATTCTGAAAGTCCGTTTGACTTCCTAAACGTTCAGAAACCAGAGTGCGGCTTCTGATTGGCTACAGGAGCTTCATTCGGAAGCCACGGAAGCCCCATCAGTCATTTGGGTTCCAAAGAACATTCACAAACCGGAATACTCACTTCTGGGTTTGAAGCGTTTGGGAGCCAAAACGTCCGAGTAACAAGGCGTTCTGGATCCAAGGTACAACTGTACTGTAAACCTAGTCTCTTAAATTGGAAGTTTAAATTGGAATCAAAGCAACCTTTGATTTATTTATGTACAATACTTGTAGTCACTGTAGAATATGAGTTGTGTTTGAGCTGATGCAGAGTATTAGCGTTATTGTACACATGCAGATTATCATTTGATGCTGCACTCAAGTGATGGGTATATGTGCGTGAACTCAACCTTCCTTTTATTTAGCTGTGTATGAGCAATACTGTTGTTTAAACAAAAGACACATCTGTCTGGTCAGTTTGTAGTATTTGGCAAAGAAAAGAAAAGTGTAATCATTGGTGCTTTAAATCACTGATTTATATGGTCAGAGTAATCTACAGATCTATCATTCAGGTAGTATTTATAATTTCCTTTGATAACTAGAATTAGTGACAAAGTCCCCCCCTTTGTGAATATGAACTTTTTATTAAATGTTTATATGAAGTCTCTGCCTTTAAATGAGCTGAAGGACATCTTTTTAAAGGGTCGTGGATGAGGTATTTTCTTCTTAAAAGAATGTTTTACACATCCTTTACAATATGGACAGGATCAGGCAATGTAATAGGTACTAACAACAACAACGAAACAACAACAACGAAACAACAACAACAACAACAACGACAACGAAGCTTCAACCAACTAAAAAAGGGCCAGGCCTAACTAATGTACCTCTGTGGGTAGTCTACAACTCCCCTGTAATTGCAGATCCAGCCTGCCATCTAATACACACAACTTGAGAATAGTTATGCATAAGTTTGTACCGTTAACCTCCCTGTTCACTTTCTCACTTGTTCGTTATAAGCAATTTAAGCTAAAGGAGGGGGGGGCAGAGATGGCACTCATATTTCTTAGCCCCACCCCCATTAAAAAATATCCAGTTACTATATTTGTACAAAACAATAAATAATTTTACAGCTAACCGTTCTATATTTTTATGGAAGGGTTGAGGTTAAAATAGGTATGCCTCCGCATCTGCAGGCTCTTCAATCTCCGAAATAAACTGAAAGTTTTATTTAGTAACTGCAAACTACGAGGTGCTAGTTAAGTTGCTAAAAGTGGTAGAAAGGTTAGAGCATTTTCAGATGTAGCCGGCCACCACTGGCAGACCCGTGTGTCATTTTTTAAATCTGGAAAATGAAAATGACACGTCAGAAACCATGTTATATTTAATTTTAAAATATCTATGTATATTCACAGTTTTTATCATACATATAAAATTCTACATTAGTCATCATGTTTGTTGCTTCTCTCAGTGTATGTTAGTAGCAACCCCCTTATGGTTCAGTTTTAAATTATTGGAGGAAATTGTTGTATCATACATGACCTCAGTCACTCTGATCCAGCGAAGGAGATCTGCACACATAAGCTGGCTTCTGTGTGCATACCATGTGCTGGATATCAGCAGCGTCAACTGGATGCACATTGGCGTGATCAATCTGCTTGTGCCCGTCTACTGCATTGATTTCAGTAGGATACACATGCATCTCTGTCTACATTCTTGTACAGCTAGTCTCACATACATTTTTTCTCGTGTAGCTAGAGCTAGATTGAGAGATCTTTATCAGTGATGGGTACAGGAGAACCATTTATGTAGAGAAGTTTAAATTGTATAGGTTCCAATTTATGTGATGCACAAATAATGAATTGCTGAAAAATAACTGCGGTTTGTTGAATTACGTGTAGTAAAGAAATATTGGAACAGAACAGGTACTGAAAGCGAAAAATAACTATAAAACATTAATTTATGTGTAAGAGTATTTGTATTTATTTTGTGGATATTTAGCTTTTATTGCATAAGGTATTTTTTATATGAATGTAAACCACCTAACAAATAAAGGCATTGTCAAGGAAATCTGTTAGTATTTTATGATTGCAGAATTCAATTAATCTGAAAAGGTCTCGTACTTTACAGCCCTTTGGAGGATGGATTGTTCTTAAACCCCGCCCTCCCTGCTGTTGCTGTGTGTGTGTGTGTGTGTGTGTGTGTGTGTGTGTGTGTGAGAGAGAGAGAGAGAGAGAGAGAGAGAGAGAGAGAAATATTCCAACAAAATATTCCCCATGGAAGCAGCAGCAAGCAACTGAGTCAATTCTAATTGCATAAACCTATAGTGTCTATTTACTGCGTTCAACAGGCTTTACACACTGTCTCGGAAAAGCTGGTATACCATTTGTGTATACGGACACACACACACGCACACGCACACACATACCGACACACACACACACACGTCAGCGACTCGCTTAAAAAATGACGGCGACAGCCTAAACATAAAATCATACAAAAGCCACCAGAAACAACGCACTGAAGGTTAAAAAGCAGATCCGACAAGTCTCCGGGGGTGACTGCCACCTCTCCGATGACCACTTACCCTAATTAAACATTTTAACTCGGGTATCAAAAAGTCACACGAAAGCAGAGGGGAAACTATCCGCAGAGTGCGGCAAGTGGGCGAAATTTAGAGAGCAACTTTCCCGTAAAATAAACTGCAATTCTAATCTGCAGCTAAAAAAGAAAAATCGTTTTCACACTACCTAGTTTCTACACACACATTACTTTTTCGCACACGCACAACGCCCTGCCGACCTCGCAAGAAGCCTTTTCGCAGAGTGCGGGGAAAGAAAGAAAAAACCCTCGGAAGCGGACCAGGCGGAAAGCAAGGAGCGCCGCGCGTTTCTGCTCCCGAAGAACTACAACTCCCATGATGCTCCTTCCCGCTAGGCCGCCGGGCAAGGCGCTGTTTCTATGGCGACCGGAGTTCACCGAGGCCTAAGGACCGCCGCGTCATTCCGGGGACAGCGGGGCAGCGATGCCCGGGGCCAGGTAAAGAGAGGGGCGGTGTGGGGAGGGCTTGTCTCCGCCTCTGCTGCTCCGGCGGGCCTGCAGGCCGCTTTCCCTCAGGAGGGCAGGGCAGGGCTCGCTGTCTCCCAATGTCCCGGCCCCCCAACTTCCACAGGCCGCCTGCAACTTTCCCGGAGGACGGGGCCATTATCTCTCGACATCCGCACCATGTCTTTCAAAGCGCCGTTATTCCGCTTTAAACGGACGCCCCAAAAGAGACCTGGGAAGTGTGGTTGGGCTGGGAGACCTACCAGAGCGCGCGGGGGGTGGGGTGCAACTTGAATAAAATATTGGGAGGGCCCAGGTGAGCCCTGCCCCACATAAGTTATTATGAATTATAATACTGAATTATTGTATTTTAATATTTTGCTGGAGGCTGCCCAGAGTGGCTGGGGAAACCCAGCCAGATGGGCGTGGTATAAATAATAATAATATACAGTATTATTATTATTATTATTATCAATCACACTACACAGTGCACAATCCCCATTTAAACGTCCAAGAATTGTAGCTCTGTGGGGGGAAATTAGGGATCTCCTAACACCCTGAACGGGATGCAGGTGGCGCTGTGGGTTAAACCACAGAGCCTAGGACTTGCCGATCAGAAGGTCGGCGGTTCGAATCCCCGCGACGGGGTGAGCTCCCGTTGTTCGGTCCCTGCTCCTGCCAACCTAGCAGTTCGAAAGCATGTCAAAGTGCAAGTAGATAAATAGGTACCGCTCCGGCGGGAAGGTAAACGACATTTCCGTGAGCTGCTCTGGTTTGCCAGAAGCGGCTTAGTCATGGTGGCTACATGACCCGGAAGCTGTACGCCGGGTCCCTCAGCCAATAAAGCGAGATGAGCACCGCAACCCCAGAGTCGGTCATGACTGGACTGGTCAGGGGTCCCTTTACCTTTACCTTTAACACCCTGAACAAGCTGCAGTTCCCTGTCCCTCTCCCCATCTCTACAAAACTCTCAATGGTGGGTGCAGCTCAGTAGTGATTTAATTGTAAGTTTGTTTCTTATGAAGAAAAAAATTATTGTCCACTCCACTGATAAGGGGGTGGGGGTGGGCATGATAAAACTGGTATAGGGGGTGCTTTCCAGCACAAGCGCTGCATTCTTTGTAAGGAACTGTCCTGGGGCTGTGCGTAAAAGGCATAGGGAAGTGGGTTAACGAACACGCTTCATTTCTTCGTACTGTGGGCTCCCGTTCCAGCTGCACAAGATCCAGAGGTTTATATATCCCTCCCTCCCAGTCGCTCAGTCCAGTTAAACAAGAAGCACCACCACAGTTCAAGGAAACTTTTGAATTAGGCAAAAAGTACTCAAGAGCACAGAGGGAAGCTGATGAGGGGCATGGCACAAGGAGCATCCCGAGGACCAGACAGAATGGCCCGGGGGGCGGGGCGGGTACAGGTTGGTTCACAGGGTAGAGCAGGCATAGGTAAACTCGGCCCGCCAGATGTTTTGGGACTACAATTCCCATCATCCATGACCACTGGTCCTGTTAGCTAGGGATCATGGGAGTTGTAGTCCCAAAACATCTGGAGGGCCAAGTTTGCTTATTCCTGGGGTAGAGGTTCCCTGCCCCTGTCATAAAATAAATAACTGTAGCTTGTTCAGGGTGCTGTGATTTGTTGAGAGTGCTACAAAATTTCCTGGGAAGAGGGATTGATTGTTAAACCACTCTGAGAATTGTAGCTCAGTGAGGAGAATGAGGGGTCTCCTAACAACTCTCAGCACTGCTAATAAACTGCAGTCCCCAGGATTCTTAGGCAGAAGTCATAACTGTTTAAAATGATACGATACTGCATTAAATGTCGGGTGCAATTAGGCAGGAATAAAGCATCCAGACAAATATGTGTGGTTATAGCAGATGGGGGTGGGGGGATGGGAATCTTGGTGCTAAGAAGCTCATGTAAGTACAGAATCTGGAATTTTCTAGCTTGCCCACTATACCTGATAGGCTTCCCGTGACTTATAATCACAAGGCGCAATTAGTTTCAGTGAGGGAGAAATGGAGTAGAGTCTGTGTTGTGGGAGCAGAGCATCTTCACTGGAAGGTTGTTTTACATGAGGACTTTTTATTTTATTTTTCCTTTGCTAGTGACACCTTGTGGGATATTGCTAAAGCGGAAGTTGAAAAAAGAGAAAACCATGAAGACAGCACAGATGGTCTGGAATGTTGGGAAAGATCACTATTCTTTATAGGAAATAAAAATGGGGTAACAATCAGTGTTTCATTTCACATTATTATAGATATAAATTAAATAAATTTTGTTTGCATACTAACTGAAATTCTGTTATAGCAACAATAAATATTTCCTACCTTGCAAAGCTGTACGTACCAAAATATGGGTAGATGGTGTCCACTTGCAATTTGTCTAATTTACAGTGCAGTTCTAGATTTTACTTTCTTGGGCTCCATGATCACTGCTGATGGTGACAGCAGTCACGAAATTAAAAGACGCCTGCTTCTTGGGAGAAAAGCAATGACAAACCTAGACAGCATCTTAAAAAGCAGAGACATCAGCTTGCCAACAAAGGTCCATCTAGTTAAAGCTATGGTTTTCCCAGTAGTGATGTATGGAAGTGAGAGCCGGACCATAAAGAAGGCTGATCGCCGAAGAATTGATGCTTTTGAATTATGGTGCTAAAGGAGACTCTTGAGAGTTCCATGGACTGCAAGAAGATCAAACCTATCCATACTGAAGGAAATCAGCCCTGAGTGCTCACTGGAAGGACAGATCCTGAAGCTCCAATACTTTGGCCACCTCGTGAAAAGAGAAGACTCCCTGGAAAAGACCCTGATTTTGGGAAAGATGGAGGGCGCAAGGAGAAGGAGACGACAGAGGAGAAGATGGTTGGACAGTGTTCTCAAAGCTACGAACATGAGTTTGACCAAGCTGCGGGAGGCAGTGGAAGATAGGAGTGCCTGGCGTGCTCTGGTCCATGGGTCACGAAGAGCTGGACACGACTAAACAACAACAACAATACTTTTAAGTGCCACTGATTCAAAAGAAAATAGTAGTTAAGTATGTTTATCCAGGACGGGAATGGTAAAAATGTTTGTAACCCACGTTATAAAATTAAATAGTGAAAGACTTAAGTCGTTGCTTAATTTATTTGTAGAAAATGTAAACATTAATTTTAAAGATAATTTTCAAAGTAAGCTACTTTACCCAGCACCTGATTTCTTAAAGCATGAAGAAATTATATAGTGTTGTTATGTATATTTCATGCATTCATTTTATTTCCATTCCATTACTTAAGCAATTCCAGTAGCAGGCGATCATTTGATCAACCTGTTATTTACAATTACCAATGGCGGATACAAATGGCTAAACTGATTGCTACTGTGATGCCTGTATTTTTTAGTTTCTTGTTGCCATTACTAAATTTGTCATTTCCAATCATTTCCAATCATTTCTGATAATGGTAATAATAATAGCAGTGTAGATACACTCTGATAGAAAGTTGGCAGCTAACTTTCCTGTAATAAGATGACATATAATTGCCTACATTTGTAATTTTCAGATATTTTATTAGAAATGATTAGAAGAATGCATTACAGCATGTAGAATGATATAATATTTATGCTTTAATGACATTACAATAGTATTCTTTGTTGTTTTTAATTTCTAGGGAAAGACTACTATTATACTGAGGTGCCTTGACAGGTATGTGTTTAAGTTTTGAGAAGTATCTCATATTTTCTGGGTACTCAAAATTCTAAATAACATCAACAGTTTCATTGTTGGAACATACCTTAACAGTGTGCCTTCAAACAGTGGAAATACGTTCCTCAGAACACTTGTCTAAAAACAGTTATGATTTATTCTTACCAACACTGTAACATTGCTCTCAGGGGCAGTCCTATCATTAGGTAAAGTGAGGTGGCTGCCTCAGGCAGGTGATGAAATGTATTGGACCTGCTATTCTACATGGCCCCTTTTGGATGACTCTGGGAGGGTAGCAATCCATTTGGTTAAGACAGAGCCACCTTCCTGACCTTGGTGTTGCTGCAGCTTGCTTGGACAGGGCACAGTGGTGGCGAGATCAGGCCCATGTAGTTGCCCAGCAGAAGAGATCCACTACTTTCACTGTTGTGCCCACACAACCTCAGCCTCACTGCTGCCATGCCCAGTCTCATACAGGAAGGTTGCAGTGACAACAATGTTGGGAGGGTGGCTCCATGGCTCTGGCCCACCACATAGGCCTCTGCTGTGGCCTACATATTGACTAGAGTGGCGCATCACATCCGTGATCCAGTGTCATTTCAGAGCACAACTCATCATGCTGGTTTGGGCCTATAGTCCTAAACACTTTAAAGAGTGATTATACTCAGAGCTGACCCATGGAAATGAATGCATTTAAGTCCATTGATCCATTGATGCATTTAAGTCTCAGTGGGCCTACTCTGAGTATGGCTTAGTTGGATATTACTCAAAATTCTCTCCTCCTTTCCCACCTGCTCTGCACCTCATATTTTGTAATGACACAGAATGGGAGACAGGAGAGAACCCTTCTGGAATCCAACATGAATAGCAGTTTCTTCACCGCTTCTTAAGGCTATGATCTTTCATGCTTCACAGAATTCCTTTTCTCAACATTTGTAACAATTTATATAGGTAACCAAAAAACACTTTCCACACAGAGAGGCATTTATGGTGTGGAATTCCTCTCTCTAAAATCTTGTGATAATAATTTAATAATGCAAAGTTTCAGTCACTGGAGGTGAACTAATGAGGCATGGCATAGCATGGCACGTATGCTAGGAAGTTGGTGTGCTTTTTAAAATATAAAGTATTAGCATATACCTTGTATCTTTACGATGCAATCTTATGCATGCTGACCCTCTTTCAATGAGACTTGGAGTACATCCTAAGCAAGGGCGGATGGGATGGAGCAGCAGATTCCCAGCCTCATCTGCAACCAGCTCCTGCTGGGCTGGGAGATGCCTGCAGCACCTTCAGGCTAGCACAGCAGAGGGTTCCAGATTGGGTTCCTCCTCAGGAATTAGGCTGGCTCTGGGTTTGTCACCAGAGTGACACCCCACTTTGGGGCCTTGTAATGCCTACAGCCAGCAGGAACACTTCCAACAGAAATGTACACTGCCCCACATTTCAGCAGGTTCAGCGGAGGCCCCCCATGGCAGCATAGCCCCCCACTGATGGAGAGCAGCAGAAAAGAACCCACCACATTCTAATTTATTCCAGCATTGCAGATTTGAGGGGGTGGGGACGGGGAGGAAATATTGCTCTGTTCCTCCCAGCCAGGTAAGTAAGTATAGGATTGCAGCCTTTTATTTCCAGCATCTCTCTTATTTGCAAGCAAATAAATTTCTTCTCAGCTCTCTATTTAATACTCTATTTTGCCAAATTTTCCAATCTTGGAGTACTGTACTCAGATAAAACAGTTGTGCAAAAATGTAGACAGTTAACCCTTTTGTCTTGGGTCATATCTTTATTGTATATTGCTGTGTTCTAGTTTTTACATCTCAGTTCTCAGAAATGATTCACTAAGTTTTGCCATCCCATGCAAACTCACTCCAAGAAACTTGGGAACCATTTTCACTGTTTTGTTTCCCCCTGTTGTTTGTGAAAATACTGTTTTGATAATAGGGCAAATTTTATTTTATTTTATTAAGAAGAAGGTTAATTTCTCTCTCTCTCTCTCTCTCTCTCTCTCTGTGTGTGTGTGTGTGTGTGTGTGTGTGTGATCTTAATTTTTCCAGGGATGAAATTCCAAAACCAACATTAGCTTTGGAGTATACATTTGGAAGAAGAGCAAAAGGGCACAATACAGTAAGTATGCTGACAAACTAGATTATATAATCTCCTTTTGGTTCATCAGTAGTGTTATGTACCTCATCAAGCCTGCCCCTGACATTTATGCAACCACATTCTTGACAGCACTCTAATTTGCAGTGGCCTTGATAGTGGAGAAATATGTGCATTTTTCAAACTTATTTATTTATAAAAATATCTATATACTGCTATTCATAAAAACAGAGCATTTTACAACAATCATACATAAAACCATGCAATAAAAACCAAACAAAAATTTAAAAACCAGCTAAATATTATGGAAAGATGTATTCTTAATTGCCTGCATAAACCTAGTGAAATAGGAAAGTTTTCTGCAGTCATTAGAAGTTGAAACAAAAGGTGCCTACTGAATCTCTGTTAGCAGACTATTCCACAGGGCTGGGCCAATACTAAAATAAAATAAAGGCTTGATTTCTTTTTGCTGTCAAATGAACCTCATCAGCTCAGGGAAAAACCAATGACTTTTCTGCAGATTGTCTCTCTCCTCCTTTTCTGTTCCTGGCACTGACTTCAAGTGCATAAGCAGAGCTCTTTATGTGGGCTGCAGCAAGGGGAGATGCAAACAAAACATACACCAGAGAGTTGTGGCTAGTTTTGGCTTTCTTATCTCTCCCTACAACCCATGCCAAGGGTGTTTAGGGATTAGTGGGGATTACATGTATTTTCTTTTGTTGTTGTTGTTCCATGAACACTATTGTATAAAGAATACCACATAAATGTGGAACCTCCCAGGGCCAAATGTAGCCCTCCTGGCTTCTCTGTCTGGCCTGTGGGATTCTCCCCAGGCCACACCCTCTTTCTTCAAGCCTTTCCCTGAACTTGCTTCACACCCATCTACAGTGGTACCTCAGTTTACGAACTTAATCCGTTCCGGAAGTCCGTTCTTCAACCAAAACCATTCTTAAACCGAGGCACGCTTTCCCTAATGAGGCCTCCCGCTGCCGGTGCCCTTCCACCTTTCAGATTCCATTCTTAGACCGAGGTAAAGTTCTCAAACCAGGACACGATTTCTGGTTTTGCGGAGTTAGTAAACCGAATTGTTCTTAAACCAGACTGTTCTTAAACCGAGGTACCACTGTCTAGTGCTTTTGCTGGACTGGAATTATCCCTGAACTCTCATAATGATCCCTGCTTGCCCAAACAGAGCATGGGGGCAGGTGAATGCATTCAGAAACAGGTCTGCTGTACAAAGGTAAACTTTATATTCATTGCTCTGCCTACTTTTGCCTCTGTTCCTGTCCACAACTAGCCTGTGGTCCCCAGAAGATTTCTCAGAAGGTAATGTAGCTCCTAGGCAGAAAAAGGTTCCCTATCTGTGACTAAGTGTGAAGTGTCTCTTAGAAGATCTTCTCAAGTTTCATGTGTAAATCTTATATTCCAACACCTTGTCAGCAAAATCCACTGCTGGCATTCTTCTAAACTCCTGATAAGACAACCCAACCTTCTTCTGGGTTTCTGTCTGATGTCAGATCAATCATACAAGATGCGTATTGCAATGTATGTTATGCATCAAAATCTTGTGCAAATGATTAATGCAAATAAACTTTTTTTCCCAGCCCAAAGACATTGCTAATTTTTGGGAACTAGGTGGTGGAACTTCATTGTTGGACTTGATTCCCATACCAATAACTACAGCTAACATAAGGTAATGAACCAAGAACTTGGTAATTTCATAATTAATCTCCGCTATCTTTCTATAACAGCTCAGTTCTTCCATTGAACTTCAAACTTCAACTTTATTCATTTAGAAATGTTTATTACTCTTCCTCATAGTCATTTGTGGCCTCTAGATTTTTGTCCTGCACGTGTGGGACCTGGAATTGTATACATGGTGTATAGTCAATAGAGGTTCTACTGGCGAACAATAGTCAGTCGTACCTTCATCTGAGTCAGTTTTTCAGTTTCACTACTTTGCTGGAGATCTGTGCCCACTTACTGGAAGTGAACTGAATGGAACTTACTTCTGAGTTGACATGTATAGGATTGTGCTTACAGTTGCTTTTTGAAATTTATACCCTCTACTATCTATAGAACTACATTCTGTAGTGTGGTGGTTAGAACGCTGAGCTGGGACCTGGAAAATGAGGGTTTAAATCCCCACTCAACTACGAAGCTCACCAGGGGACCTGGAGCCAGTTTCTATCTCTGCCTTACCCACCTTACATGATGGTTCTGAGGATAGCTAAGATGGGGGAACCATATTTGCCACCTTAAGCTCTTTGGAGGAAAGGTGGGGTATAAATGTAGCAATAACATCTTGAAAAAAAATAAAGATGGTTTATTAAAAGAAAGATACCTGGCTCAGAAAGTAGCTCCATTTAAGGAAAAAGAGAAAGACATTTTCTCAAAACACCAGCTACGAGAAAATACAGAAAATATTACTATTGTAGGAGACTAGCTTCTCTCCCAGCAGCTGTAAGCTTTATTCATTACACTTGCATCTATTCTTGCAAATATCCCAGAGCAACATTTTAGGTTTCCAACAACGCTTGAGATCCAAGGGAGAGATAGGGACTGGCCAAAGACCAGCAGCCATTGCACATAATTGCTTAATGTAGATTTAAAACTAGTTTCCTTTCAACCCAGACAAACCACTGACTTCTCTCAACAGAAGTCAGTGCTCTGGCTGGCTTTCTTCTGCTCTCAGTGGGGCATTTAGTGGAAAAGGCTATATAGGGGCTATTTTGGAAAAGGCCCTAGTCTCTTCTCAGTGTAGTTACACTTGAGGGAAGATATTAAATTGATTTCGGTGTGCATAGCTGTGAAAAATCAAAGTGATTTTCATGTGGATGGGTAAGATAGTTACCTTTTTTTTTTTTACAGCTGCTGCAGATGAATTACAATTAAAATCAACATTAGGATGTTGGTGTGGGGAGAAGCGGACCACTTTTTGGTCTAAAGAATTTGAAATGATGAACTCAAACTAGCCAGATGCTTTGGTTTGCAGTTCAAGGTTTCATTCAGGCTAGAGCTCCTATTTTCCCTGTTTCTTTAAATTTTTAAGAGGCTGGTTGAGACAGCTTTGTTCATCTCTTAACTAAAAGTGTCACCTTGGATATTTGCCTTTTTTAGATGTGCCACTAACCCATGGTGTAGCACTATATCAACAATCGGAAGCAAGTGTCAGGTGTGCATGCTCCACCACCACAACACAGTTTCATTTTTGAACTAACCACAGTTTGTTGTTGTATATTTATTAATTTGTCCATTCAGTTTATATCCTACTCTTACTCCTCAAGGAGCCCAGGGCTTAACTGTGTGAACTGCAAATAACTGGTTAGTTTAAACTATGATTTGTTGAAACAAGCAAGCATCAGTGCTTGTTTCCTTGTTACTTGTCAAATTCTCCCAGACAGTTCACTCAGCCCATAGTAACCAGGTTTATAATAAAATATCACGACAAAGAATTTATAGTAGAGTACAAATCATTTTCCGGGCAAACATTGTTTCCATATTTAATGTCATTTGCTTAGGTTGTATAGGTTCGCATGTTTGTTTTTTGCACCTCTAAACTGCTGTTTAGATGTCATTGTACTTCTTGTGCAAAGGATATATTAGGTGCCTTTAAAAATGTTAGGCTGTCTTTCTGTTCTTTTTGTAGGACATTTGCTATCGTTCTTGTCCTGGATCTTTCAAAGCCAAATGAACTGTGGCCAACCATGGAGAGCCTTTTACAAGCCACTAGGAAGCACGTAGACAGAGTTATAACAAAACTGGGACAAACAAATCCTAAAGCAGCTACTGAAATTAAACAGAGAATATGGAACAATTTGCCAAAGGATCATCCAGTAAGAACTAGTATTTTCTCCAGATGTCACAGGCTCATACACAGTTAAAGATAATCGCTTTGAGAATCATAAACAATTCCTTTAGATTTTTATGCATGACTGAAAATCCATTTGATGTAGAAGAACTTGTTCAGTGGAAAATTATAGCAATTTAATGAAAATTCAGTAAGGGCAGAAACAAGGAAAGAAGGTTTCTTATATATTCTTGTTAGACATCTAATGTGATTGTTATGGCATGTTACAACAATCAAAAGAAACAGTTTTACAGACGCAGTTTGATATTGATTTTATAATCTCCTTTTGAAATGAAGGTGAAAACTAGAATGTACAGAAGTTATCTGGCAAAGCAACTCACTGAAGCTACAGATTTGAGGAAAGGGTGTAGTTATAACAGCCTTCAGCACGACTCTATACTTTGCATTTATTCAAGTGTCTATCACAGACTCAGTGCCTTTTGATAATGTGACAACTAATTAAATTATAAAATTTCAGGGATGTTAACATAAGCCCTTGAAATTCAATTGCTAATGTGCTCTCTTGAAGAAAGTAAAATAGATTGCCGAAGATGCAATTGAAAAGGTGCCTGGCATCATGCATTCATCTTGTACAAATGTTGTGTGTATGCGGTGTCTAAACAACGTATATATATATATTCTATAGTGCACAATTCAAGGATGTAAAAATAATACTATAAAGTAGCTATTAATGTGAGCCATAAATGAACATGAATAAAAGACCCAATAGACTTAAATTTGCTTCCTTTATGACTTCCAGTAGCCCAGTTCATCTTTAAAAAAACAGGCATATTTTTCTCCCTTGCTTCACCTATCACACTGATGCCAACTCACACTCCTGAATGGAAGGAGTCACAGCCCACCTTCCACCTTTGCTGCTATGTGCATGTGAGAATAATAGAATTGTAGAATTGTAGAGTTGGAAGGGACCCTGAAAGTCATGTAGTCCAGCCCCTTGCAATGCAGGAATTTTAACTAGATCATACATGATGGACTACCACCCAACAAGAAGCCCCTTCCAAGACCCCTGCTCAAGTTTCATCCATTGCAGCTTCTGTAGATGCAGAATTTTCATGTGCAGCTCAGTTGAGCTCAAGAAAGAAGATTTCTTCCTGCCTCTGGTGAAGCAAATCCTAGCTGCTCTGCTTGTCTTGAGCTTAAGCATATGTAAGGAGCTGAAACTTCAGGGATTCATTCCCTAGGCTTGCCTCTTTCCATGGAAAAGCTAGCATGGAAAGCCACTTGTAAAGTCAGTGTGCTCTTGTCACATTGGGGTTTGGTATACCCATCTAAGTGGGGGGTGAGGCACCTTCACAGGTTGGACTGAGTTAGATGGAAAGGAATTTGAATTCTTCCTACTTAAGGCTTTGGTGAGTTACTTCCAGTTACTTCCATAATAAATTAATGGCTGTACAGTCTTAAAATTCTCCTTATTTCCAAAGATTATGCAACAATGAAGCCCATGTATGAACTATTTTGAAGCCATCTCATCATGTTCTTATCTGAAAAAAGGGATTGTAAAAAATGTTATATAAGTATTGCCACTTTCTTAACAGGACCGTGAACTGATTGATCCGTTTCCAATTCCACTAGTTATAATCGGGAGCAAATATGATATGTTTCATGTAAGTAATAACTGTGTTACAATTCTCCCCCTCTGTTGTATTGTGGTAGCCTAGGACACTTTTTTATTGATTCTCTCTCTCTCTCTCTCTCTCTCTCTCTCTCTCCAAAATCAGAAAAGTAATATGAACAAAATGGCAATTACAGCCATATGTAATTGCCATCTCTGTCATTCATCCTCCAGAAACAATAATAAAATATTTATAATAATGAAGAAAATAAGACTAAATATGAATGACATATACTAGCAATATACCAACTGTGAAATATACCAACAGCTTCAATTCCTAGCATCCCTTGGTAGGGCTGAGAAACCCTCATGTGCCTCTGCCGGTTGGAATAGAGTGAGACTGGGTCTGACTCTGTATAAAGCAGCTTTCTGTGTTCCTGTATATTTCCCCTTTTTTTATGTTGACCTTCAGGCCCCATTCTCTCCTTTAGCACATGCCCTTTAGGTTATTTTGTAGAGTTATCTTTAAAGATGAACAGCCTGTTCAAATGCAGCAGCAGTGTTTCTGAGAGACAGTATCCATTTTTAGCAGAATCTTAAACTTCCCTCCCCAGCAAATGTACGCAGACTGCCATCACTTACGCATTCACTGGAAGTATAAATGTGTGAGATGACCTCCTCTCCCCAGAACTGAATTGACCATTAAAGACAGCTGTCAATGGATATTAGCCACAATGCCTATACTCTACCTCCATTGCCAGAGGCAGGATGCCCTTGAATACTAGTTCCTGGGAATCACTGGTCAGGAGACCAGTGCTTTCAGGCTTTCCATAGGCATCTGATTGGCCGCTCTGAGAACTGGATGCTAGAATAGATGGGCCATTTCCCTGATGCAGCAGGGACTTCCCAAGAAGATGTGTTATGTGGTACCCTTTAATCTGGTCCCTACCTTGCTTGATCTTAACTTAGTACTATCCTCGTGTCCATTTTCTCTCATACTCCTCCCTCAACTTGATCAACGTGTGCACATTTGATCAGTAGAAAACACTTTCCTGTGCCTGTCTCTTCACAAGTGCTGATGATATACCATCGGATACGGCAATGCTGGTTCTTTCAGAGTCTGCTCTTAATTCATTTCTCATCCTTTTAGTTTTTATAACTACAACACCAAACTAGTCTTATCTTTTGTGCACTGTTTGAGCACATGCAGGCAGGACATGTGTTTGGGGAAACATTCATCCTTGGTCCCCTAGGTGGCAGCATAGTGCATTCTAGGCAAGTCACCTGTCATTGATGCATAATTCCTTATAGCGCAAGCCTAGGTTTCTTTGTTTGCTTCCTTTATTAAGCAGCCAATGTTATTGGTTGCTTTTTGAATGGAATGTAAATGACATTTTCCCAATATTGTTAAGCTGCATTCCTCTAAAGTAGAATAAATAAGCCCTTGTGAGGCAAAGCAAAAATGTGTGTCTTTGGGAAAGATATGCATATACTAAAGTGCTTTGATCTTCCCTGGTCATCCTCTTGCTGTGCTCATCTAAGCTATTGTTTAGCTTAGCAGGTCATCCAAACTGAGCTTGGGCTTTAGCTCTCTTCGGACAAGCCTCAAGCTGTAACCAAGGTTTATCCTATGGCCTGCACCTTGTGCTGTGCCTGAGTGAGCTGAGCCACAAGCCTGGGTTTAAACAATACTGTCAACCAAACCATGGTTTAGCTTAGCATAGCACAATAACAGAATGACCTGCGAGGAGCAAAGTGGTCAAAGTCTCCTCTCTGGAAGCCCACACATTTACTTGTTGGCAAATGTTGACTTAGTGTTACACACAAAGGAGGGCAATGTTATGTCGCATTGTGAAAAACTGTAAAATGATTCATTAGATTTTTCCCCCACCCCAACCCCCCTCTTTTTTTAAAGGAATTTGATTCAGAGATGAAAAAAATAATATACAAGACGCTTCGCTTTGTTTCTCATTACTATGGAGCATCTTTAGTGGTATGTATATTATTGTATTTCATGGGCACAACCCTGCCAAAGTCAAGCCCTTTCAACTCGTATTCATTTCCCAAACAAACAAAGAAATTAAAATAAAATAAAATACAGTGGTGCCTCGCAAGACGAAATTAATTCGTTCCGCGAGTTTTTTCGTCTAGCGAATTTTTCGTCTTGCGAAGCATGAAATCCCATAGGAATGCATTGAAATTCAATTAATGCGTTCCTATGGTCAAAAAAAGTCCAAACAAAGCCAAATTTGGTACAACAAGAGTTTATTAAGTGCTCTTTAAAGTCACACATACTGTAAGGAACATTTCAAAAATTGAAGGAACAATAAATGAAGTTACTAAACATGACAGAAAAACATTTAAAAATCAACAAAGTGTACAGTACATTTTCTAAGACTCTGGGGGACAACTCGAAGAAGGTTCCTCTTCCACTCTTTGCTTCTTGCTGAAGAACCCCCTCAACTGTTCCCCCAGCCACCCACCACACAGAAATTCAAATCCAGAATTTTTTTTAAAAAACAGCAGAGTGGCCCAATGGTCACAGAAAATCATAAAAATGCAGGGAAAAAACACACAAGCTTCCAGATTCTTGCAAACCCCTCCCCTACACCAAGTCCTTGAATTCCAAACACCCCAACCCAAAATCCAAAACCCCCCCAAAAAGTTTTAAAAGTTTAAAAGAAGTTTTGAAAAGCTTCAAAAATCACCAAAGTCTTCAAAAACCTCAAAAAAAGGCTACCACACCGCGTTCTATGAGTTGCTCCTCGAAGTCAAGTCGCAACTGTATTAACGGTGTTAAGAAAAAGGAAACAAACTTGCAAGACGTTTTCGTTTTTCGTCTTGCGAAGCAAGCCCATAGGGAAATTCGTCTTGCGAAGCAGCTCAAAAAACCGAAAACCCTTTTGTCTAGTGAGTTTTTTGTCTTGCGAGGCATTCGTCTTGCGGGGCACCACTGTAACCCAATGTGTGGGTTAGTCTTACCATGACCTGATGATTGTTGGCTTGTGATGGCACAGAGGTGATCTTTTTCACTAGTAGCACTGGTATTGTGGAATGCACTCCCTACTGAGATTTAAGAAACCTCATTTGTATTGGCATTCTGCTGGCTTTTGAAGACACACAGCCATTCCTTTAATCTCTTGACCTGAGTCTCCTGTTTTAATTGCTGTTGTTTAATTTTGTTTTACTGCATATTTTATTTATGGACATTTATATGTTAATGTTGGGATTGTTATATTGTGTGTTTTAATTGTGTGTTTTCAGCAACCATGTATGATAACAGTGTTGTACTATAGTTTTATTATTATTATTATTTGGGGGCATTAAGTGGTAGCTGTTTCAGGACACTGAAAGAGCTAAATCTTAAACATAACAGTCCTATGATGAATTTTGAGTGACTCGGGAGTAGTATTTTCCTATGTTTACTAGGAGAAGCATAACACAAGTTTTATGCTTTGTTCACAGTTCACCAGCAAATCTGAAGCTCTGCTCCTGAAAACACGTACTCTCATTAACCATTTAGCATTTGGCTTTGATAGGAGGTAAGCTAAACAAGTTCCTACTATTGGCAAGCTCTCCCAAAACCTTCTGTTGGCTAGATACTGGCAATTTGTAAAAAAAGGAAAGGGGGGGGAATCTGTCAGCTTTTCTGTTTAATACAGGATTCTTGCTCATAGATCTATATAACGACTGATGAAACAGTTTTAGGAAAATGCTTTCAAATGGACTTGTTGGCCTAGGTGGGTGGCTAACTTGTGGCCTCCCAGCATGGCCAATGTTCAGGAATGACTGAAGTTCTAGATCTAGCCCAGCGGCACTTTGGGTGTGAGAATCCTGGGCAAAATTACCATTGTAGGAAAGAGGCCATTTTTGTGTATGAAGGACACACCAATAGCTCAGTGATAGAACTTGCATATCCAAGTCCCTCAGTTCATAGCATCTCCAGGTAAAGGATCTCAGATGACAGGGCTTGAAAAGGCCCTGCTGAAATGTTGGAGATCTGCTAATAGAGTAGACTCAGGCCCAAACTACACAGAATGTTGATTCCGTGGTTTGTCCTTGAGTATACAGTATTTCTTTCAAAAACATCAGGTGAGCGGTGGGTCCAGACTGGGCCTTTGGCACTGGCAAATTTAGCACATTTCCCCCTCCTCCAGTCCTGATCTGAATTTGGACCTCCATGCCTGCAAGGGTGGGCGAGGGGAGCTCCCATTCAATCCCATTTGTCAGAAGGACTGCTGCTGAGAGAAAAATAAAAATTGGAGCTTTATAGAAAAAGCTAGGAGGGGAAATGGATCCGTCAAAGCTTCCATCAGCAGAAATTAAACTTTTGCTGTCCATCAGTTCTATTGATTTGAATGGGACACAGTTGTAACTGGGGGGGGGGGGTGTAACTGAATTTTCTGAAAAAAGAAAAGAAACAAAAACAAATACAGTCAAACAATTCAAAATAAATCATAAATTAAAACAATATGTTATTTGCATTTAAGGGCATAGTTGTAACTTGCCTTTCTTAGAGTGTGCTTTTTGTCAGTTTTGTTTGGTAAATTCTGATAACTGATCTATATTCATTTTGTTCCATTCATGTTTTTTAAGCAAATCCATGTCAGTGGATCAGAACAAGCCACTCTTTATCCCAGCAGGAATGGACTCTCTTAGTCAAATAGGTGGGTGGTTTTCTTATCCAGTATATTTATTGTGCATATAGCTTTTACAGTTAAGAGAATACAAGGCTGAACTGGACAAAAATGAACAATGGATTCTGAAACGTCTACAAAATGTATTTGTGTATGATGATTACTTAAGAAAAACGATCGGAAAGTTTTAAGAAGGTACAGCAATGTTTAACAACAACGCTATACATATTTATTGAAAAGTAAGCCCTGCTAAATTCAGTGGGACTTACTTCCAGGAAAGTGTGTAAAGTACACAAAGGATTGCAGGCCTAGTATAACAGCTTCCATGTTGAAAGCTTAGTGCTTATCTTCAGGAACCTGTTTCTTACATATTTGTATAACAACCTCCATGTAGGACAATTTTGTACTTTCTTTTCATCCGTTTTGTTAAATTATTGAGGGGAATACATTCAGACAAGTAGCTTGTTTGCCATTTGAATGATGGAGTGACCATTGTTACAATTCTTATAATATCTAGGTCCTCCTCCTGCTTCCAATAGTGATATTGGAAAGCTGCATGCACAGACACCTATGGATCTATGGAAAAAGGTGTTTGAGAAGGCATTTCCACCAAAGGTGTGTATACCTTTTTTGTTCTTTGATGTTCTTATCAGCCTTATTTCTTTTCACAATACTTGTTAATTCTTGTGGCTGCACTGTTGTGCCGAAGCCAGATTATTCAGAAGTAAAGTAATTTCATTGGGACTTCTAGTTATGGAAGAATTGAAACTTTAAGCTTGGTACTGGCTTTGCTTTTTGTGCACAGCTGTTTTCATTTCCTAATTCATTGATCAGGATTTAAACCTTGAGCCAGGGGTTCCTAGTTTAGATGTAACAGGAACCTGTAGCTTAACCCCCACACCTAAGTGTTCAGCTGTGGCGCACAAGAGGACTGAGTGTCTGGGCGCAATGCTCGTTCTCACTGTAATAAATCATGGTTTGTTAGACCTGAACTGTTACATCTGAACTGGGACACTGTCACAGAAACATAGACACAAAGTCACTTCACGTGATCTTTGTAGGTTCTTGTCGTGGCGAAATAAATGCAAGCTGATACAACCTTTGTGAACTGATGGGAACTAGGCTGTTTCATACAGTTGTCTTCGAAAGATGTGGACCTGCTGGAAGGGGTTCACAGTGTGGCCAGGATCCCTCGGAGGTGCCTGTTACATGAACTAGCTTCTTTGCACAGAGGGTTGAGTATTTTGCAAGGTGTGTTTAGCCCCCATAAGGAAAAACAGTGTATATATGTAGCACATCCATGCCATCCCAGCTTCGTTGCAGTCATGCAACTGGTCCTTCATTACACATCTTGAAGAGGGAGCTATATGAACCAGCCTCTGCAGTTTGTACAGGTTGATGCCTTAAACGTATTTATGGCAGAGATGCAAGCTCTAGGGATATTTCAAGACACACCTGGGGGAAAGAATGAGGCTGCATTTTACTCTTTCACCTGCACTTGTTTCAGAATGTCGGAGTTTTCAAAGAAGTCAAGGACCCAGCTCAAGATCCACAGTATGGTGAATATGAAGTCGATGCTATGCGCGCTCAGAAGAACCAGGTATGCTACAGCAGTCGTTCATGTCGCTCAATAAAGAAAATCTCACGGGTATTTCTCAGGCACTGTACGTATGCCCAGACGTATGTACCTTTGAACATTCATTTATAGCTGCAAGTCTCATTTTAACCATAAAGTTTGCTCAGGTGGCCTTGGACACATCATCAACTCTCGGCCTAATCTGATATATTGAAGGTTATTCTATAAATAATTCAGATAATTTTTTTAAGCAATCTGCTTCTATAGGAAAGTAAGCCACACTGATGGCAGTTGCAGACGTGGAAGAACTTTGAGTGTTACCTCCAGGGTTTACCTCCAGGGCAGTTTTCCAAGTTGCATTTTCTAAAGGTGAAAGGTAGCTTTGCAAAATGCCACAGCATAGTTCTTAAACTAAAGTAACCCCATATTTTCTCTGGAAGTTTCATAACACTGCCGCTAAGGTTACTCAAGTTTAGTTGAACACGTCAGTGACCATGCCTACAAACCTGAGCCAGTAATTATCTAGTTGATTTCACAGTTTTATAGTATAGTATAATCTACAGTAAAATAGACAAACTCTAGACTACTTCCAGTATTGGAAAATTTGTTTAGGCTGACAGGTTTATTCCAGGGCATTGCTTTAGAGTTACCTCAGCAAGTATTTCCATTTTAAGTCATGGTGCAAAATTAATCTCAGTTGAAATTATTTCTTGCAGATTACAAGTAGTATATAATTAATGACTAATGTAGTCCTCAGACATTCCATTTAATTGATTTTAATGTGTCACCCAAAATAGAATGTTCAGTTTAATTGCTTGCAACATACATTTTTTGCTTTACATTCATACTAAGGCTATGATTATGGATGGTATTTTTATTAAGTAAAATAGGCTACTAGTAAAAGTTGATTAAATCATATTGAAAATTAATATTTTCCCAGGTGTTTCCTAGTTTCAGTGCTCTTTTATTTTATAAAGATTTTAATCTGTATTGATGCCATTGGAAGTTGCTGTAGCTTTTGTTGTTGGTACTATTATGGAGAAAAAATGGTAATAGACAAGTTTCTGTAAAAAGAAAATTATCTGCAGTTATTTCCCTAAAATTTCCATCTTGGAGTTCAGTTATTATAAGATTATTATAACATTTGAACTGCCCTTTATGAAAACATTTTGGGATTTTTGTATTTCATTTGATCTTAAAAGCTGCGAGATAACCCTGTATATATCTGTAAGAAAACAATTCCCTGGCTACATTCAGTTTTTAAATGCATTAGGATTTCCCATAATTATATGAAAATTGAGAGTGAAATGGCCCTTATCTCAAGAAGTAAGTATTAAATGCTTCAGAAAGCTAATCTTTTTTCCCTTCCTTTTTGTACTCCTTTGTTCCATACATAAAGCATTTATATAGAGAGGAGCATTTATGTTAAAGTTATAGCGTCAAACATAATGCTTTGTATTTCTGTTTCTTGAAGGTATTCATGCATGGTAGCTTTTTATTCCAATTGAAAAGTAGACTTTTGTGCATTTCTTCCTGATCATTTTATGTTGCTCTTTGGACTCAGAATGACTATCTGTAGAGTTTAATATACTTCTCATAGTGCTACTGACATTAGGGACCACACACCTGCAAACAGTAACCAGACTCTCATTTCTTAGCAAGCTTTCTTAACAGCAGCACATAAAAGAAACGGTCCCGTTCCCCCTACCGCACCCCCTGCCGGCCATCCATTGATCCATTAGTGCTTATTTGGACCTCTCTCTTTTTTGGGCAGTGATCTGCATCAGCCATATAGCCTATTTCATCTAGACGTTAGAAATACATCATTGCTATAATATACCAAAGGCCCCGATCAGGATGCTTCTCTGTCTTTCTCGTGATTTTCTCTGGCCTAACAGTTTGCTCACTGTACAGTGATAGTTGTTCAGATGCTTGAAGGCCACTTAATAGTGCTTTTGAAATTTTAAAAACCTGAGCAACCTAAGCAGCAATTGTAGCTCCTTTAACCTAGCCCCCTTTCAGCACCCCCAGCGCAACCAAATACTGTAAAGAAGCATTAACCTGTCCTTCCCCACAGCACTCCTGATACAGGTAAAATTGTGATGTTGGATGCATCAGGATCATTGGGGAGGGCAGGCTTTAACCGTTTCCCCTCATCACTCCAGATGCAACTAAAATCTCTGTCTCTGTGCAGCTGATAGCAGCGTGGGAAATTGCATACAAGGGCCCAGTCCTATGTAATAGCCACAAAAAAGTGATGAAAGCACACGACAGTAACAACAATGTATTGATAAGTTAACAATTACGTAGGACGAAACATCATTACAATTGCAAGGTGTGAATGAACCAATGAATATATGGATTGAATGACTGGAACTACTAGTCAGATGCACAAGAAGAATTAGAAATGAGCACAATGCAGTTCAGAAATTATGTTTATTTAATAAATCCACATGGCACTTCTTTTAAATTATACTATGCCACAGCAGCTTACAACTTATAAGAACAATTCAGAACCATATAAAATATCAAGCATTCACTACTTCTAAAGACACTTCTGTCAGCTAGCCATCCCAATAAAAAATGAGGCCTCTGCCTAGTTGTGCAAAATTACAAAAAGAATACGGATGCTGATGTAAGCTAACTAAAAATGAAGTTAGGTGCGATGAAAAGGCCATGATTGTGACAACAATTTTCACTTTTTATTCTGATGCCATACAACGCGGCCCACACTGATCAAAATGTTTTCCAAAATTATAAAAGAAATAGAAGTCTGATTTGCCAGAAACATAAAGTATGTGGTTTTTGTAAGTGGTGGTGGTAAGTACCTTTCTACTATCCATTCACATGAAGAAAATGTTGTGTCCTAATTCAGCAAGGGCAAATCAACCGTGAAAGAAGACTTGTGGAGATTTCTGGATACGTGAGCCAAATGGTGTTGTGCAGAAGAAAAACCCACCTCGACATCTGTGCTAGTGCTCCTGTTAGCACTGCAAGAGTCCTCAGCTCTGCCAAATCCACTTTGGACAGGAAAAACTGAGTCCCAACACTTTCCCCAACCCTTAAAGAGTGATGCATACTGCTACGCCTATAGGAAAGATACAGGGGGTACTCTAGACTGCGCTCATAATCTAGCAGGTCACATCAAGGGGTCCAGTTTCTAGCAGGTTTCAGTCAGATGCCTTTGGAAGATCCCAAGCAACATATGGAAGCAAAGACTGGTTGGTTTGTCCCCTGGAATATATGGTGTTCTTAGCTACATGCATTTGAAGATAGAGCTCCCACTTAGCAAACACTTGTGTTGCTGGTCACTTGGGAGATCTGCACCCCTAGGCTGCACTTGAGGGAGCAAATGAACATTATTTCTTAGTTTAGTAGCAGCTGGATAATTGCTCTTTGAAACCACAAGTAGTAGATAATGAAAAGTAAAATGATACGGGTGCAATTAGAATAATGGACTTCAGTAATTTCGCGGTGGATCTCAGTATTAGAATGGCATATACAGCATGACATAAAAAGATAAACTGCCATTTGTTTAGTGTTATGAAAGGCATACATGAGAGCTGCTTTAATCATGGCTAATTTGCTGTGTGCCACAATCTGGATTTCTTTTACAACTCATTCATAATTAAGATATATAGATACCACTGATACATTCCATGCAGTTTAGACCCCGCTGGGTGTTTGGGCTTATCTTGCATACACTGTTTCTAAAATGCCATCTTTTATGTCTTTCATTTTATTTTTATGCATACTGATTTATATGCAGTGATGATAGTAATGATAGCAGAGACTGGATGAGATCCAAAATTTGCAATATATTGCAGAATAATACTTAATGTTCTCACATTAAAATTGAACATGCAGTTGCTTATATCATGGGGGATATTATTATTTATTACATTTATTAGAAGCTTTTTTTTCAAAAATGAAACTCAAAACTAACTTACAAAAAACTAAACATTAAAAACTGTTTCAATATATCTTTCCATTTTAGGAACTAGAACAGTACAAAAGAAATGCCTCTAAAACCTGGAAAGAAATGGAGTTTGATTCTTGACTGAGAAGTATGTCTCAACCAGATTTGAAGCTGCATTTCATACATTTGAGTCATTATGTTTTGTACACTTGTAAAATGCGTAAAAACCCCCATCATAAATACTTAAGAATAATTATGGTCATTGTTGTTTATGATCAGTATAGTAGATTGTGCCAGAATCACTTCTCTTAGTTAAACTCAGTAAGAGATGACCCAGATGTTGCAAAACGTTTGAAGAAGAAAAGTAGACACATTCTGTGTCATTTAACATCAGATAACTGGTTTGTGAAAAGTTCAAAGGACATTCTGAACATTAATCTTAACAGCAGGTCGATGCCCTGATCCTCAGTTTCACCTTTGCTGCAGCGTATTAAAGTCAGTGTGAGATTGTGAGATTTCCCCCCCTCCAGTTAAGACACAATTTTCTGTATTTTGCCAGCATAATATGATAAAAGTTGCATTTCTGCTTAGACTATTAGAAGCTTTGGGATGTTGGACTATAGTTTTTAACCATCACAAATTCTTTATGAATTTTTTGTTTGCTTGTTTGAATTGAAGTATTCAGCAAAACTATATGATCTTAAACAGGAAAATGCAAAGGAAATTTCTATTTTTGTATGACACTTGTAAATTGCTATTTTGAACCTTTTAAACATTACCACAAACGAATGCAGTTGGTCATTTTTAAAATAAAGACGTTATACAAAAGAAACCCCCCCCCACCTGAAATAATTTGCTCAAACACAATGTGGAGAGGAAAAGAATCAGTCTGGCGTGGGAGGTGGGGACAGAAATAACTGCACCAGTCAGCTGTTCGGACAGAACTGGGTTTGGGGTGGAAAAACGAAATCCTCCTGAATACCTAAGAGGCAATATATGACTGTTGCTTTTCTTTAAGAGGGTGCGGTTCATGCAGCCCTGGCAGTTGAATTTGCAAGAGATACAGCTGGATTAGCTGCTTTTGTTTATCATAATATTAGCACCGAAGAACTAAAAGTAAATAACGGGGAATGGTTTAGATTTCATAGTTAACGCTGTACTTTCACACACTGCAAGAGTGAAATAGCATATAGACCATTTAGTGTCACGTCTATTTCCTGGCAATAATTTGATCTCTTATTTTAAAACTGATAATTGCTAGAATTATGGCTGCTGGGACAAAGGCATATAATATTAAAAAGTCCGATGCGAATCGGGATGCTGCACCGGGAAACATCATTTCAATGACCTGAGCCCCTTGGGAGAATGGACAGGGAGCCCCAGCCGCAGTGGAATCGTTGAAGTGACCTACCAAAAGAAAGGTTTTCAGATTACAGTGTTGGTTTGAAGATTCTAAAAGGAGACGTTTACATTCTCAGAAAGCTTGACCACTTGGTTAGGGGCCAGTGGCTACAGCTATGGCAAGATTTAAATCCATCCCACCCCTTCTCAAGGTGATTTGTCCCACTGGCCCAAGTAGCTGAAAGCGCTTCTTCAGGGTCTCTGCTGAGATGTCCATATGGAAAGCTCTAGACTTCCAGGAAGCACACCTGTCCTTTCAGGATCAGCTGGTTCTCAATAGTAACTTGGCTATAGCTCATGGTTAGTGTGGAGAAAGTTTAACCAGGAATCCCTGCTGGAGCAGCATGCTAGGCCAAACTTTGGCCTGGCTCAGGGCAGTGGAGCTGTACTCACAGTGGCTGTGAGTGAGCTTCTCTCCAGGAGGTTGCACATTCACACAGGCTTACTAAACCATAGTTTGGCTTACTTTACTGCCAAACCAGGCCATTGTCTTAGTTTCTCCCACATTTGCTTTTCCTACATATTATATATCACATGTTCCGAATGGAGTTACTTTCTTTAGCCCAAGAAACAAAAATAAAGCACAGTTGCAGTAGCCAACAGGTTTCTGCCCCCTGTTTCTGACTCCTGCCTGAGAACAAACTAGATTTTGGGTAGCTGATGTGTTCAAGCCTTTTGCAGCGCTTTGAGAACAATTTGAGTTCCCAGCACTTGTGCCTGGTGTTGACTAGTTGAAAACATGGTGTGTTTGCAGATGTGCACTTGGCTTCTTCACTACAGTATACAGTTTTCTGCAAATGCAACACACCTCTTTCCCCTGGCCTTTGACACCTGATATATGTGTTTTTGGGACTCACACTGTTCCTGTGACTCTGATCTGTTTTAATTCTGAATTTTAAATAGTTGTTTCCTGCCCTGGCCAGTAATAAATTTAATCTTCATCTTCATCTCCCTTGCTGGATCAGGGTAAATAGATTTTCTGGTTTCTCCTCTGTTACTGGAAGCCCAGATGACCTCAGTGGCAAAAATTGGCTTTTCCCACCTCTGGCTTGTTCACTAGCTATGGCTGTTCATCGTCAGCCACTGTGAAAACAGTATCCTGGACTAATTGAGCATTTGGACAGATCCGGCTGAGCTCGTTTTATGGGATAGATGTATGGATTACTTTGGATAACTTCCACTGCATGTTGTTGGTCTATTGTGGGTCGCTGGATTTTTTTAAAAAATAGTTGCAATTCAGCCTGAGATAATTTCTGATGAAGGGCAGGATATAAATCTTATGAATAAAACATATAAATAGAATTGGAGGTGTTGTGTTTTCTTTTTAGTACTTACCACATGTAAATTTTAATTCAGAAAACTCATTCACAACAAGAATCTCACTGGTGTACTTGTGGAACGTAAAGTAGCTTAGAATGTTAATTGGAGTTGGCATTTCCTCCAAATTCCTTCAGAAACAAAACAAAAGTCATGCCCAAATTATGTAATCTTGTTTCCCATCTCGCGGCACAGCATATATTAAACATTTATAAGCCTCACGTATATCAACAACGGAGGCGGAAACCATGGTGGATTACATGGGCTTATTTTTATGAAGCTTATTGGACAGTGTTGTCGAAACTACCAGCATGAGTTTGACCAAACTGCGGGAGGCAGTGGAAGACAGGAGTGCCTGGCGTGCTCTGGTATGGGGTCACGAAGAGTCGGACACGACTAAACGACTAAACAGCAACATACATAAAAGGGGTGGGGGGTGTTAGGGGAGGGGCAGTACTTCTGGTGGGTGACATCATCGTGTTCCTTCTGGGATAGTCTGTCTGCCTTTGGTCCCCTGCACTCAGCTCTTGCCTGTAGTTTCTAGAAGCTGTCAGCATGCAACAACAGCCACACCTTGGGAACAGCTTCAGCTGGCCAGCTAAACTAGGGGAGAGTAGCTGATGGGTCTCAAACCCTTGGTGAGTTAGGGACTTCCCCTGCCTGTGAAGACAGGCTCTGGCAGATTGAGCGAACAAGACCAATAGTGGGTCCAATGGTCAAGAATGCAGTTTCTGCATGTGGTGTAGAGGGAAGTGAGAGGCAGATGGGGCTCATCAACCTGGGAAGGTAACCTGGGAAAATCTCTGAACCAAAACCTCTGCTGCCTTGCAGGACATCTTTAGGAGAAGAAACGGCTAAGGAGTAAACCCTACACAAATCTGGAGTAGAGTCCTAAGACAGTTGGATGGTATCCTGTCCGCTTCCTTCTGGCAACTCATATAGCCAAGCTGGTGCCAAATGGATTGCTCTGATTTCCTTTGGACCACATCAGCGAGGACAAGAGGGGGCAGCCCAGGACTTCCATATACACTGTACAGGCCTGTGCCCCGGAGAGATCACTTAGAAGCTGCCAACACAGCAGTTTGACTGCTCCCCTGGAGGCTAACTCCATTGTCTCTCAAGACAGGTGGATGCTAACTATACGGGTTATCTTGTTGAGCCAAATGCTCTCATTTCCCATCATTTCCCAGTAACAATTTTAATCATCATAAACGCAGATCACTGTTTCAACAATATAGTGTAACTGTATCTTTATATTTGCAAATAACTCTTTCCCTTACCTTACAAGTCCAGTTCCAGCTAGGGCACCTCCCATGTTAAGTAGCATCGCTACTCCACTGACCACATTGGGATTTTGAATGATGCCAAGAAGGGTAAGTGTAATCAGTTCACCTCCTATATAAGGTACTACAAGGGCAGCAAAGAAATATCCAAAGCTAGAAGCCGCTGGGTAAAATCCCATAGACCTGCAAAGAAAAATGGGTGTTTTAAAAAAGCAGCAGCAGCAGCAGCAATATGTTTAATAGTCCATCTTTCCGCTCAGAAATAGATAAATAAATTGGCCGTGACTGAGCAGAAATGAAATGGTGGCTCTGGGAAGGTCAAGTTTGACATGAGACTCAGGGTTGTGGGTTCAAGCCCCACATTGGGCAAAAGATTCATGCATTGCAGGGAGTTGGACTAGATTACCCTCCTGGTCCCTTCCAACTCTATGATTCTATCATTCTTCACAAGCCACAGCTGTGGGGAAAAGAATATCAAGAGGCAGCTTGGGTAGAAGCCTTCTCCTTGATGTGCCACATTTTCACATGGTGGGGGGACCCTTTCCATATGGCTATACATTTAAAATAGCGATCCCTCCACCTGTCCATCCAAATTTGTACCCTCCAAAAAGGAGTGCCATTATGCTGAATATGTACAGATTGGTTGATTCTTCCCAGCAATGGGCTGAGAGTTGAGCAGCTAAGAGCCATATATTCTCCCGCCTGACCTGACCCTAAGCGACGTACAATCAAACCCACCAAGCCCTAGGGGGAAAGGATGAAATGTTTGTCTGACTCAAAGTAGCTCCATTTAAATTAACGGCCATGTCTGACTTAGGGCCATTTGTTTCAGTGAGTCTACTCTGTACAGGACTTAGTTGTTTTAAGCTTTGGGAAAGTTTAGTCTGGGAAAACAGCAATTTAGAGGTGATACAATCTCCATCTTCAAATATCTGAAGGCCTGCCATAGACCAATGGGTTCAAAGCAAAAGGATTTAAACTAAATACTTGGCAGATGGTACAGTAAAAAAGGTAAAGGACCTCTGGACAGTTAAGTCCAGTCAAATGCGACTATCTCGCTTTCAGGCCAAGGGCGTTTGTCCACAGCCAGTTTTCCGGGTCATGTGACCAGCATGATTAAACCGCTACTGGCACACGGAGGACCGTGATGAGTGCCAGAGCACACGGAATGCCGTTTACCTTCCCGCCATAGCAGTACCTATTTATCTACTTGCACTGGCATGCTTTTGAACTGCTAGGTTGGCAGGAGCTAGAGGCCAGATGGGCATCTATCAGGGATGCTGAAGTAATGTGTTTCCTGCAGGAGTTGAGGTCCTTTCCATCTCCATGATCTTTACTCTTGCCTTCTAGATATCCAAGAAACCAGAGCCATACAGAATGAATCCTCTATTCAACAAGTAACTTCAGTGCAGAAAGATTCACCCGGCGTACCAACTGCCATTGCACCTACCAATAGATAACAGTACTAAATAGTGCCATGCTGATGATGCTAAAAGGCAGGAAATGCAGTATGTAGGCAAGCAACATTTGCCACTTCTGATATAAACCATCTTGGCTTTCTTGGTCTCCGACAGCCCGCAGTGCAGGAACTGAAAGGGAAACAAACAACTCTATACCAGAGAATCAAAGTGGTCGTCTTGCAGCGACGTCTGCCATCTATACAGTGGTACCTCTGGTTACAAAATTAATATGTTTGTAACCCGAAACTGTTCTTAACATGAGGCGCGCTTTTGCTAGTGGCGCCTCCCGCTGCTGCCGCACCGCCAGTGCACAACTTCCGGTCGCATCCTGGGGCAAAGTTCGCAACAAGGGGCATCTACTTCCGGGTTAGCGGAGCTCGTAACCCGAAGCATTCGTAAGGAGGATGGTACGTAACCCGAGGTTCCACTGTATTGCACTGGGGCAGCTCCCATTCATTTCAAAAGAGAACTTCCTAGGGTGGATTGTGTTCTTTGTCACAATGTATATTAAGCAGTGCTTTTAAATAAATATAAATACAGTATGTAGGCAAGCAACATTTGCCATTTCTGATATAAACCATCTTTACTTTCTCGGTCTCCAACAGCCCTCAGTGCAGGAACTGAAAGGGAAACAAACAACTCTATACCAGAGAATAATAAATACATAAGGTATTTCTACACATTTTAGGAGAATTTACATTCGGACTAAACTATGTGTAAAATGCGTGGCTGCATTTAACATGTGAGTCCCCCCCCCTTAAAAATAGCAGCCTTGTTGCAGAGGGGGGAGGAATTTCGCCCCTCCCCCAAGCTATCTTTGGTGCCAAGAAATAGTAGCTTTATATAGGGTGCAATTTTCTTTGAGACCATAGTCAAGGGAAAAGGTTCATACCTGCCCCATGTGATACTAATAATCTCTCCCATAACCTTGCAGCATTAAATACATCCATTCATGTACCATGTCATCTAGTTGATTCACACATTTATCAGATTGGCCCTAATACTGATTTATCTCAGAGAGCTATTCTGCAGATTGCTGAGATAATGTGTGTGAATTTGACAATTCTAAAGCACGGCATAGGTGTGATAATGATTAATACTATTTATTTCCAAAGGGTTATTGATGCAGTCCAGCCTCATGTTGCAGTGGCATATTGTCTGTGCTCCAACATGCATAAAAAGGTTTCCAAACTAAACCCATAATGTAGTCAATGTATTGTTTCAGAATACATTCAGAATACATTCAGAATACCCTTTCTCTCTGCAACCATTACTGATGCTGTAGAGAAACTTACATAACGACAGAGCATTGAGTATTCCTGAGTGTGGTGGAGCGCTTACACACTGGTAAATGAGTCCTACGCGATCCTGAACTGCTCCTTTAAGAGCATCACTGGACAGTCTCAGAAGGAAGAATATAAGAAAGAGACTGAAGAACATGTTTTGGAAGAGCCGCATCAGCATTCCAATCTTATCTCTGGATAAATTCCTTGTTGTCCTCCTGAAAGTGAAGAATAATTACTGCAATTGCAGGCCAAGATCATTCTTGCCGTGAAGGACACCAGAAATAGGAGGCCTTGCATTCATTGCTCCTGAGCTGTGCTCTCTCACCTGAACAGAATCCATAGTTTGAAGAACACATTGGGGGGCTTTTTGCATTTAAAGGGTATTGGTGGCAGCTCTTTCACCTTGCATTTTGCTTCGTCAATTGCCTCCAGAGTTCTGCGAAAGATTTCTGAATTTTTATAGGCAGAACAGATGGTTTGAACTCTGCTGTAAGTCTCCAGTTCCCGCTCTTTGCTTCGACAGTCTACTGATGTGAGATCCACTGCAAAATTTACCCGACAAAATTGAATTAGTCCCTAGCCTGCAAGTGTCCCAATTTCCCAGGGAGAGTCCCAGAATTATGAAAGCAATCCCAGAATGTCCCTATTTCTCCCACCAGCCCTGAGCTCGGGGAGGAAGATGAGCTGGCGCTTGTGTTGTGTGGCAGAGGCAGCAGTGATGGCTATTATTATAATTATTGCAGTAGTAGTTCCTGTTATTAAATATTCATTCAATAACAATAATATCAGAAACACATCAGAAGACAAACAACAGGCAAGTTTAAAAGGTGCCTTGCTTTCACACCTCTAAGCCAGATTTAATATACACCTTATATCCACCCATATGATAGGGCTGTCATACATCTGGAATTTTCTGGACATAGCCGGTATTCAGCCCTTGTAAACAATTCTGTGCAGGACATATGGCAGCCCATGTCAGGGTTTTGTTTTGTTTTGTTTTTTAGATTTTGCAAGACGCCCCCCCCCCCAAGAAAATGCTCAACTTTTTTGCCCAGATTTTCACTTTTTTAAATATGGCAACCCTATCATAGCAAACAAAACATTCTAGTAACACAGCAGAATAAAAAACAAATTGCATGCTTTTTCCCAACCCCCAATTTCTCTTTTTCACTATAGATCTTTGAATTGAAAACAGTAACTAATAGCACTCTGCTCTTTGAATGCCTGTGATCTTGCATAAAGTTAGTTTCCAACTAATGGGACTTCAAGGAGGTAAGTTGCATTGAACTCCATGAGACTCAACAAAAATATACTTGCATAGATTTTTTTTTGGATTTTTTTTTTTGCCAGGGAACTGGAAGGATCTGTGTTTGTAAACCTAGATGAGAAGCTCTTACCGTAAAAATCAAAAGGGCTGGAATGTTCAGGGCACGTGTAGCCACAGTTGGTAAAAAAAGTGATCATGTCTGATGAATCTCCACAGAAAATCAGTTCTCCAGAACTCATGATGCAGATTTTATCAAATACCTTGGGGGGGACAAACAAGCATTAATGTGCAAATGTTGCTAAGAAAAGAATATAAAAAATAGAGAATACCTAATGACAAAGGACTCTTGAGAGTCCCATGGACTGCAAGAAGATCAAACCTATCCATTCTTAAGGAAATCAGCCCTGAGTGCTCACTGGAAGGACAGGTCGTGAAGCTGAGGCTCCAATACTTTGGCCACCTCATGAGAAGAGAAGACTCCCTGGAAAAGACCCTGATGTTGGGAAAGACTGAGGGCACAAGGAGAAGGGGACGACAGAGGACGAGATGGTTGGACAGTGTTCTCGAAGCTACCAGCATGAGTTTGACCAAACTGCGGGAGGCAGTGGAAGACAGAAGTGCCTGGCGTGCTCTGGTCCATGGGGTCACGAAGAGTCGGACATGACTAAACGACTAAACAACAACAACAATGACAAAGGAAGTGTACAGTTTTAATATTTGTGTGATGAGGAAAAGCTCTACAGATCTGTGTGGTGCATTCCTTGAGTCAATGAAGTCCCTCTATAGCCTCATATTGTTGGCATCTGTCTCAGGACATTGGAAGAGTGCGCATTCAGGGGTGAAGTCAAAATATTGGAGAGTTGCAGAACCTTATAGCAGAACTACCATTCTGATAACAAAAATGTAAGATACCATTTTTGAATAAGCTTTAAGGATGCCTCCTTAATCTGGGTTGATACTGATTTGAAAGGTTTCTCCCAAAGTGAAATCCACTGTTTACCATCTGTTTTCCCCAACCTATGTGAATGCAATCTGTTGAAGGTTCAGCAATAACATTTAATGCTTGAGACCAAACCTGTTGTTGTTCCTTTACAAAGCACATCCATGATTAAAACGTGGTTTAATACAAGTATTCTTTACCTGGAAAAGTTCTGATCGTGGCTGGTGTATTGTAATAATCACTATCCTGCCTTTATGAGCAAGCTTTGATAGTAGCAACACAATCTGATTGGCCGTCATGCAGTCCAGACCTGTGGTGGGTTCATCTAGCAAGATGACCTCTGAAAACAACAGGAATAGCTCTTGAAACCTTACGTAATAGTGTGTTACTGCAGAGACATGCAGCAGTGTGGTTACCAGTTCTGTGTTAGCCTGATAATGCTCCTGGCTAGACTACCACAATACGTTGTTATGTGCAGCTGCCTTTGCAAAGAGCCCCAGACACTTAAGTTGGTTAAAAAAAAAAAAGGCTACTAGAGATCTAATTGGGACTGGCCATTATGGACAGCCTATTATTCCAACACTTTTTCATCTGAATCCATTTCTGGGCCCACTTACACTTTGCTTTTTGGAAAAAGAGGAAATGCATCATCAGAAAGAGGACACATATAGACATAACATTTAATAGAATCATAGAGTTGGAAGGGACCCTAAGGATCTAGTCCAGCAGTTCTCAACCTGTGGGCCCGATGGCAGCCTGGGCCAACTATGCAAGGCACAGGGTGCAATCCACTCCAGCGCCCAGCGGATCAGAGCCTCTGGATGTTGCTGACTTCAGTGGGCCTTACTCCCAGGTAAGGGTGTGTGAGACTATAGTCTTTTATCTAGGCAGCCAGGGCTCCTTCAGATCTCTTTGCGCCAGGCCAGTGAGGAGGACCATTTGCTTTTTAAAATTATCCCCTATATACAGAACTCCCTGTGTGCCTTTTTGACTGTATCTGTAGGTTTCCTCCTCTGTGTCAAGTAACTGAGATCAAATAAGTGTTGTTTACTTTTTATAATACAGTGGTACCTCGGGTTAAGAACTTAATTCGTTCTGGAGGTCCATTCTTAACCTGAAACTGTTCTTAACCTGAGGTACCACTTTAGCTAATGGGGCCTCCCGCTGCCACGCGATTTCTGTTCTCATCCTGAAGCAAAGTTCTTAACCTGAGGTACTATTTCTGGGTTAGCGGAGTCTGTAACCTGAAGCGCCTATAACCTGAAGCATCTTTAACCCGAGGTACCACTGTACATGGAAGATGTAGGTTTCTAACCAGAGGTTGGATGGCCATCTGTCATAGATGCTTTAGCTGAGTTCCCTATGTTGCAGGGGGTTGCACTAGAAAAATGACCCTTCGGGTCCCTTACAGCTCTATGTGTCTATGATTCCATGTTTTTCTGCTTCAACAATATTTCATTGTGTTCCTATCATTTTATATAAATTATAAAAATATATAAATAAAACATGTTCTGTTTACAAACAAAACATTTAAATAGCTACCTTTCTACCAGTAGGATGGGGGTGGGGGGCATGAGCATAGCCAGGATTTTTGTTAGGGGGGCAGAACCTCAGATTTGTATTGATTTATATTGATTTTTACTTATTGGGGGGCAGCTGCCCCCCTTGGCAACACCCACGGAGGGCACAGGAAGGAAACAAGGTTGGAAGAGGGCCATGGTCAGAAAAAGGTCAGGAAACACTACTCTAACCAGCTGAGCTATCCAGCTCCATTTGTATAGATATAAAACTTAAAAACAAATGCTATAATAATTATAGTGGAACCAGAATAACGATAACACCAAGATTGCAGTTTCAATCCCCAGCTGCACATTCCTGCATTGCAGGGGGTTGGACTAGATCAGGGGTCTGCAACCTTTAAGACAAAAAGAGCCACTTGGACCCGTTTCCGAAGAAAAAAAAACTGGGAGCCGCAAAACCATTGCGACATTTAAAACAAACATATCTCCGGAGCCACGATCTGACAGCGGGCGGGAAGGTGACATTGGGACGGTGCGTGACTAACGCACGCACTGCCCCCATGCGACGTCACAGCCAGTACAGCGCCCGCCACAGTGGGGAGTGTCGGGGCGCACAATGCGCCTCCTCCCCTCGCTAGTATCCGCCCCGGAGCCGCGGCAAAGGTGTAAAAGAGCCACATGCGGCTCCGGAGCCGCGGGTTGCTGACCCTTGGACTAGATGATCCACAGGATCCCTTCCATCTCTATGAGTCTATGATTCTATCTCACCATAGTGATCAAGCGACCTGTCCCTGTTCAGTTTGCTTTCCAAGTGTTAGATGTTGACGGGCGACTTCAAGGCGGCTCCTGCTCTTTCCCCCTTTCCATTCTTTGACTTTAAACCAGGAAGGGTTACAACACCCCCTCTCTGGATAGAGGACACACTGCCCTTCCTATAGAGGACAGTCCTTTGTAAATCAGAACACCCACCCACCCTATCCTGATCTCAGTTGCTTCACCTCGAGGGCCGTAACACACATACTGTATATCCATCAGCAGCCCTGCTTTGGGAAGGTAGGTACCCATCCAGAATATCCATATGATCACTAATTAGCAGTACAATGTGGGAATTAGCCATGTTAGAGCATTGTGAGCTTGTACAATTCACTGTGCAAAGGGAATATTTGGGGAAAAGATCTCTGGTAGCTGATCTAAGACCCAACCTGAGACTCTGAAGGGCTATCGACAGGATCACCGACAGTGGCGGACGTTGGGCTTTAAAATTTCAGTGGTACCCCTTGTGATGCCTAAATTTGATGCCCCCACCTCTTCTTTGTAATTTGTGGCACCCTGTCAGCTAACTGCCCAGCACTGGTCAGGCTCCCCTAAATTCAACTCTGTCACTGAGCCATAAAACAGTTTCTTATATCCACTAAGGCAGGCTTCCCATGCTATTTAGAGGGATTGGGTTGCTGTAACAAATTCACCTAACCTGGGGATTTCTAAATCACAAATCCCATCAGCCAAGTAGGGGAGGACGTGTTGTGCTCTTTGTTAACTACCCTTGTTAGATTGCACCCCTGTGACAGATGAAAAGTTCTATTGTGAAAAAAGGGTTGGGGAGACATGGGAGGTAGATGGATGTACCAAGTGACAGTTAATCGAAAAGGACAGAGTGTTTGTTTTGTTCTCAAACACTAGGCGCCATACTCACTGGGATCTTGTAATAGCTGTGCTGCGATTGAAACGCGGCGCCGTTCGCCATCAGAAATTCCCCAAAGTGTGCGGTTTCCAATTACGCTGCATGCAACATGACTGAGACTCAGCTCAGCCATAACAGCATCAACCTGCAAAATACAGAGACAATTCAGGAAGAACTTGGGGTCTTAGATTGTCTACCCAGCAGCTCAAGCATCCTTTGAGCACTATATATATATATATGCTGTACAAAATGCAAGTCCTAATTCAGAATGATCACAAAATAAGCTTCCCGGATAGTCTTCGAAATAGAAATATACCATTGTACAACTCCATGTAGCTAATTCACTAAGCTATTATTTGAATTCACATTCAGATGGTCCAGATTTCAGGGACATAATTTTAAAGCAAGTTTTGAGCCAAGAAGGCCCAATTTGAATCCCTCCAGCAATTCACTAGGTGGCCCAGGTAGGTCATGTTTTCTGTCCTTTAGCCCCACCATTGTAAACAGGGGGCTATAACAATACTGACTTATCTTTCAGATGTACTAAAAAGATTACCAAGAGAATGTCTGTTAAGTGCTTTAAATGTTCAGCTAAGCCATTCTGCTTTAAGCAATCTCAAGCACCATACAAATGCTAAGCATTATTATAATCATTCTTCACAACCAAAATATGCAGAATTCTTTTACGCACACTGGGACCAGCATGGATATTTTCTTGGCAGGGTTGCTGTTGGGGGGATCATTCCCAGGAAGTCTTCCAATGCCCCTGATTCAATGCTTTTCATTGTGCTACTCAACTTAATTTAGTCAGGATCTATAGCTTACTGACAGAGTGCATTCTCTGCAGGTAGAATAAAAGTAAAGGTAAAGGTACCCCTGACCGTTAGGTCCAGTCACGGACGACTCTGGGGTTGCGGCGCTCATCTCGCTTTATTGGCCGAGGGAGCCGGTGTTTGTCTGCAGACAGCTTCCGGGTCATGTAGCCAGCATGACTAAGCCGCTTCTGGTGAACCAGAGCAGCACACGGAAATGCCGTTTACCTTCCCACCGAAGCAGTACCTATTTATCTACTTGCACTTTGATGTGCTTTTGAACTCCTAGGTGGGCAGGAGCTGGAACACAGCAACAGGAGCTCACCCCGTCGCGGGGATTCGAACCACCAACCTCGAAACCTCTGGTCCTTCAGATGTTGTTGGATAAGCCTTATTGCTTTCTCTTACAGTTTCTTACTTGTAGCCTTACAGCCAGAAAACCTCTGCCTGTTCATGCAGCATACTCCTCATTCTCCACTTCTGACACCATGTAACGTTTCTGGGTCCAACAGCAGGCCCTCCTTCACTGGGGGCTGGATGGCCTTTCGGGAGTGTTATGGTTGCAGATCCAGAATCACAGATCTTGCACTGATCTGGAAGTTGAATTAGTTTACCTCCAAGGACCTCTATATCTCTAAAACACTATGATATCTTGTGAACAGTAGGTTTTTTGGGGGGGTTTTAGTGGGGAAGCAGTTCCACTATGCCTTTTGATGGAAAGGATTGAAACAGCCTAACCATAGGAGCCAACTCCTAGGGGCCGAGGTCACTTCGGCCCCCTAAATAAAATATTTGAGGGAGCAGCCCCCCCTCAAGTTGATGGGTATTGCCACTCAAATGGGGTGTGTGTGTGTGTGTGTGTGTGCTGTGTCATGTGATCAGTTATGTGGGATATTATCATTTATTTTGTTCAAGTTGGCACCCCTGAGCTTAACTGTGAGAGGATCACAGTCTTGTCTTCAGTTTGCTAACTTTTCATAACATTATACTGCAGTACAGACCTTCTTTTTTATAAAGTTGCTGGAGTGCTCCCGGAGTGCTAGCAAGGCAGTATAAGTCAAAGACTCTTCTATGGTGAGGTAGCTTAACAAGGTATCATTCTGAAAGAGAAGGGAAAATGCAGTCAATTTAGCCATGTGGTGATGGCAACTGAGTAGAGTTCCTGTGTTGCAGGCAGAACAATCCCAGATAAGGCTGGGAAAGACCGAGACTCCTATAGAAATGCAAATACAAACCAACCTGGAGAACATAGGAAAAGCAGTCCTGAAACTGCTTTGGCTTCAGCTCCTGTCCATTGACATAAACTTGCCCAGAAAAGTTTGTCTTATGGCTCAGCCTTCCAGCAATGGCATCCAACAGAGTTGTTTTCCCCGATCCTAATGCAAATTGGAAAATTCAATATAAGTATTGTTCGGGGGGGGGGCAAATTAGCCCATAATTCCTGGATCTAGTAAAAGTTTGAATTAATCAAGGTTTGATTAAACTTTGCCAAACATGGAATGCCCCTGGATTTAGTTATGCTAACAAGCCAAAGCCAGCTCGGCAGATCTAGCTGGATAGACCATTAGCAGGAGACAAAGGCCTGTGATGGCCCATCAAAGGGCGAGGCTGCCAGGCAAGGGGGAGTGGGCCTGGGTACTAGTGGGCAGAGGCAAAAGGCCAAATTTAGGGAAGGATGTAGGTTGTGGGTTGATCCTTGGGTTTGGTAAGCAGCAAGAAGGAACAGGAAGGGCAGAACCCCATGTGAGCTGGGGATGACAGGCTGGAACTAAGAGACACAGAAGATGACTTTCAGCCCCTGGGCATGAAGTTCCCCACAAGCATGGGCTGAAGGTGGATCTGGGTCCAGTGGTAGATCTCAATGTGATTTCCCATTGATGGACAAGGCTTTATGGCTCCCAATTATTTAACAGCAGCAACAACAAAACAACATCTCCTGCCCTAGGTTATACACCTGAAGCACAGAAACCAGATTTTTGCCCAGAAGGACTATGAGCTCTGTTCAGTTCCAGTACAATGGTACCTTGGGCTACAAATGCTTTGGGTTACAAACTCTGCTAACCTGGAAGTAGTACCTCTGGTTGAGAACTTTGCCCCAGGATTAGAACGGAAATCGTGCAGCAGTGGCAGCAGGAGGCCCCATTAGCGAAAGCGCACTTCAGGTTAAAAATGGTTTCGGGTTAAGAATGGACCTCGGGAATGAATTAAGTTCATAACCCGAGGTACCACTGTACTTAAAACAAATAACTGTGCTCATAATTCTTTAATTCTATATATTATGTCTTTAGCACTAGTTTCTGGTTGTGGGTTCTAGTAAGAAGCAAAGGAGCGCCTGTAAGCCTGAAGTCTTTCCACCCCCATTGTAGAAAAATAGCCAGGCACTTGCATTGCTACAGCTAAATTTGAATTAACCTGACTTCTATTAAATATGGTAGTAAGTGAAGTTGGCGCAGGAGTATACCAGATATCCTGAAACAACTTGTGCCATTGGATATGGGCTAAACACTCATCAAGACTGATTTATGCAGATCTTAAAGAAAAATTTCTCAAAATATAGTACCAATGGTACTTAACGAGATTTCATAAACGTATTTTAGGAATGCCTGATCATTCAGGTTTTCTAGAGCAAAATCTCGTTCTCTACCTTCTTGGTAGTGGCACCCTCCCTGTGGAACACCCTCCCATCAGATGACTATCTGACTTTTAGAAGACATCTGAAGGCAGCCCTGTTTAGGGAAGTTTTTAATGTTTGATGCTTCATTGTGTTTTTAATATCCTGTTGGGAGCTGCCCTGAGTGGCTGGGGAAACGCAGCCAGGTGGGCAGGGTATAAATGATAGCTAGATGATAGATAGATAGATAGATAGATAGATAGATAAATAGATAGATAGATAGATGATAGATTAGATAGATGATAGATAGATAGATAGATGATAGATAGATAGATAGATAGATAGATAGATAGATAGATAGATGATAGATAGATAGATAGATGATAGATAGATAGAGATAATAGATAATAGATAGATAGATGATAGATAGATAGATAGATAGATAGATGTTGTTGTTGTTACAGATGAGTGAGTGGCTGGAGAAGCCAGAGGGAGGGGAAGACAGCTGTGCAAGTCAGTGGAAAGTTTCAAGAGATTATCAAGGGAAATCTCTGAAAACAATAGCAAATTATATACAGTGGTGCCTCGCAAGACGAAATTAATTTGTTCTGCGACTTTTTTCGTCTTGCGAATTTTTCGTCTTGCGAAGCACGGTTTTCCAAAGTCTTCAAAATCACCAAAGTCTTCAAAAACCTCAAAAAAGGCTACCACACCGCGTGCTATGAGTTGCTCCTCGAAGTCACCCTGGGTATTAACGGTTTTAAGAAAAAGGAAACAAACTTGCAAGACGTTTTCGTTTTTCGTCTTGCGAAGCAAGCCCATAGGGAAATTCGTCTTGTGAAGCAACTCAAAAAATGAAAAACTCTTTCGTCTTGCGAGTTTTTCGTCTTGCGAGGCATTCGTCTTGCGAGGTACCACTGTATCCTAAAATATATTACATGATCTAACTAAATTTATGGATTTGGGTAGGTTCTCCCTCCATTAACATAGATAATTTGCAAACTTACAAGATGAATGGTCCCAACCGCAAAAGTGCAACTGTGCCACTGGTATGTGATACCCTGTTATTTGAAATTGACCAGACCAGATTGAGGATTAGCGACCTTAAAGGTAGCATTCAAGGAGCTGGACACTGAGTTCAGTCCCTTATATAAGTTGTCGTCATATGAATGTGCCTAGTGCATTTTTTATCGTGCCCCTCCTCCAAGGAGCTCAGGACAGTATGCACTATACATTTAAAGCAGTATCATGCTGCTTTAAACAGTCACGGCTTCTCCCAAAGAATCCTGGGAACTGTAGTTTTTTAAAGGTGCTGAGAGTTGTTAGGAGACCCCAATTCCCCTCACAGTGCTGCAGTTCCCAGAGTTTCTTGGGAGGAGGGATGGTTAAGTAAATTTTAAAGTGTTTGCTGTAGTTAATGTAGAAATATTTGTGTTTAGTTAAAATGCAGGTGTATATACTACTCACCAGAATTTCCCAAGATGCCCATGATCTGACCACTTTCCGTATGAAATGACACATCTTTAAGAATCTGCCTGTTCCACTTCTTACGGTATGATCGAATATCCCACCAGGGTCCCACGTGTTCCCTTTGAGGGAAAGGGAGAGAAACTCATGTGAAATGACTTTGGAAAGAATTAAAATACAGTAGTGTTTTGAAAACAATCAAAGGATATCGTTTTCATTCTAAAAATGAAATGTTATGTGGACAGAAACTTCCATAACCCTTTATGCTTTGTTTTGCAACTTGCATGAAAAATGCTCTTCCAAGATTTAATAGGTGGAGTTGGAAGAGGGGGAAAAGAAATGCATTTAAATTTCCCTGTATATCACTTTGGGAGCTTTCGGCCAACAAGCAATATTATCATTATTCATTCAATTGCATGCTTTCAAGAGAGACATGTGTCGAAAAGGTTTCTGCAATGTTGAACCAAGAACTGTGCTGGAACATTCTGATCTACATGTTATACTGGGAGGTATAGTTCAGGTAAAGTTCATACTGGAATACACAAAAACCAAATTTCTTAATCGGTCTTGCCATTTACTTACCTGACTGCATAAGAAACATTCAGGATACTGAGACTGTTGTGCGATATCGAAGTCATCTGCCTGCCTTCATCCTGTGAGCCTAGGTTATTCTTTGCCATCTCCTTCATGCAGACCCAAATAACCGGGAGGATTTTCCTAATGATCTCTCCGTCACTGGTAAGCCAGTTAAAACAAATTAAAAAGCAACTTCCCTGTAAACGTTCATAACAAGCAGCTTCTAACTTTCTGTGACCCTGCTCTGTTGCTTCTCATTGTATAATAAACATGCATGTTTCTGTAGCAGATGATAGGTCAACCATAATTATTATCTGATGAACCTTTACCCTTACTATAGCACAGTATTTCAGAAACAAGTGCGTTTTAGGCTATTCTGTGTTGCCTGTAAGGTGTGTTCCTGTGGTTCAGCACCTGGTTTACTTGGAGCCAGTAATTTGGCAGTCATAAAGGCACCCTGAACTACACCCCCACCTTGCTTTTGAGAAACCAATGCCAGGTCTTATTAAGCACAGCATACTTTTCTATGTGCTTCTTTCCAGTCTGCAGGGACCTCACCTGTTCTCCAGGAATTCTCAAGGATTAGAGACTCTGGGATTGCACCCATGAGATCTTTTAGTACCCTTGAGTGCAGCTCATCAGGCCCTGGAGATGTGAATTCATTTAAAGGAGCTAGGTGTTCCCTTACCACCTCTTTTCCTATCTTGGGCTGCAGCTCCCTCCTTGCATCATTTACAGTGGTACCTCGGGTGACAGACGCTTCAGGTTACAGAAGGTTACAGACTCCACTAACCCAGAAATAGTACCTCGGGTTAAGAACTTTGCTTCAGGATGAGAACAGAAATCACGTGGCGATGCCAGCAGGAGGCCCCATTAGCTAAAGTGGTAGCTCAGGTTAAGAACAGTTTCAGGTTAAGAATGGACTTCCAGAACGAATTAAGTTCTTAACCAGAGGTACCACTGTATTCTGTTATCACTAGGTTGGGCACTGCTTTCCTTTTGGGTAAAGACAGAGGCAAAGTTGGTGTTGAGCAGTTCCGCCTTTTTCTGTCACCCAAGAGCATTTCTCCATCTCCACTCAAGGAACCTAATACTTGCTTGTTTTTTACCTCTCGCTTCACACATAGCCAAACAAACAAAAATTGTTTTTAACTTCTCTTGCAAGCCTGAGCTCATTCTCAGCTTCAGCCTGCCTGACCTTCTCCTTGAAACTGTTGGCTATGTGTCTATACTTTTCCTTTGTGATTTCTCCTTTCTTCCATTTCTTATACATGCCACTCTTACATCTCATATCATCTGTAATATTATGCAGCCATACCAGTTTCTTTTGGTGCCTCCTATTTTGTTTCTTGTTGGAATATTTCACATTTAAGAAACTCCCACCCATCTCTGACTGCCTTTGAGTATTTCTGACCATGGCATCTCAACCAGTAGTTCCTTTAGCTCTTTGCAATCAGCCTTCTTAAAGTCCAGAATGAATGTCTGACTACACTCAATTTCCCCTTGCCTTTGTATAATGAAACCCTTTGTATCATCTCCTCCCAAGGTTCTCTGTGCTTTCACTATGTTGATCAGTTCTTCCCTTTTGGTGAAGACCAGGTCCAAGAGTAATGAGCCACTTCTTGCTTCTTCTACCTCCTGGGAAATGAATTTGTCAGCAAGGCAATGGAGGAATTTGTTGGGCCTTACATTCTTGGCAGAGTTTAAGTCCAACACATATCAGGGTAGTTGAAATCTCCTTTTACTACTATCTCTCTCCTTCTTGAATGTTTGGTAATCTGCTGTATGAGGGCATCATCCAAGTTCTCAGTCTGGCTTAGAAGTCTATAGCAAGAAGGTCATTTCCCCTCTCCTACAATGTATACCCATATACTCTCAATCTGCCTTCTATGCTCCAAGTCATGGATCGCTTCACAAATGTACACATCCTTTACATATAATGCTACTCCTCCTCCCTTTCTGTTTGGTCTGTTCCTTTTGAACAGGTTATGCCCCTCAATTTCTACATTACATTCATAAGTCTCATCTCACCTGGTTTTAGTGATGCCTGTTAGGCCATATTTATCATCCTTTATTAAGCACCCAAATTGTTCTTTCTTTTTCCCATACTCTGTGCATCAGTATAGAGACAACTGAAAGCATGAGACATTCCTTCATACACTGCTGTCTCTGAAGTGAGACACCTGCCACCACTAGACATCTCTTCCTTTCCTGGGGAGTGGCAGGAATTGTTCTGTGCACTGTGCCTTCCACTGCCATCTTGGTGTGTTCTGAGGTCCGCATCTGCTGTTCTTGTTCTTCTCACCAAGGATGGGTATCCGAGGTGAGGGCATGGAATTGATTTTGCAGCTCCAGAGACACAGCATGGCTCCTGACAGTCCTGCTTTTTTGTGTAACATTCCTCAGGGGTTCATCTCCTGCATTGGGTGATCTTCCTCCCTCCCTAGGGGCACTCTACCAGCATCTCTCTTCCAGGACAATCCACTCTGGTCTAGTGAGAATTTCCTCATGTTGCCACAAAGTGATAGAGAGGCTTCACATTGCCGTACCTTCTCTTCCAGCAAGGCAAGCAGTTTGCATTTGTTGTAGGTGAAGTTTTGCACGTTCTCAGACAGGAGGACAAACATGGCACAGGTGTTGCAGGTCACTGCAGCTGCTCCCTCGCCATCCATCATGCAAGAAGAAGAGAAGAAGAGTTTGGATTTGATATCCTGCTTTATCAGTACCCTAAGGAGTCTTAAAGCGGGTAACATTCTCCTTTCCCTTCCTGCCCCACAACAAACACTCTGTGAGGTGAGTGGGGCTGAGAGACTTCAGAGAAGTGTGACTAGCCCAAGGTCACCCAGCAGCTGCATGTGGAGGAGCAGGGAAGCGAACCCGGTTCACCAGATTACGAGTCCACCGCTCCTAACCACTACACCACACTGGCTCACGAAACCTGAGTGTCCTGGCATTTTCCAACTGGTGCCATATAATTCAACAACAATTGCACAGGCGCAGTCTCTCCCCCACCAGCTCCTGGGAGCTTTGCCAAGGAGGTAAAGTAACACTTTTATTGGGAACATAATGTACCTTGCAAGCTGCCAAATTTATGAATTTCAGGATTGCTGCAATAGATGCCTCCAGTCATGTTTTTAAATCACAAATTAGGAACATAAAGGGTGAGGCCTTCCTTTGCAGGTCATCCGATCCCTGGTTCCCGACAGGTCCTTAGCCGAAAGGAGAAACCTCTGTAGTTTTTCAATGTATAATAAAAAAATATGTTTCTGTAGCAGGTGATAGGCAAACCATAATTATTATCTGATGGACCTTTACCCTTACTATAGCACAGTAGTAAGCACAGTATTTCAGAAGTGGGTGTGGTCCAGGTGTTTTAGGTTACTCTGGGTTACCTTCTTGGAGTGAGCAGGAAATGTTGGAGTGAGAGGAGAAAACACACAATCGGTTGAAAAGGAGGTGAGCAAAAGTTACTGCTGTGGAGAACGAAAGGATGGAAAACTTTCAACGGGAACCTGCCCTGGGGGAAGAGGAAGAGGAGACCGAGAAAGTGAGTGAAATTTAAGGCTGGCACTTGGAGGGGAAGAAGTGTGCATGCACACAAAAGCTTATACCCAGAACAAACTTAGTTGGTCTCTAATGTGCTACTGGACAATTTGTTGATTTTTTTATTTATTTCGACTGCGTCAGACCAACACGGCTGCCTACCTGAACTTGGAGGGGTGGGAGAGTAGAAGTGGTTTTAGCTTTTAAAACAAAAATCTGACTCATAAATGGAATAAAATTCAGAAATACAATGTCGTAAAAACATCATACTTGAATTGAAAGATTAAAAATTGAATTAGTGAATAGAACAGTGGTGAATGACCTGTAGGATATGTTATTGTTTTAATTTGTTTATTATATTTCTATCCTACTGTTCCTTCCGAAGGAGCCAAACACAGCAAACAACCAGCAATATAACAGTAAAGAACAATGCCAATACACGAGCAGACTAGAAAATATCTCAACTGGGATTGCCAGTTTCATGCTATGCCATTCATGATTTAAATGGGACAACCATAGCTGTTCAGCTTCTTAAGGCACATTGCGAATTTATTGTAAAGAGTGGAAAGCAAATGTATCCCTGAACACACCATGGGTACATATTAAAGAGCCAGAGACAACCATTAATTTGTGGATCATATCCCCCAATGGATCAAAATCCCCAAACACTGATGTAGCTGCTATAACATCTTGGTTTGTTACACAAGACACGGCTTTAGCTGACGAATGTACACTTACTGTCCTTCCCTTCTTTGTTTTTAAAATAATTGGAAGCTTTATGCAAATAACATCTTGGTTATGATTTCTATACAGGTAAATAAGAGATTTCAAGACAGAATTTTTTGCTCGGAAGATGATAACAGCCTCTATTTCACATACAGTGGCAAATCAAATGTTCTAGAGGTCAGAGACCTCAACTACCAGGTAAAGTGGGGAATTTATTTAAATTCATAGAGTAAGGTAGAATGCTTGGTAATCATCTGCTTAAAATATTCGAGCCGAAATTTTTAAAAAGCAATTTACGATTTTTTAAAATCCTAATGAAAGTTCATTAGCATTTTGGTTTGAATTCCCACTATAAACACCTTTTTTTGTACACAGTTTTGACAAATGCACACATTTTTGCAGGCAATTTCCCTAATATAATGCATTTGTTAATGTAATCTTCATTAATATATTTCATTTTTATGCACACTTTCCCCCTAATTTATGCATTTGGTAAATACTGTTGGAGAACTAAAACACACAATTCAGTTAAGTGTGAATTTTGAAGGATAGCTGTTTTTCAGTTCTCGTATTGTTTCAAAAAGTGTGGATTTGATGACTTCACCTTTAAATGTGGACTGAAATGATTTTCAGTATTGCACTTGGGCAAAAAAATGAGAGGCACAAATACAAGATGGGTGACACCTGGCTTGAGAGCAGTACATGTGAAAAGGATCTAGGAGTCTTGGTTGACCACAAACTTGACATGAGCCAACAGTGTGACGCGGCAGCTTAAAAGCCAATGCAATTCTGGGCTGCATCAATAGGAGTATAGCATCTAGATCAAGGGAAGTAATAGTGCCACTGTATTCTGCTCTGGTCAGACCTCACCTGGAGTACTGTGTCCAGTTCTGGGCACCACAGTTCAAGAAGGACACTGACAAACTGGAACGTGTCCAGAGGAGGGCAACCAAAATGGTCAAAGGCCTGGAAACGATGCCTTATGAGGAACGGCTAAGGGAGCTGGGCATGTTTAGCCTGGAGAAGAGGAGGTTAAGGGGTGATATGATAGCCATGTTCAAATATATAAAAGGATGTCACATAGAGGAGGGAGAAAGGTTGTTTTCTGCTGCTCCAGAGAAGCGGACACGGAGCAATGGATCCAAACTACAAGAAAGAAGATTCCACCTAAACATTAGGAAGAACTTCCTGACAGTAAGAGCTGTTCGACAGTGGAATTTGCTGCCAAGGAGTGTGGTGGCGTCTCCTTCTTTGGAGGTCTTTAAGCAGAGGCTTGACAACCATATGTCAGGAGTGCTCTGATGGTGTTTCCTGCTTGGCAGGGGGTTGGACTCGATGACCCTTGTGGTCTCTTCCAACTCTATGATTCTATGATTCCCCCCATCCCTATTTCAGGGTATAAATGGTTCTACTTTGATAGGAAGGGAATGCTGGGTTAATGGGAGATTAAAATGTCAAGGGTAGGGTTTTAATTTTAATGCAAAACTACCAGGCCTGCATGGGACATGGGTGGCACTGTGGGTTAAACCACAGAGCCTAGAACTTGCCGATCAGAATGTCAGCAGTTCGAATCCCCATGACGGGGTGAGCTCCCGTTGCTCGGTCCCTGCTCCTGCCAGCCTAGCAGTTCGAAAGCACATCAAAGTGCAAGTAGATAAATAAGGTAAGGTAAACGGCGTTTCCGTGCGCTTCTCTGATTCGCCAGAAGCGGCTGTACACCAGCTCCCTTGGCCAATAAAGCGAGATGAGCACCGCAACCCCAGAGTCAGTCAGGGGTCCCTTTACTTTTACCTTTACCAAGCCTGCACTTCCCAAAGAAATATGCAGACCAAACTGTGGATCTCCTTCGAAATACACATTTCTCTGAATTTTGTAATGCGGTTCTCCAGCCAAAGAATATGTTACAAAATAATAATGCATAATTTAGTAGAAGCGAACACATTCAAAATTGAATGCATCTAGGAATATATTTATTACAGGGAAACTGCTTACAGTGGTGCCCCGCAAGACGAATGCCTCGCAAGACGGAAAAACCGCTAGACGAAAGGGTTTTCCGTTTTGGAGTTGCTTCGCAGGACGAATTCCCCTATGGGCTTGCTTCGCAAGACGAAAATGTCTTGCGAGTCTTGAGATTTTTTTCGCGTCCCCCTTTATCTAATCTGCTAAGCCTTTAATAGCCTTTAATAGCCTTTTAGCAGCTAATCCCCTAAGCCTTTAAGCCTTTAATAGCCGCTAAACCGCTAATAGCGCTAATAGCGCTAATCCGTCAATGGGCTTGCTTCGCAAGACGAAAAAACCGCTAGACGAAGACTCTCGCGGAATGGATTAATTTCGTCTTGCGAGGCACCACTGTACAAAAATCCCTATGCTAAGCAAAATTGCATAACACTATGTTTGTGTGGAGAAATGTGCATGAAAATTCATACAAATTTTCATGAAGGCTTTTATAATTTACATTTTTTAAATGTATGCAGGAATAGGGCAAACCAAATTTAAGACTGGAAAAATAAGAAATGGAAAGAAACTGAAATTGCCAGATTTCTTCATAACCAAGCGTGGTCCGTGATATGTACTCAGTGTATTTCTCTTAGACCTCTTAACAAAGTTGTCAAAGAGAACAACAACTACCAGACTTTCAGAAGACATCTGAAGGCAGCCCTGTTTAGGGAAGCTTTTAATGTTTGATGTATCATAGTATTTTAATATTTTTTGGGAAGCCGCCCAGAGTGGCTGGGGAAGCCCAGCCAGATGGGCAGGGTATAAATAAATTATTATTATTATTATTATTATTATTATTATTATTATTATTAACAGTCAATATGTGTCTACTCAGAAGTAATCTCCATTGAATTAAATTAAACAGAACTTATTCATCAGTAAATTTGCAGTCAAAGATATTCAGGCTTACAGTAGCTCTAGTAATGTTAAAACATAGGTCCATTAACTTCAATGGATCTGCTAAGAGTAGAATTTAGTTCAACACAACCTAATGACTTTTAAATGTGCTTGAATGCATTTCTCCTATGTCTTTTAACAAATTGGTGTTGATTATATATCTTTTAACATATTGGTATTGGTTATATTCATTACTCATTACATTACAAAGCAGATACTTAACAGATCTGTCTAGGCAGCTTACTGGAGAAAGAAACTGGCCTGATGATTTTAGCAGTCTCTGTTTCTGCAGAATCCAATCTTGAGACCATAAAACTACAGGACTGGAAAGGACCTTAAAAAACCCTTTTAGCCTAAGCTGAAACACATTACACTACTAAATGAATGGGTTGTGTTTTTCAAAAGGCGGGGATTAATATCTGCCAGTGCTCTTGCAAACATGTTGGAAGGTAGAAGCAAGTTTATTTCTTAGTAACAATTGTATCGGAAGTAAGTCTTATTGCATTCAATAGAACTTACAGCTAGATAAGAGTCCATCCTTGCTTTTTAATAAAATTAAGGTTAAGCATTTAGCATGATGGATATTTCTGTGGTTGCAGTCCTGAACATTACACCTGAAATTTCACCTGGAAAAGCACTGAGTTGGGATTTGAATTTAGATATTGGTGGATTAAAATACTGTCCAATAGACCTCCACAGCTCTAGACTTGTTAGAAATTACAGTGAATGCCCCCTTATTTTATCTGAAGCATTATTACTCTACTTTTCAGCTGATAAAGCCTTCTAGAGCAATTGACAAATCATCATCAAACGTCAGGCATTTCTACTTAACAAAAACACCATTCATCTTTCATAGGTTAATATGGCCTCACAGATTCCCTGGTATGAGAAACTAGCAGAGCTGAAAATTCCTTGGAAGTGTGGCCTAGACTCCCATTCCCATGTGGCAGCTATACAAAATATGAGTTTTAAAGTCAAAAGTGGGCGGATGCTGGCTCTCATAGAGAGCTCTGGTAAGAATTAAATCCCTTTTTAATCTGCTCAGTCTCAGCATTTGTTTGCTATATTTTCAAAGACAATAAAACAAGGGTGTCCCTGCTATCGAGCAGAGTGAGGCAGCTACCTCAGATGGAGGACAGACAGCCCTTTAAGCTAGCCTGGGGTCTTCAAGTTCAGTGGAGAACACTTCCCATTACCACTGTCAAAGTAAGATTGAGCTGCTGCCAGTCTAACTACCTTCTGTACAAATAATTTAGATTTTAACAGATCAGAAAATGTGGATGAAATCCACATGGCTGTCTGGTTACATCTAGTAAGTCCCCTATATATGCTTTGGGGTGAAGAACCTAAAGCAACTGTTCTCCTGTAGCTACTTAACATCTGGACCTGTTATATTTGCAGCTTGCGGAAAGACGTCTTTGTTTGACGTGATTACCTGCAGGGACCACGGAGGCAAAATTACGTCAGGTGAAATCTTGATAAATGGAACACCCTGCACTCGCCAGCTGGCAAAGAAATGCATTGCCCACGTACGGCGAGACGACAGACTGCTACCCAACCTGACAGTCAGAGAAACACTATTGTTCATTGCAAAATTGCGTCTCCCCAAGATGTTTTCAGATTCACAAAGAGAAAAAAGGGTAATTAGAATGAAAATTAAGTTGTCAAGAATGTATTTAATAACATTAGCTAAGTGGCTGTATGAGTTGTTTGGATAAAGAAAAGCTAATCTGAATGTGATTATTCATCTTCTTTTCTTCAATCAGTGATAGAGCATGTTTTACCTAATATCTCCTCTTTGTGGATGGCTTGCAATTTTACTTTGTTTTGTGCTCTTTGATGGAAAAATATGAATTGGCACATTGTCATGCCAAGTGCTTGTCTAACTCTGGAGAGGCATAGATGGGAAAAGAAATGCCTTGATAGAAAAGTCGATTCTTTAAAATGCAAATGGCTACTGACTGTGTGGGGTAGAGGGCAGGATCGGCCCTAGCAATGTTGGTGCCTGAGGCAAAAACTCCAAGGTTGCTTCCACACTACAGTCCTTCAGCGCCGCAGAGTCATTGCTTCTCAATTACCTGGAAACAAAGGGCAGCATACAACGTAGTGCCAAGGTGAACTCTCTGTTAGTGCAAGGATTTCTCCTCGTGCAACATAGCATTCTTCTTCTGTGCCCCCCAATCTGTTCTGAAGTTCCCTCCAACCTTCCCCAGAAGATCTGGGGACTCTGCAGGACACATACAGGAGAGCAGGGAGGAAACCCCATTGCACCCTTGTGCTAGTGCAACTAATCAGTCCAATACAGCCCCAAATTACAAGCAGAAGGAAAGCCCTGCTGGACTAAAGGCCCGTCTAGTTCAGCTTCCTGTTTCCCAGAGTGGTCAAGCAGATCCTACTGAGAACTCTGTAAGCAGGACATGATGGAGATAATATTCAGGAGGCATCTTTCCAAAATTAAAGCGGTGTTTCTGCACAGAACTTTATATAAGCCAGAAGCAGCTCACTAGGTGGTAGCTAGCTACTATGCTAGCTTCCCAGGAGGTGGGTCGTTCTTGCTTACTGGGAGGGAGAGGCAAGGCAGTGGAAAGGTCAGTGCAGTGCAAACACACTGGTAGGAATACTGTATTTAGTTATCACGGTGCATTTGCACTGTGTCAACCACCGTACCCTTCCTTGGCAAGCCACTCCTGAGTATAGCATTGTATTCTACAGCCAGGGCTTTTTTTCAGCTGAAACTCAGTTCCGGCACCTCTCAGGTGGGCACTGTTACCATTATAAAAGAACAGGGAGGCATTCATAGTGAGTTCCAGCACCACTTTTCCTAGAAAAATAGCACTATGTACAGCAATGCCCTTTCCATAGCCAAGATCCTTCTATAACAGGCATCCCCAAACTCGGCCCTCCAGATGTTTTGGGACTACAATTCCCATCGTCCCTGACCCTGTTAGCTAGGGATGGTGGGAGTTGTAGTCCCAAAACATCTGGAGGGCCAAGTTTGAGGGTGCCTGTTCTATGATGTTTATTTGCAAATGGCATTCCACAGTACTGCTATGAACACTGTCCTCTCATTAATTCTTCAGGTAGAAGACGTTATAGCAGAACTGAGATTGCGGCAATGTGCGAACACAATTGTAGGGAACGAATACATCCGTGGTGTTTCTGGCGGGGAGAGAAGACGAGTGAGCATTGGGGTCCAACTGTTATGGAATCCTGGTAAGAACATCCAAAAGCATCTCTGCTGTGCTTCCTTCCCAGGGCTGTGGTTTGGGTGCTGAATAAAGGAGGGTGCTGACATAGCCATGGGTGAATATGGGTGGCTACCTGCCCCACAATGTTCTCTTTTAACTTTCAAGTGTATGACTCACATAAGGAACTGGTTGTCTGTAGCATCTGGCCACGTGGTGAAGTACATTTTACCGTGTCTTTGTTACTCTGCATTTTCAGATACCTGCAGGGGCAAGGGAAATATGAGTAGCTCTACAAATGGTCCTTGATTTTCAGATGGGCACATCACAAAGTTGTTGGTGGCCAGAAATACCTGTTTGCCAGTGTTTTATCCAGGCAACTGAAATGAGTGTATGTGTTTAATTTCCAGTGGGGTGAGGGTCTAGGCAGTGGTGGAACTTCATGCTCCAGCACTGGGGGGCAGAGAGCAGGTGGGGGTGGGGCTGGTGCGCGTCCCAGGGGTGTGGCACGCTGCCTGCGGGGATGGCAGCAATGGCACCCCATTAGGATCTCACTGCTGGGGGCAGTGCGCTCCCCCCGCACTCCTCCGCCAGTTGGCCTAGGAGGTATGCGCCGATGCCCTGGCTGAATGTGGGATCAGGGTGCATAGCACCGCAAGAAAAAGATGCTTTACAGACATGACCATTTTCTTAGGTTTAAATTATGTTTGCGCAGAAGAGAGCAAGCTTCCCTCTTCAAACCTTTGTCCCAACACAAGAGGGGTGGGGCAAGTGAGGATGTGATGACAGCAAGCAGGGCCCCCATTCTGCCCCCTCTCTGGGCTGTAATCTCATGTCGGTAGAGCATGAGACTCTTGATCTCAGGGTTGTGGGTTTGAGACCCACGTTGGGCAAAAGATTCTTGCATTGCAGGGCGTTGGACTACATAGGATCCCTTCCAACTCTACTATTCTATGGTTCTAAAGGATAAATGGATCCCTGACCGTTAGGTCCAGTTGCGGACGACTCTGGGATTGCAGCGCTCATCTCGCTTTACTGACTGAGGGAGCCGGTGTACAGCTTCTGGGTCATGTGGCCAGCATGACTAAACCGCTTCTGGCACAACAGAACACCGACACCAGAGCAGTGCATGGAAACGCTGTTTACTTTCCCGCTGGAGTGATTCCTTATTTATCTACTTGCACTTTGACATGCTTTCGAACTGCTAGGTTGGCAGGAGCAGGGACCGAGCAACGGGAGTTCACCCTGTCACGGAGATTCGAACTGCTGACCTTCTGATTGGCAAGGCCTAGGCTCTGTGGTTTAGACCACAGTGCCGCCTGCATCCCTATGAATGCCTAAATATTGTGTGTGTTGTATAATAATCTTTTGCTTTCCAGATGTTGTTGGACTACAACTCCCATTGGCTCCCATCAGCTCCAGCCAGGATGACCAATGATCAGGGATGATGGGAATTGTCGTCCAGCAACCTCAGGAGGGCAAACAGTTGACAAAACTTCTGTTTTTCCTCATTAACACATTAATTCATTCCTCGTTAATTTGTCTCTGAAAGATAATCTGCCAGGATAAACTGCTGAAATAGGCCACCAAGCTATGTAAGAACATATTTAGGATGAAGGTGAAAGCTACCAACCTAATCAGATACATACAGAACTCACTGCAATTAACTTTCCTTCCTCTTTGGCAGGAATCTTGATACTCAGTGATCCCACAGCTGGGCTGGACAGCTTTACTGCCCACAACCTAGTAATACTGCTGTCTAGGCTAGCAAGAGGAAATAGATTAGTTCTTCTGTCAGTTCACCAGCCAAGATCGGATATCTTCCAGCTTTTTGATTTGGTTCTCTTGATGACATCTGGACTCACAGTCTACTCTGGTGCCGCCCAAGACATGGTCCAATACTTCACACAAATGGGATATCCTTGTCCAACATACAGCAATCCTGCAGATTTCTACGGTTGGTATAATAAGTGCTTCTGGGAGAGTTATGATTTGTTTAAACTGAAGGTTTGCAGATAGCCAGCGATGATCAGATTATGTTGTCTGATTACGAGCTAATGACTAGAAAACTCTCCCCTCTACCTTTGGAAGTGGCAATGGGAAAGGCAGAAAAACAACACCAAGGTTTGATTTGGGGGAAGCCCTAGTGCCAGCAATAGGCCAGATCGGGTACTGGCCAAGGAGCCCAGACGTTTAGAAAGGCCCATCACTGTCCCAAAGCAAGATGCTTTTCAGTGGCAGCCGGCTGTACCATTTGAATGGGAGCCAAGCTCAGTTCTCATCTACTGTGTTCATCTGCCATTTTAAGTTACCCTCCCCCACCAAAAAACCCCACCTCTACAACTTGTTTTCCAGTATCTATAATCCAGGTAGACCTATAGACTTATAGTTCCCCTGTGCCACCACAAGCAGGATTTGGCCTGCCCTGGTTGGGGGCTGGGGCTGGGAAGGTGGAGGCTCATAGCTGGCATCATACAAAGGACCCCCTGAAGTTTGACACCAGACCAGTTTGGAAGACAGAGACAGATCGAGACAGAAGGACAAGTTGGTTAAAAGGGATGCAGTTATGCAATGCAACAACCACTCTCTTAGAGCAGGCCTAGGCAAACTCCAGCCCTCCAGATGTTTGGGACTACAATTCCCATCATTCCTAGCTAACAGGACCAGTTGTCAGGGATGGTGGGAATTGTAGTCCCAAACATCTGGAGGGCTGGAGTTTGCTTATGCCTGTTTTAGAGAAGGGTTAACAGTGGTGCTCTAGCCCCAATAATCTGCTTGTTTAGTTATAGAGAAAACAAACACCACATGTTAAAGAAGGATTAGAGTAAACTACTAGTAGACCACATAGTGCCTTGAAGAAGTTGTGGATTACAATCCCCATCATCCCTACTTGTCATATATTGGCTGAGGCTGATGGGTGCTGTAGTCTATAGCATCTGCTAATGAACTACATTGGCTACCACTGGGTTAAACATTGCCAAAAATTTCATGATGGCCTCTTCAAGGGTGGAACAGACTGCAAGAGAAGCTGGCAGCCTCTCCTTTGTCAGAGTTTACTAAAAGACAAACAATAAGTTTTTTAAATACATTATTAGTAGTAGGAGAGCAGCTGGGGAGGCTGTTAGACCCTTGGATGACAAGGCAGTCTAATGTATGCTAAAGGAGGACAAGGAGATTGTAGAGAAGCTGGATAAATTATTTGCATCAGTCTCCACAGCAGAAGGGAGTAAGCTTCCGAATACCAGGTGTTGGAAATCACAGGAGCAGAGAAAGCTCTTGAGCTCAGGTCCCATTTGCAGGTCAAACCATATACATCTGGGTGGCAACTGTGAGAACAGGATTTGATGGACCGCTGGCTTGATCCAGCAGGATCTTAGTGTTTCTGGATGGTCACCTATCAGGGATGCCGTTATCTGTGGGCACTTCATTAGATGCGTGAAGTGCAATCCTAAATTGACAGGCAGGGAATTTAAACAGAATTGGAAGATAGGATTCAATTACCTCTGAAAAGATAAACATAAATTCAGATACGAAGCTGAAAACGCCGAACAGCATGTGTGGGTTATATGATCTTACTCAGGATCCTGTCTTACAGTTGATTTGATCAGCATCGAGAGGCAGAGTGAAGAAAAGGAGATGGAAAGCAAGCAAAGGGCTCGCTCACTTGCTGCCATGTTTCATGAAAACATTAAAAACGTGGATGACCGCTTATGGAAAAGCAAACCAAGAGACAACATGGTCACTGTTTCTGCACAGAGGTAAAAACAAGAGCTGTAAAGAGCTTTGATGGCAGTATAACAAGGCAGTATATAAAGAAATTGGTTTCAGAATAAACCCATCTCCCGTTTCTGTCCATTTTTGACAGCTCTACTACGTTCATTTTGGAGGAGAAAATTACTGTGAACTCTCATTCGGCCGATCAGTTGCCTGGATGGTTACAGCAGTTCACTGTTTTGCTAAGGTAATGTTGTTTCAAGCCCTGGTAAGAATGCAAATATCAGACTGGATTATTATTATTATTATTATTATTATTATTAATTCAATTTATACACTGCCCTATACCCGGAGGTCTCAGGGCAGTTCACAACAAGACCACAACATATAAAATCAAACCAAAAGCAATAACCCAATAACCTCCAAAAAAGCCACATTCTAAAAGGGTGTTGGATGTCAATAAGATCAACCAAAGGCTGGTTAAAAAGGAACACTTTTGCCTGGCGCCTAAAGGTGTATAATGAAGGCACCAGGCGAACTTCCCTGGGGAGAGCATTCCATAGACAGGGAGCCACTGCAGAGAAGGCCCTTTCTAGTTGGTATGCCCATTTAATTCCTGGACTACATCTGTATCAGACATGACCATCTAACATGGTTAATGTACACTTCCTCTAAGATTGATGGCATTGTTAGTTATGGATATGGATGAATGGTCCTCACCTTGTGTCCTAGGGCCAAGATCATAGGGATCTGGTTCGTTGCAGCAGCTAGAAATACAGGTAGAGTCTAATTAGGTCCAAAAGCACAAACTTAACCTATTAACCATGCTGTCAGACAGCAGAGGCCTCCCCAAGGCATCTAAGGTGGGCATCGTTCATTGTGGTAGCCATAGATACATTCTCCATCCTGAAGTGAGGAGATAATTTAGGCTCAGAGTTGATAATGTTATTTCTTTTTGTAGCCGCCAGATCTCCAATGATTTCCGAGATCTCTCAGCATTGCTGATTCGTGGATTTGAGGCTCTTTTAATGTCATTGTTAATGGGATTCCTATATTATGGTCATGAGAAAAATCTGTCTATTCCGGATGTATCGGCACTTCTGTTTATGCTAGGAGCTCTGATCCCTTATCTTGTGGTTGTTGAAACTGTAACAAAATGTAAGTTTTACAGCGTTAAGAGTTTTAGAAGGTTTTTTTTTTAAGGTTTTAATTTTTTTTAAAAAGACGTTTGAAAAAGAAGTTTTTAAGAGGTTTTAAAAATTCAGAAAGCAATAGTAATGTTAATAAATAGATAAAAATGGCAGCCTGCCATTCTAACAAGAAACACAATGGTTTATTTCTGCTTTCTGCTATAGGCCATTCTGAAAAAGCTGTACTGTATCAGGATTTTGAGGATGGGCTGTATCCTGTTAGCCCATATTTCTCCGCCAAGGTAATTGGCTTCCGTTGTAGCAAGATGGCTTCCAATCCCCTCTGATCTCTTGGAAATGCTTCTGGGACATAGGGAGCCAAGGACCACCATTTGAGAAGCACTGAACTATTAACTCTAGGAAAGATGATGATTAATTGTAGAATGAAAGCCAGTAATGGGTTGATGTTGTGCTGTAAGGACAGTGTTCTGTTCTGTTCTGTTTTGTTTTGTTTTGTTAATGTTTTGTTAGTGTCCCAAAGAAGAGTCCCAAAATGCAAGCAGCTGTGCTGATCCATATAACTAAATACATAAATGCAACCCCCTCCTGCCCTCACCGCTTGAAAGAGCAGCAGTATGTAGGATAATACTCAATTAATTAGGATCAGGTGACAGTCACAGAAAAAGGTGCATATAGAATCAATTCACATTGTAAAACACCTTGAGCTTTAACAAATGATCTTTAGCCAGCTGAAATGCAGCTTTTAAACAGTCTTGCAATATATGTGTTACCAGTGCTATTTTTCTAGAAAAAGAGGTGCCAGAACTCACCATGAACACCTCCCTTGTTCTCTTATAATGGCAATGGCGCCTACCTGAGAGGTGTTCCAGCAAGTTCTGGCTGAAAAAAGCCCTGTGTGTTACCTTTAAAGGTGCAAGCAGGAACCTCAGCAAATAAAAGAAGTATCTAGCCCTTGCTTAATTTCCCCCCTCTGTCTCTAATTTCTCCTTTGCTAATCTGTTCCAAACAAAAAGAAACAACAGAAGTCTCTTGACCAGCTTCATACACTTGCCACATGGAAAATCCACCCATTATTCTGGCACTACCCTGGCAGATGATGGCAATGCTCCTGATCTGAAAAAAGTAAAATGCCAGGACCTCTCTTCCACTGTCCCATCAAAATCCAGCATTAGAAAGTTAGAGAAACAATATCCCATTTATGTCACAATTTTTTTTTGGCCTCAGATATGGAATAAATTGGTGGGGGTTCCCCTCAAGGTCAGTGATATTTCCTTTCTCAAACAGGTTTTAGGAGAACTTCCAGAACAGTTCTTCCTAATGATAGTTTATGGGGTTCCTACCTACTGGCTAGCAAACCTCCGTCCGGAACTGGAATGTTTCTTCCTTATGCTGCTGCTTCTTATGCTAGTCACTTTCTGCGCTCGGACCATGGCGATGTGGATGTCTGCAATGTTGCCAACATTTCATATCTCGGCCTTCGTTGCCAATATTCTGTACACAATGTTTCTGATGAGCGGAGGCTTCTTCATAAGCTTGGAAAACCTGTGGACAGGTAAGCTGGAAACACCAGGCAGCCGACAAGCAGAAAGCTACATTAACAGAAGCAGAGGAAGCAATGGAATGCCATCTTTCACGGGTGGAAAACCATTTAAGCATTTATACGACTTTCCGTAGATATCTGAAGGCAGGCCTGTATCAGGAAGCTTTCTGGTGTTCCATTATCTTTTATATTCTGTTGGCAGCCACCCAAAGTGACCGGGGCAAAAGATGGATGGGGTATAAGTAATAAATTAATATTTATCTCTTCTGGACAACTTTCTGGGGGTCACATGCTAGCATACCCATCAACTGCACCAGAAAAAACGGGACATCCTGTTTTTTCTGCGAGAGCACGGCAGCCATTTTGGGCACCATGCTCTTGTGCAATTTCGGGCAAAGATCTTGTTTCTTTGGGTCCACGATCTGTGTTGAATTAGGCTCCCTTTGCTTCCCTCTTTTTCCAGTTCCAACTTGGATTTCCAAAGTATCTTTCGTCAGGTGGAGTTTTGAAGGAGTAATGCAAGTTCAATTTAGAGGACGCACTTACCCAATGACTTTTGGCAATATCAGCTATCCAGTTCCTGGAAAACTAGTAAGTCACTTCTTTCTAGGTAACATTTCTCATGAATATAGCTATTCAAATATTGTGCACATGTGTTAACCACAATTTTGGGTTAGTGTTACACACACACACCCCAACCCGCAACTTACATGCATTTACCTTGTGCACATTCAGCTTCATGCATGTTGCAAAAAAGAAAAAAATAAATTTAAAGGGGTGGAAAGGGTACGCAGTTCCAGGAAAAATGACTTTGGCAATCCCACCTGCCATTGAACTCAATGGGTTCTGACTATATGGTAAGTCTGCTACTTGCACAAGGGTTCAGTTCTGGGAACTGTGCCCCAAAGCAAAAACACATAAAGCCAGGAGGGCCCCCTAAAAAAACCAAACTGCTCCTCTCATTCTCAGACCACCTCCATTTGCTCAGATCACCTTCCCCTTGCTGTCAGACCACTTTGCTTGCTCTCCATGCTCTTGTCAGTCCCTATCTCACTCTCCAACTCTCTGACAGCGCCCAGATACTCTCCCAGGGTGAGTGCAATGGCTGATGGGATTGCCAACTGTTGTTTCCCACCCTTCTGCCACCGTCTGACCTTTTTTCCCCACTGCGTATTTTGATTTCCCTCACATTTTTCCAGATTATTTATTTATTTATTGCCCACGTAAGGTTGCGATCACATAAGAAAAATGAGCATAAGTTGCAGGCTTACTGTACACGATTTTGGCTTTAGGTCTGACCCCTGGAACGTAACCCCTGTGCAGGTTGCAGACTTAGGTACACAGACACACACAGAGTACTCTGGATTTGTACCTTTTGTATTTATTTTATTTTGTTGTTTAGTCATTTAGTCGTGTCCAACTCTTCGTGACTCCATGGACCAGATTTTTATTGATTTACCAATATCGTTCCAATAGCAGCCTCATTATAACAATACCGATTTTATCCAATTAATACAATTATTAATGCCGATTGTTTTATTGGTTTTAAACTATGAAACACCGAGAGGCCTCTGTCGATAAGCCAGTATAGAATTGCCTAATGAAAGGCAATTAGTCTTACTGAGCACTAGGGGACTCTCATCTTTCTGCAACACCCTGCAATTCTAAACAGATTCACCTGGGCGCAAGTCCCCCTGATTCTAGCTTGGTGGCAAGAATGCAGTTCTAAAGGAGCTCCACTCCGTGGCCATTCAAGAGGACTGCAAAGCAACTGCCTCTCAGCACCGATCAGCTGCTAGACACTGACAGTGTTTCCCCAAAGGAGCTGGCTCTGGTTGCTGAGACAAAGCCCCTTCGAGGTCCGTTTCTTCTCCCTCTCAGCATCCAACCCATAGCGCTTTTGAAAAAGTGCTGCCAGCACCCACCAGCTGATTGGCTCTGGTCGTGCTCCTTTGAAGATGCACACGCTCACTGACCATCATCTGATCGGTGCTGAGAACAGTCAATTCAGCTGCACAGGAGTTTTGCAGGAGGGGATTTTTTTGGGGGGTGGTGGAAGGTCATGGCACCTCCCCTCAATTCACAATATGTACCAGTGGTACCTCGGTTTTCAAACGTCTCCATTGACAAACATTTTGGTTTTCAAATGCCGTAAACCTGGAAGTAAATGCTTCGGTTTTTGAACAAACCTCGGAAGTCGAACATGTTTCACCGCTTCTGCTGAGTGTAAGATCCTAAGGCCTAGCTTTCGGCTGTTGAGTTTTCGGTTTTCGAACGTTTCAGAACTCAAACCGAGGTAGTACTGTATATGTATATGTATATATGTATGTATGTGTGTGTATAAATATGTACACACACACATATTCCAAATAAAATTCCAATACCCCTGTACGTATTTTTAAAAAGATTTTTCTTTCAGATTATCCCATCCCATTTTCCATGATGCCCCCCCACTTGCTGTGCCCTGTCTCCCCTCTTTTATAACATAATCATGGCACAATAGTCTGATTCTTTCTGTTGCTCCTAGTTCAAATCCTCCTTACTGATTCTTCAAGCTATAATATTTCTTTAAATGATTTGATAAAGGCTTCCATTCTTCAACAAAACAATCATCACTAAGATCTCTTAGTTTAGCTGTTAACTTTGCTGATTCAACATAGTCCATCAATTTGGTTATCCATTCTTCTTTGGTGGGAACTTCTTCATCTTTCCATTTCTGAGTGTAAAGAATACAATATATATTCCTAGCAAGCCCCATTCACACAACCAAGACTCTTCAGTCATGGCTGGCAGCTGGGGTGGGGGTAACTTTCAACTTGGAGCCTCTAGCTATTTTTCTTTAACCTCCTGTGCCTGCTTGTGTTTTGTTGTGGCTACAATTGTCAAACGAGGGATGATGGGGAAAATTTGGAGGGATGGTGGTTTTGTTAAAGAAGCAATAATTCCCTTCTACACACCTCAGCTGTGAATTTGCTGGAAAACAGTGTTTAGAAATTGCACTGCACCACCTCTCAAATGATGCTCATGCACTCATCAAGAGAGTTGTCACAGTTCTTGCAGTGACAGACAGTCGTAACTGAAGAGCCTCTTATCTGAACTTTATAGATAGCTTCCGCAAACCGTGGACACAAAGAGAAACAAGAGCAATGTCAAAAGGAGAATGGGTTTGCTTCTTTCCTGGAATGTATATGGAAGAAATTTTAAAACAGGATGGGGCAGCATTTAATTCAGTAGTTACTGGGGCCTATTGAGACTGGTAGGGTGTAAGGCAGGAGGCCAACAGTGGATGGCGCCAGAGCAAAGGTAACTAATTCTACTTTTCGCCACATCCTCCTCCCTGCTGAGTTCTACAAGTACCAAAGAGCAAAGGTGTTTATACCAACTCAGACCATTGATCCATCTAGCTCAGTATTGTCTATGCTGCCTCATAGAAGCTCTCCAAGATTTTTGAACGGGGACAAATCTGGAGACTGGACCTGAGATCTTCTATATGCAAAGCAGATGCTCTACCACTGAGCTGTAATACAGACATACTCCTCTCAGAACAAATAATGGTTTCATCTTCAGAGCTACTGTTTTACTCGCATGCACATTTAGACATTTAATTAATTGATTGAAACTCACTTATGAGTAAACAATTACAATTTACTTAACTGGAATTCAAACTGATTGATTTAATCGGAATTTGATTGACTTACAGGTACTCCAGTCACTGGATTTAGACTTCCAGCCCCACTATGCAATTTACCTCATCTTGGTCAGTATTTCCACCACCTTCTTGGTTTTATACTACTTATCTCTCCGGTTCATCAAGCAGAAATCAAACCAGGACTGGCAATAATAACATGACATCATTGATCACGGTGGCAGGAGTCAAAGCAGAAGAGAGAGCGTTCACACGGGTCCATATTAAATGCCAGATCGAACTCTTGCAATAAAGGCAACACTTAAAATGGTCCACAAACTCTTGTTTGTGTTTATTAAAACGCTGCAAAGATTATTTTTTTTGCCTTAATTGGTCTCAGCAGTGCAGTGATTTGGATAAGCCACCAGATGGCAGCAAAATACAACGGGTTAAAATGCTGAATTTATGTCCCTGCCACATTCTTCTTGTAGCAGGGGGTGAAGGAAGCCAGTTGTTGAGTCAAGTCTTCAGGACTAGATGACATAGATAGTTGTGTCACTGGTAAGATCTGTGTGATTTACATATAGAAGCATTTTTTCAGAGAATGGGGTGCTATTCTAAATGGTTCTCAATAAGTCACAAAGAAATACATCTCTTACCTTTAAACTCTGACACCTCCAGATACTAGACAACGGCTCCCATCCTTCCATGATGCCTTTGGGCTGATGTGCGTTGGAATCAAGCTCTGGAGGCTTAGAGGCCTAGTCACATTTGCCCTGTATAAATCAACTGTGTCAAAGGATGCCAATATAAGATCTAATCAATAATCCTTATTTGTATTTCTTTTGGATAACATGGAGAATTGAGCAGACCCTTTCTAGGAAGAGTTACAGTGCAACCAAGAATGCTATGTTACGTAGCAAATTATTTTTTATTTGAAGATAACCTCAGGGTGTAAACTGAATTTCTGTTGCCCTTTGGAACCCAACTTTTGTTGTTGTTTTTAATGCAGGCTTTGCCAATCTATCGTTTTAATATAGCTTTCAGCAACCTGGTGCCCTCGAGGTGTTTTGTGCTGGCTGGAGCTGATGGGCAGCCCAAAATGTCTCAGGGCACCATATGCAAAGCCTGGTTTAATGTATTTACGATATAATTATTTTGAGCAATTCACAGCACAGTCGGAGACATGTCTACTCAGAAGTAAGTCCCACTGAGTTCAGTGGGGCTTACTCCTAGGTAAGTGGGTACAGGATTGCATCCTTAGTAAGGGATGGGATATCATGCAATAAAAAAGGATTCTCCTCAACCCCCTCTCCGCCCACCATCAAGAAGTACTTTACCACAGTGTTTTTCTATTAGACCATCACTCAAATTCTGCTGGAAAACTGGGAGCAGACTAGATAAGCCTTAACCTTACATTAAAGTCATGCTTTAACCTAAAACTTTTCAAAAGTACATCACCAGGTGCTATAGGAGAAACTGGGACATGCCCCATATATTGACTTTTTTTAAAAAAAGCAACTCAGCCCTTACAATTGATATGTCTTTTTAGAAAGCATTGATATATTATGTTGTTTGCTTATTGTTAACGCACACAAATATCACATTGTTGACAACACAGAAAGCCCATTGTTAAAAATAATTGTAGTCTATTCTGTTTTTGAAAAGATCCAGAAACAAGCAATATTCTCTGCTGTAAGTTTTTTAAAAAAAAAATAAAAACATTACATTTCGGTTCTGCGGTCGTGGTGCTAAGGACAATCCACAGCACCAGAAAATCACCTGGGTCCCTATGCAGCAAGATGGATGTGCTCAGGGAGAAAGGATCTCAGCCACAGGGCAGATGCAGGTGCACATCTGGACTGGGATGCTGATCCAAGTGCCATCTTGATGGCTGGATGCACCACTTGATTCAGATAAGAGATTGGGGGTAGTGGAAGGGACTGTCCATTTGGTTCCCTAATAATAGAATTCATAGCACAAAATAATATTTAGAAAAGGGTTGGTTTAAACAAATTCCGGACATTTATATTTGCTAAGGTCCAATCCCAAATCTTGTGTCAGTGCATGCGTGTTTAGAACCAGGTGGGCTATGTCTTATTATTATTCTCAATTATTTCTCTTTATATTTATTTGTCCATTCCCCCCCACACACACTTCAAAAATGAACTCCAAGTGATTTACAAACACAAGGGTTGAAAACAGACATAAAAGCAAGAAAGAGGAAATCCGACACAACTCCACTGAAAGATAAGCAGAAAATTAAGATCCGAAGGCCTGAGTGAATAAAAATGTTTTCACTTAATGCCCAAAGACAGACCGTGATGGTGCTAGGGTGCCTCCCTGGGGAGAGCATTCCACAACTCGGGAGCCACCCCTGAGAAGGCCTGTCCTCATGTCACCACTACATGCAGCGGTGAGCCTCAGAGGACAGAACCAGATGAAGAATGCTTATTTTTTTAAAAATTCCATCTTTCAACCTTAAAAATTTACAAGTAAACAGTATTCATCATCATCATCATCATCATCATCATCAAACCTTTATTGGCATAACATACAAACATTCAGAATAAATAGGCCAGAGCGATCTTGTTGCCATTTCAACAGTACAGTCATTTGCCAAAGGGAAGAAGAGGCGAGCAATCTATTTCATCTCTGTGGGTCTCCAGCAAGGGCAAGATCCTGTAGCGTACTTTGGCGACAAAAAATCAAATAGAGGAACTTAGCTACTGTCTTGGTGAGCTCCTGGTCTCTCCCCCATAATAAGAAGCGTATAACCTCTGTCTCTGGTTTCCATGTTGGAATACGTAGATGGTCTAGAAATTGTTGGCAGAGATCATTAAACAGTATTCCTAGCACCTACAGGTTAGAAGAAAATGAGCCAATTGAGTTTCCCTGGGGAGGATGCTCAACAGACAGGACCTTATCACCAGTCACTGGCCACCTCACCTCAGACAACGAGGGTACCAAGAGCAGGTCAAATATTCGCAACCACGTGGCAAGGAGTGGTATTATATTTCATTTTCTAAAGTAGCCCTAGCATTTTAAATGGCAAAGTGACCTGCTACCAGGCATGGGATTTTCATAGAGTACAGGGAGGTTGTCCACAGAGTTTGCCCTCTTCGTTTCAGTGAAGGAAGCAAATGATCCTGACATTTGTTTCATTTGATGCTTTGGACATTTAGCACCTTTGGGGGGAAAATGGAGAAAAGTTTATACCTCGGTTAAAACCATTCAGATAAGCAGAGGTGGAAATGTTTTGGTTTGTTTGTTTGAACATTTTTTGAACTAACCAGATTTTTTTTAGGAGTAAGCTTAGAAGGACAGAGAGATGAAATCCTTTTATTGTGTGTGTTTTGGTGAGGGTACCCACATTTCTTCTAGGCAATGTTTCATTGAGAACCACCAGGTCTCAAGCCAAATTGGAAATCACAGTGCCCAGCTTAGGAATCATCCCTCCATTGAATGGGCAATGGAGAGAAGTAAGGGACTGAAGAGGAGGTTGAGATTCCTGCATTGCAGGGGGTTAGACTAGATGTCCTTTGGTGTACCTTCCAACTCTACAATTCTTGGTGGCACATGCATACACAGCAGCACATACTGAAGGATGATGACCTTGTTCCTGCCTTCTGTAGCAGCCAAGCACAACTGTGTGTGTGTGTGTTTGTGTGTGTTTGTGTGTGTGTGTGAAAAGTGTGAACGGAAGTAAATGTCAATGATTTTGAGATTGTCTAACTTTGATATTTTTTCTTTTTAAAGAGAAAGTAGTAAAACCAGACTTTCTCAGTCTTTCATGGCATCATTAAACTGTCAAGATAGTGGGCCATTTGATTCTTAATTATTCTTTTTATTATATTTAAGACACTTTAAAAAAATGATTTATGCTTCTGCATAATGTTCTGTTGTGATTAGGATCTCTTTTCTAATTCACTGTAGTATCCAGACTGTACATTGGCAACTTGGTTCTTTCTCTCTCATTCTTTCTTTCTTAACACACACACACACACACACACACACACACACACACACACACACATTTTAAGGACTAAATTCTAGGCTGACTCTCTGTTGTGAATGCAGTGTGAGGCTCAACCCCCTTTTTTCAAAGGGGGGGCACGTGGGGGATGGCGGGAGAGAAACAAAAGGGGGAAATGCAAAAGCCATATGGGACCACTCAGAATTCAAGGGGCAAAAGATATCAGGATATGACATTATCATTTACTTCCTCCTTGAGAGCTTCCTTCCTTTTGTGAAACGAGTCAGGCAGCTGACATTGCTTAAACAGTCTTTTTAACGTTTCAAAATTCCACCCTCTAAATGTTCTGCAAAAGGGACTAAGCTGTGTGAATGTTTCAGAGGTGGTGTTATGACAAGAGGAGAGACGTACATACAATAGGACTCGGGGAGAGCAGAGCTACAACAGCTTTCTGGTACTTTAGAGCTGAGAACTCCTCACAGGAGGCGACCATGCACGCGCCGTTCCATTAAAAACATGTGTCAGGTCTCGTATTATCTCCCACTCTGTCCTTATGTGCACAGAAAGACCGATGGATTGCTAGCGTACAGATCAGGAATCGGATACATGCAACAGCATCCCAATCTGTGTGCAGACTGTAAAAAGTAATATACCACAAACACGGAACGAACAGCACAATCCTGTACATGATGACTCAGAAGAAACTGCACTGTTTCCAGTGGGGCTTAATGTACCTGGTGGAGATGAAATGGATGGACATTCTCCCCATGGATGTGGTTCCCCAGGCTAAAATGGCATATTACATTTGGGGGGGAACTGGAGGGGGAAAGTTCTACTGAAGATGTGAGGGTTAACTGGTGCTGAAATAATGTTGAGGCTAACTAGGCATGCACCTGATGAGTGCTTGGTTGGGAGAAGAGTGGGAGACTCATTTAAGCTGAACTTTTTAAGAAAAGGAAAATAATGATGTATATAATTTCTAGGTTACATTTATTTGTTTTAGCTTAAGGTGCTTACAAATCCATTTCTCTGTCCCAAAGCATGGAAATTGTAAGCTAATGCTCTAGCCTTAACTTTTGCATCACTGAAGCAATAAACACTTTCTGCCATCTCAATTGTTGTGGTCACTCGCACCCATACTTTCAGTGGGTCCTTCAGCTGATTTTTTCTCACCCCCCCCATTAGTACAAGCAAATACATTTATGCCATGCTATTTAACAGCATAAAAGCTCCAGCAACTTCAGCATTCTACTTCCAACAATAACCAGTCAAGATGGAGGAACCGGAAGTCACACACACCAACGAGGCATTTCACAGCACCCCTGGGGATACAACTGCACAAACACACACATTTGGCATGATGGGAGCAGACCTGCATTTGAAGACATGTGCCTTCTGCCAGGATGCGCAATTTCAGCCATTTTCAACTCCTCTGGAAGTTACCATATTTTTTGCTCTATAAGACTCACTTTTTCCCTCCTAAAAAGTAAGTGGAAATGTGTGTGCGTCTTATGGAGCGAATGCAGGCTGTGCAGCTATCCAGAAGCCAGAACAGCAAGGTGGATTGCTGCTTTCACTGCACAACGATCCCTCTTGCTGTTCTGGCTTCTGAGATTCAGAATAATTTTTTTTCTTGTTTTCCTCCTCCCAAAACTAGGTGCGTCTTGTGGTCTGGTGCGTCTTATAGAGCGAAAAATACGGTAACTCTGAGCCCATCTAATATCCTAGCTTGAGCATGGGACAAAACTAATAATGGAAGTTTCATTGACAGGTTAACACAAGGGTCCGTTGGGAATTCCATTCCACCCTTTGCTGCAGATATGTGGATTGTTACACGTCACATGTCTGTTTACATTCCAGCACAGATTGCTGGCATGAGCGGAACTCTCTGTATTGCTTTTGTTTTTCACTCTCTCTCCGAGAAGACGGTATGGAGAGAAGCCATGTTTTCTTTGTCCTGATTTATGTAGAATATATGCGTAGTTTAGTATCGTGTCCACACCTCAAGTCTCATCTGTTGTGCAGTTTACACTAATGAGTAATATGTGCTCAAGCCTGCTCTGCAGCTTGAGTCACAGACGCACGTCAGGGAGGATGACTGATGGATCTCCGCAGTGGCAAGGCTGAGAGGGGAGACGCTCCAGTTGGAGCCAAGCCAACTGGCTTTTCATCCCCGGTTCTGACAGGGTCACCAACGTGCCTTCTGCCAGTACTCTAATAAAGGTAAAGGTAAAGGACCCCTGACAATTAAGTCCAGTCACGAAGGACTCTGGGGTCACCCCGTAAATATCCCCACAGAAATCTACAATGAAAGAAAGACTGCTTGCTCTTCCTGCTCAGTTTGAATTTGCACTGGTTTGGCGTCTGCCACATTGAACACACCCCATTAAACATCCTCACATTTCATTGGATGCCACACTGAACAGAGGAGAGGTGCAAAGGATGTTTCTCTGTAAGTACAACAGAGGTGTCCTTTTCCCATAGCTTCCTCCATTTTGTGGTCCTGTCTCTTTTTCAGGTCCTTCAGATGCGGCAGCCATTTTGTGTTATGCCACACACTGCCCATTACTCCCCCCCCAAAAAAACCCCAAATGTGCCCACTGGCCCCAACACCTGGGTTAACTTTAAAAATTCCAAGCTTCCATGTTTTAAATACAGTGGTACCTCGGGTTACATACGCTTCAGGTTACAGACTCTGCTAACCCAGAAATAGTACCTCAGGTTAAGAACTTTGCTTCAGGATGAGAACAGAAATCGCACGACGGCGCCACGGCGGCAGCGGGAGGCCCCATTAGCTAAAGTGGTGCTTCAGGTTAAGAACAGTTTCAGGTTAAAAACAGACCTCCAGAACAAATTAAGTTCTTAACCTGAGGTACCACTGTACACAAAATAAATACTGTATTTCCAAAGCAAGACAACAAGCAGCAACTGCTAAATAGTCCATTTTTAATTACATGTGAGTAAAATGGGGGCACATACAATAACTCTTCATACCAGGATAGTGAGCTGCAAAATGTGGGGGGAAGTATTTGGACAGAATGCTTATGCGTTCCATTTTCTGCATTTCTTTGTATAGAATTTTCAGGCAAGAATATACAGCCGAGCAAGAGAGAGCGCTTTTGTGTTTGCTTCCACTTAATGGTTTCTTTGGCCTGTGTTCCGAAAGTCAGCTCGTGTTTCTATTTCAAGATGCATGAACTTCACTATATATTCATCTGAGCAAGTAAAAACACAATCTCCTCCAAGGGCAAGATTACTTGTGGATTATAGAACATTGACAGTTTCTTCATTCTGTGTGTCTAGAATACTTTCCTCTCTCTCTCTCTTTTTTCTCTCTCTGGGCCGTCATTCTCCATAAACATCAGAACAACTTGAACTTAATCATAAAAAAAAATTCACACAAACTCTTGTTTGGAGGTTTTGATCCTGTTGACTTTATGGTCCCACCAACAGGCATGAAGATGTGTGAGGGAAAAATAAATAAATTTATGTAAAGCCCTCCCTATTTGTAGCTTGTGGTCCTACACAAAGCACTAAAACACAGTTTTTAGTACCCCTACCTTAAATTCTAGCTTTTGATGTCTGGAAATAAAGATGGTAATACCTATTTCCCATGTTTTGCTGGCACATAGAAATTTGATATTTTCTATTATATTTGGTGGAGTACAACCAAACACAGCCTTACATTCAAATTTGTTAGGGCTTTCCAAAATAACCCTAATGATTTGGCTTTTGGAATCCCAAAGCTGAGCATGGAGGCTGTTTCCTAAGAGATGTATGTAGGATGATTGGCACCAAAAAGCCATGTCCATGTGGCAGCGAGATCATTTGTAAGGACCTGATTAGGTGAATCAGTGGTATCTCATAAAACATCTCCATGTCCCAAGGGAGCTGAGACATCAACAGTGCCAGATTTAGGGGGGGTTGGGCGGTTCTCCCTGAGGGGAGTGCAAAATATTAGTAATACTGAGATGAACCATGGAAAACGTAACTGTGGAAATAGTGTGAAAATAAGAAATATGCTCCCTGCTCCCTGTTTCCATATTTAGAAGCTGAATCTTCAAAACAGGTGACAGAACAGTCAAGCCCCACCCCTGTACCTGAGAGAACGAGGCTAGCTTAGGGTGTAAAGGACAGGCCATGTGGAACCATCAGCTCTGTCTTCCAACAGAGAGAAACGAGTGGGGGGCTTTAGAGTAAGGTTACCAGACGTCCCCGTTTCCCAGGGACAGTCCCCGGATTTACAAATCAGTTGCCACACAAAATCCATTGAAATTGAAAAGTGTCCCCGGATTTGTTGAAAAAAATCTGGTAACCTTACTTTAGAGGAGACCCTGCTACCGCTGCTTCCCTGCCAATAGGGATGGGGGACAAATGCAATTCAGTTCACATTCAAATGATCTAATCTGCACTTGCTGAAACCAATTGTGAACCAAATCACAGCCAGCCTTCCAACCTTGTTGTTCTCTGAATTTTGCAATGCAGTTCTTCAGCCAAAGAATGTGTGCAAGAATCCATATATTCTGCTAAAGTATGCAAAAAACCCCGCACAGTTTGGTGAAAATAACAAACGTGCATTATATTGTGGAGGATTGCTTTGCAAAACTCTGTATATTGGGCAAAACTGTGCACACAAATGTGTATATTAGGATAGTTTGGCACCAAGACACCGAAAAAATTTCAGGAGGACTTTAAGAAAAGAATTCTCAAACTGATGTAGAAATGTGGAAAACTGAATCGATGATTGGGAAAAAAAAAAAAGGAAACTGAGGAAAATCAGAATTGGGTCCATTCCTATCTGGCACTTGAGATGGCCACCTCACTCCTGCCAGCCCTGGAAAGCACACGTAAGTACCATACAGTGACAGAAAAGGTAACAGAGCACATATTGTGAAGCAGAAGGTCTCTGTTAGTAGTGGTGGCTGGTGTCCATTGGAACTGGTAGGGCAGAGGGCAACAAATTTTGTTTTGTCCCCATCATTCTGGCTGCTGAGTTCTACAAAGGCAACACGGGGATGGAGGAGGAGGCAGCTAATAGGCAGGACCAGCCTTGGGGCTGATTTTAAGTAGGAAGGCAGGCAGGTAGGTAGGTAGGGAGTAGCTCAGGTCAGACTGAGGTTGTTGGCACAGCACTCCCTTTGCTCCCCTCCACTGGCAAGGGGACTTTGTGGCCTGGTGCAGTTTACGATAGGTACCCCCCCTTTAAAAAGCTGTATTTATGGGGGAGGAGGGTCTAAAAAGAACTCCCTCCTGCATAAAGACAGCTTTTTGTTGTTGCTTTTAAGCAAGCTAATGGAGTTCCCCAGACCACCCACTGCTTGGGATGGCACGTCAAAGCGACTAAAAGTTGCCTCTCATCCTTTGTCCTGGACATGAGGTTCCTGCTACAGTTTCATCCTTACTGACTCTTATGGTTGCATGGTGGGCGAGAAGCAATAATGTGCGTGCATTTCTCTGACATGTGGCTTAAAAAAAAAAAAATACCTGTGAGCCAAAGATGAACAACAACAGTTCATACCGAGTTAGCAACCATTAATTAAGGAGACAACGTTTAAAGCAGTGGGTTGAGATGTATACCACTCCACCCCCCAGAAAAAAAGCTCCTTAACCCTTTCAGTGGTTTACAGCTGACTGCAAGGCAGCCGACGAAAATATATATCCCTTGCTTACAATGCAGCGTAACTTTTGGAGCATTGGGGTGTCTGTGTTTTGAAATGGCAGCTGAGCTTGGTATTTTAATGTCGAGTGCTCTTGGCAATACTGAAAAGCTATTTATCCTTTGTTGATTCCCCACTAAATTCAGATCTTACATATTTACTACAAACTGCGGCTCAGCTTGAAGTGATTTGACTTGCACTTCTTTAGAGTACATGTCGAATTTCTTGTTCCTACTCTTGACAGGAAAGTGAGCTTTAATAGGTTTCAGGAGGAAAGGGGTCTGTATGGATGTGTGCGCCTGGAAGATTGACTCAACGTTACAAAAACACATTCGTTATATTGGTTTTTGCCTCATCTAACTTGGAAACCATTTCCTTCCTTCCTTAATTAATACTGGATGACTACCTTAAACATTTTTTTACGTAAGTATTTTGCTTGAATGAAAGTCGATTTCCTCTCATCCCTTCTCTTCTGTTTGCTTTTCCATAAATATTCTAGCAAATGAGTTTGTTGGCAGCTGAGTGCAGAGAATCGGCATAAATATTCAATCGGAGGAACGCGATTCCAAGCATTATAGTCAACCAATAAGAAAAGGTGATCTATGGAAACGCCTTCAAGTGTACAGGATGCATATTCAGATTTCATTGCTTAATCAGGCTAAGGATTATTTGCAGAAAATATTTAATGAATTTTAAGTAAGATAGAATTGCCAGGAATGGCTATATTCACCTTCGTGTTCAGAACTTTAATACTTGCGGTGCATTTAGCATTTCTCAGCTATGAACAATTTCACAAGCGTTAAAATCAGTAAAAAGTCTCGCTTCAGCCATAAGGCAAAACCCATCTCCACATTAGCCAACCAGAGCTTCAACCATGCAAGTCAACCCACAAGAAGAGAACAGATGTATAAAATCTTCTGTGATTCGATACAATAAGCACACAATAAAGGATGTGAAAGAGAAGGAGGAGAATTCAAGGAGCACTGATCCTAAAAACATTAAGACCAACGACAACAAAATATTTAAATATATTGGTATTAGGAGCTGACCTAGGAAGGGAGATGGACCTTTGTGTGACAAGGGAGACAAAGGTGTGCTAAAGGAGGACAAGAAGATTGCAGAGAAGCCAAATTAATTATTTTCATATCTTTTCACAGTGGAAGATGTAGCCCAGGGACAAGCTGAAGTTGGGGGTGGGGAGATTGGGGATTTGGAGATACTCATGGGACATTGAAGGACATCAAAGGGGTAGCAGACAGGAGCTAGGAGAAGGAGACACATCTCCAGAACCAGAGAAGTCCCCAGTTCCATGGATATTGCGGGCTCTGAGGCATCAGGAACAGTGGGAAGTGCCCTTCAGGAGACTGAGGCAGGCAAGGGAACACAGCCCAGCTCACTAGTGGACCAGGTGAAGATCATGAGACTTGTTAGGTCTTGGAGGAGGTTGTGGTCACTCAGCTGGATTAGGCTCAGGGCAGGTGAGGATCATATGCTTTGTCAAGTGGAGAGGCACAGCTGCTCAGCTGGAGCAAGCTCATGTTCATCAAGCAAGATCGAGAAGGATACAAGGGAAACAGAATCTGCTCAACTTTCTCCATTGATGGACCACAGCTTGACTGCTTTGGGAATGCCACTGGACCGGCGTGACTTCAGGACTTACCCCAGGTGTTCCAACCCTGGATCTTCTGCAGAGGTGGGAACCTGACCTTACAGATTGATTTTGAACCTTGCTTGTTGTCTTGAACCTGAACTGGTATTTGACCATTTGGACTGTCTGACTATTCTCTAGTGTTGCCCTTGGGATTGTGTGTCCTATCAGGAATTATTTCAGAGTATGCTGAGGTTTAGGTCACAGAGGGACCACAAGGGTCCTACTCCCTGTAAGGCAGGAGTCTTTTATACAACAACAAGTATTATTTTATTTTATTTATTTTGTTGTTGTTGTTATATATTTATACCCTGCTCATCTGGCTGGTTTCCCCCAGCCACTCTGGGCAGCTTACAGTACATATAACAACATAGTAAAACAACAAACTTAAAAAACTTCCCAATACATGGACATCTTTGGGTGTCTTCTAAAAGTTGTGTCGTTCTTTATCTTCTTGACATGTGATGGGAGGGCATTCCACAGTGATGGCGCCACTGCTGAGAAGGCCCTCTGCCTGGTTCTTTGTAACTTCACTTCTCGCTGTGAGGGAACCACTAGAAGGCCCTCGGAGGAGGACCTCCGTGTCCGGGCTGAGTGATGGGTGTGGAGATTGCTCCTTCAGGTACACCTGGCTGAGCCGTTTAGGGCAACAATATTGATTGCCTACCTTTGATATTTTATAAGGAAATGTAGGGTATGAATGTAAAAAATAAAACAAACAAATCAATAAAGGGGCTAGCACAAATAAGTGGGGTGGGTTATTTCTGGCCACATTATAGTTTCAGCATTGCAAGGAAAATCAGACTAACTGGACTTTGATCAGAAGAGCCCTGCTGGATTAGACCAAAGGTCCATCAAGTCTTGCATCCTGTGCCCGTAAGTGGCCAACCAGATGCCAATGGGAAGCTTGAAAGCAAGACATGAATACAATAGCTCTCTCCAGCTATTGTTCATGAGTAGCTAGTACTGAATCCCATCATTTATCTAAACATTCTGTGAAGAAGTGCTTCCTTTTACTTTCCGGAATCTTCCATAATACAGCTGCATTGGATGACCCTGGGCTCCAATT